TATATCACATTCTAGCCTCTGCAGTAGAATGCTGTGGTCTATTGTGTCAAATGCAGCACTAAGGTCCAGTAGGACCAGCACTGACACTTGTCCATTATCGGCAGCTAGTAGTAAGTCATTTGTGACTTTGACTAGTGCCGTTTCAGTGCTATGATGAGCTCTGAATCCTGATTGAAAGACTTCAAACATATCATTTTCCTGCAGGTGGCAGCGGAGCTGCTCAGCTATAAGTTTTTCCAGGATTTTAGATATAAAAGTGAGGTTTGAGATCGGTCTGTAGTTTGTAAGTATTTCTGGGTCCAGGTTTGTTTTCTTCAGAAGGGGTTTGATTACCGCGGTTTTAAAAGCTTGTGGGACATAGCCACATTGTATGGATGCGTTTATTATATTTACGATAGGCTCAATTATCAAAGGAAGTATGTCTTTGAAGAGCCATGTCGGGACTGCGTCTAACATGCAAGTTGAGGCTTTTGAGGATGTGACCACAGAGATCACCTCTGCTTGGCTCACAGCCATGAATTTATCGAGGCCCACTGAAGAGTCTAAGTGGGAAGTCACGTATGCCGCTTCAACCTGTCCACCACTAACAGCAGGAGCAACCTCCTCCAGCTTGTCACGAATGGATGTAATTTTATTATTAAAGAAGTGGAGAAAGTCGACACTGCTCAGTGAGCTTGGAATTTTAGGCTCGATTGCGCTATGGCAGTTTGTGAGTTTAGCGACGGTACCAAACAAAAATCTACTGTTGTTTTTATTCGCTTCTATTAAAGTTGAATAGTATTGAGTTCGAGCCCCGCGAAGGACTTGCTGTAAATATGTGATTGTGTCTTTTTAACACAGCTTTCTTTTTTTTATTATTGTTCTTTCATTCTTAGCTCTGGATCCTGTGCTTGCATGTAAGTCCTTAGTAAAGTCTAAATAAAATTGGACCCATGTTGCTGCTGAAAGGAAGTCTGAGGTGTAAGTTGTTCTGTAAAGGTACATTCAAATACACAACTTGTCATTTTACAGTCTTGTTTAGTTAAGAATGTCATTTCCTAATTCATAAATCTATTGATACATAATCCACTAATAGTTTAGTATTTGTTTTAACGGGTTTTCCATTGCAATTCAACACAATTTAGAAAAAAAATGTACAGAATTGTGTCCAAGTGTTTTAATTTGGGAACAAACTAATCAAAAATATTTACACTGGAACAGACACACAGAAGATTTACATACATGATGAATTAAATCTAAGAATGGCCTTCTTAATTTGCCAAAACACAACAAGCTGGGATTCCTGAGCCTCGGGAGACAGAATCCCTCTTGAATGTTGCAATACAATTATTCAAGGAAAAAGAGATGGAGCAGCAATAGTTTTAAGGCGGCTGATATGTAAAAAAAAGGGCAGGAATTGGGCAGGAACATGATCCATGTTTAATGAATACATTTACTCAGAATACCTTTCTGTGAGCCCTATACGATGAAATATCGCCACTTCAAAAAGTTTGCTTTCGTGATTAACCACTGTATCAAAAAGAAGGGACATGACTCAGCTGATGACTTGACATTTGGACAAACCTAGTCGGTGTAACGTGGTTGATATTTCTGCATATGTTTGAATGTTTTAGAAGCATTCTATCGCTGTATCTGCAAAGTCTTCCAACGCACCCATCATTTAGTTCATCTCCACCGCTACTCCACTGTTTACCTGCGGGGTGCGCACTTGCGAATCACTTCCGGGGGATTCTTGTGTTTCAAATGGAATTCGCAAACAGTAATTTAGACGATCATTATTGGTTTACTGCATTTTCGTTTTAATTGGATCCACAGAAAACCAAAAACAAACCGATATTTCAATTTAGCATTAAATTCAAATATTGGGAATCAAAAACATCCCTCGTTATTCTTTTTTTCAATGTTGGTTTTATTTAGAAAATCAAAAGAACGAATGATACACGGATTTGCTTTGATGGCAATTTTCAAATAAATTTGCGTTCCTCCAGTGGATTGCTGCATGATCTGCTTGGTTCGGTTCGTGAATCCTTTCTGCTCTGGTCTGGATCAGTGTCAAACCATGAACTCTGTACTGCAGTAACATAGAAAAAAATCAAGAAAAATAATAAATAATAATTCAAAAAAGTAAGACTTGCTGTAAAAAGTGTCATTATTTTTTTTAACGGCTAAAAATAACTTCTTTCAGGACCAAATGTTGTTTCATTGCAATAATAAACATTTAATTTAAAAGGCTGCATGTGTGCTGCGTGTGCTCTCAGAGGCCCATGCTGATTGTGCGGACATCTTATTGCATGCTTGCACTAAATCCTGAACTTATCCACAAGAAAAGTGAGAAAATCAAAAACCCAGCTGCAGAAAACTAGTTTGTCCCGTTCACACCAGAGAGCTGACGTGTGCAGAATACCAGAAAAAAAAAAAATACTAATGTTCTGCCTTGATAATGTGAAGCGCCTCTGGCTATATTTATCTCATTCAAGAGATTCAAAAATAGATGCAGTAAAGAGCACACAGAGGTGATGTGTAAACTTCACATTTATTTTTAACAAATCTAACAGTGCACTTTTAACATCCTGTTTAAACACACACTTTATTCTATGTTCCGGCCCTCTGCACATCTGCTGCAAAGAGCTGATGCCCATTCAACATTCTGGCAGCCGTCCAGCTCTCATTGATTTTTCACTGACAATACCTCCCTGGATTTACGACGAAAGGCCAGAGTCGTGCAGAGAATGTGAGAAGCTGAACTCAAAGACAGATGTTTTCCTTTTCTTTTATTATTATGCATATCATTTCATTGCCTGCTGAAATGTACATTGCTTTTGGAATCTTCTATTCTTATTTCTAATCTCCTTGAAGTCTCATGGATCTGTTATGTATTGTTTGTAGGTCCAGTGATTGTCTATCTCCAATCACTGGACTTGTCTGTAATGTAGTGCTCCCGTGGCCATAGAAAAGGCTCTGAGCATCCACTTAGAGGAGACTGACCACAGGACAGTCTCTCCTCATTGGTGACATCACAGGGGCGTCAGTCGGTCCACTCAGGCTGGACCGAGACTGGATTTCAGGTCTGTCTTCCCGCCTCACTGGCTGTTGTTTATTTTTAAATTAATCAATCAGTTTTCCTGTCTATTTAAAACAGTATTGCAGTCCTTTCTAATCCTACAGTGTGCATCAAACAAATCCATAACTGTTGTGGTTCATAGTCATAAAACAAGTCAGAGAAAATTTGTTTAAAAATTATGGAAAAAAAAGAGAAATTATGAAGAAAAAAAAAATCGAGCGCCCTCCAATTGAAACAGCCTCCCGCCATAGGCCCTCTCTGACTTCTCTGCCTCTGTTTAAAGTTATTGTCTGGAGTTTGTCAGAAAAAAGAGAAAGCGGTAAATGATTTGAAAAAAACGACCCAAGCTCCTCCCCCTTCCTTTCTGATTGGTCTACGCCTACGTTTCTGTAACTGTTAATCGGAAAATACATTATACATATACATTATTAACACACATGCACAGAAGTTTTCAGAATTATTTGTTAACGTTTTCAAGACAAAAATAATGTTTTAATGCACAAAGAAAGCGATCGTGGTAAACGAGGAAGTAGCTATTATCATTAATTGAACATTATAGCACACATCTGCAGAGGATCTGATTATGGATATAGGTTCAGTATATAAATGATTATGGATATAGGTTCAGTATATAAATGATTATGGATATAGGTTCAGTATATAAATGATTATGGATATAGGTTCAGTATATAAATGATTATGGATATAGGTTCAGTATATAAATGATTATGGATATAGGTTCAGTATATAACTCAGCGCGGATGTTCAGAATTATTTGTTCAGTTTTCATGTAGTTCCAGAGCCTAATGGAGGCTTGATAACAAACAACTGAGCATGCGCGCAGCAACGAGCACGAGCGCCGATGATTGACAGCCCTTGGCATCACTTGATTGGTTAAAGTGGACGACATCGTGGATTTTGAGCTATAGCTAAGAGAAGGGAAGGCGGGACTTACCTGCAATATTACCCTTATTTTTTATCAATATTTAAGTCCAATTGAACACATTTCTTAAAATTTGTAATTCTTTTAGAGTTCCAGACTATCACTTTGAGAACGCTCTTGTATCCCTCAGAATCCAGTGCTTGTTATGGAAATGAAACCTCCTCTATTCATCTTTAATGGTAACATGTATAACCTTGGCCCAGGAGGTGTCTGTGAGCAACATAACTTAAAACATTTATGGGAGGATTTTGACGACATTTTCACAAAGCAAGCAAATAACTGATGCAATAACGGAGGTGAATCCAAATCACTGTCTGGATACTGATTTTTTTTTTTTACAGGAATGAAACTGCGCCTTTAGACAGAGGTCTGTTCTAGTTATTACTACTGTATTAATGTAAAGCTTGTCCAGAAAAGTTTTTTTTGTCTCTGTCCGTCCCAGCACTATTCTTTATGGACACTTTTCCCTATTATTTTGTGTTCCTCGCCAATTCAGTTTCCTAGTTTTTCATGCTCATGTATCATTCTGGTATGAAGTGACTTTCTTTGTTTCTGAGACAAAATGAAAGTGCTCCAAAATTGGTAACTCTGATGAAAAGCTTCTTCTTCTTTTCTTTTTTTACACCTAATGAGTCTGATATCCCAATGATGTAAGAGACATTTTTGTACTGTTTGAGTAATAAATAAATAAATATTACAACTTATATAACTATGTATTCTACAGGTATAGAACAAGCAGTTGCAAATCAGTGTTATGGAATCAACAACACCCATCTCTGTTTCTACTATGGTTGAATGTATGATGGATGTTTTGTTTGCAATAATGTCTCCATATTTTGCTGCAGATGCCACATTACTACAGTAGATTACCTCCATTCCTTTATACTGTCTGGTCACATTCGTTCTGCTTTTTGCCTGCGATGGCTTCAAAAACAAGAGAATTGTGAATACATCTCTGACAGAGCCTTTCGTTCCAGGTGAGTTAACAGTTGAACCATGAGGCCAGCTCCAGTCGTGCGTCGTGGAGGCTTCAGCATGTCTCTGCCCAGCCTCCTGGCCCTGCTGTTGCTGCTGCTGGTACCTGTCTGTCAGGCTGAGTCCCGGAGGAGTGACCCGCTCGTGGGGAGTGCCCTGCCCTCCAGCCTCTATCCCTACACCGTGGCCCCCACCAGCAACAGCAGCCTCCCCTGGGTGGACAAGTGTAACGAGAAGACGGAGTGTAAACCTGGCATCCTGCTGCCCGTGTGGGAGCCTGACAACCCGGGGCTGGGCCAGCAGGTGGCTCGGGCGGTGGTCTACTTTGTGTCGCTCATGTACATGTTCATGGGAGTGTCCATCATCGCTGACCGCTTCATGGCCTCCATCGAAGTCATCACGTCACAGGTCAGGAAGAGCCTTGACTTTTCTCTGTAAAACTTTTCTGCCTAATGTGGAGGTGGGCAATAATGACCAAATGGTATCTTGATGACTGAATCTCTGATAATCATGACTATATTTTGGTTCAAAATCAGATTAGCGATAACATATGACTGACATTCCTTGGTTGGAATAAAGCATTGGCTAAAAAGTAATTGTAGGCTACAAGTGCAGATTACAGAATACTTGTGTGTCTTATTATAAATCAGATGGTAAAATTAATAGGCCTATTCCATTTTGCAAATTTATCCAAAACAATGTTCATTCATGCAATGTAGCCCAGCTGTATTTTCTGATTTATGTTAAAGTCTTGCTTATAGTTCAGAATCTGCATATCTACAAAGTCAGATTACATTTGAAAATACTTACAGATTACAAGAGCAGACATAGTAACCTTTGGGAAGGTGGGCCAGACAGTCGCTAGTTGTCACTTTGAATTTAGAGCTGAATCAATTTACTTTGAATCAATCTAATTAGATGTAATGTTATTTACAAGTTATATAAGACGTCCTGCTTAAGTCCTGCTTATTCTAGTCTAGATTTCTTGATTTAGGCGATCTCCTTTCATCCCGGTCTTGTCCCTTTTACTGTACATTGTGTGTAGTCTTTACACCTGGTTCATCTGCTGCGATCTGCACTGCAACTGAATGGAACCAGAGGGAGCTGTTGATGAACATTAGCACTTCTGCAGTTAGGCCCACGAACAAGAGCCCCTCTATACTAATGTTCCACAATTATTACCAAAACACACTCCAACTGTTAGATGACTTTGGAAAGCCCATATCACACAGTGTAGGACTGGGTTTCAGATGCACCATTTCCCCAAGGAGAGTACCACAGAAACTTAGCCTTACAAAGTACTCACTAACATCTACAATAAACACTGTATTTCACAGGAGAAAGAGGTGACCATAACACTGCCGAATGGGGAAACGACTTCAGCAACGGTCCGAATCTGGAACGAGACAGTGTCCAACCTGACCCTGATGGCCCTGGGCTCCAGCGCTCCTGAGATCCTGCTGTCTGTTATAGAGGTAGGCCCAGTGCTGAAATACTACAGTCTGTTATAGAGGTAGGCCCAGTGCTGAAATACTACAGTCTGTTAGACTTTAGACCCAGTGTGCACTGCTACATCTGCCATGACACTCACTCCTCTGTCTCCTCTACAGATCTGTGGTCACGGGTTTAAAGCCGGGAAGCTGGGCCCTGGCACTATTGTTGGCAGTGCAGCGTTTAACATGTTTGTTATCATCGGCATCTGTGTGTGGACGATTCCCAACGGAGAGTCACGTAAAATCAAACATCTGCGCGTGTTCTTCATCACCGCGTTTTGGAGTATCTTTGCGTACGTCTGGCTCTACCTCATCCTGTCGGCCATTTCTCCCGGCGTGGTGGAGGTGGGCTGCTGCTGCACAAGCTGTGTGTAATGGTTGGTGTGTTGATGTGACTGAGTGTGCTGTATTTCAGATTTGGGAGGCTCTGGTCACACTGCTGTTCTTCCCTGTGTGTGTGCTGCTGGCCTGGATCGCAGATCGCCGCCTCCTCTTCTATAAATACATGGGCAAACGTTATCGGGCTGACAAGCGTGGCATTGTGGTGGAGACAGAGGGGGATCTGACTCCCAATAAAGCCACTATGGAGATGGCCATTGATGGCAAGTTTCCTCTCCGTGGTGGCGCTGTGGTCCCCACTGAGAACTGCAGAGGAAACACTGATGACACCACAGGAGCTGGAGACACTGCTGCAGGGGCCTCCAGCGGAGGGGGCCACCTGCCCACCTCCAACAGTGCAATGGTCAACATGGAGAGCAGCCGGGAGCTGGATGAGAGCCGCAAGGAGGTGAGGAATAAAAATATCATTTTTCGCCCTGATATTTAACAATATATTTGTCCACTTTAATAAAAATAAAGCAATATAACTGGTATGACTATTACAAAAATATGTCTTTGTCCAAACTTTCACAGTGAGAAGAGGTAAAACATATTTCACACGTCCTACTGACAGTTTCAGCCTCTTCAGCCCTGTCTGCTGTTACTGTCACATTCTTGAAGTCTTTCAAATGTTGTTATTTTGTTTATAATCCTCCATTGTTAAAATTACAATCTTTTGATATTTAAACTTTTATGTCTATGTTAGATGTAAACCCTGTAGACTAGCGTTCTATATTGATTAGATGAACAAAATCACAACAGTTGGGACTGCAGTCATGTAATCGTACAGGTTATGGAGAAAGACACACCCATACATTTAGGTATTAAGGGATGTGTAGTAATCATTTAGCAGAATAATTAACCAAACTAATATTAGAGGCACTTGCAACATGGAATCTGAAAAGTCAAGATAAGTAGGATTTTTACTTATTTGTGTTGGAGAGTGGGCGACTATGCTCGATGGACAATTTTTCTGCTCCAGTTACAGAGCAGATTCTGAATAACCAGCGGCCCGTCAAAGTCAACACGCCAGTCGTATCGATTCAGATTTTCTTCACGCATTTGAATTTGGCAAAGCGTATTCCACACAGGCTGAGGCAAAAGATGATGAGAGTTTGGTTGCTGCGCTCAGAGTTGTGTGTGTAGTAAATGTCAAGTGGCTTTGCTGTTTATCAGGTGATTCGGATCCTGAGGGAGCTGAAACAGAAGTATCCCGATAAAGAGCTGGACCAGCTTATGGAACTGGCTAACTACTACGCCCTGCTGCACCAACAGAAGAGCCGGGCCTTCTACCGCATTCAGGTGAGCTCACAGTCCTACGCACACACACATACATACTTTATATTCAGATTCCATCCAAAACCAATCTCCAGTGCAGATGAGAATGTATACTGTTTTGTGCAGATGGCAACACTCAACAGAAGTGTTAGTTGTCTGATAAGTGCAGGCTTTCTGCTTTTGCAAAAACACTGAGGGGACAAAATGTAGCAAAACCAAGAACTAAGTGTTTTTACTGCAAATGTTGGAACATAGGAATATATTAAGCTATTTTTATCCAAGTGATGCTGACTCATAATGTATATCACATGCCCTAAAATATTATGATTCTGTAGGGGTTGGAGTTTATGTTAGGAAACAAGAAATAAGTAAGAAATTGTAATCTAAAAACATTACATGAATAAACATTGTAATCAAGTGCTTTTAGGGTCTAAGCAAACAGACAACTATGTCCTGCGCACACAATGAAAATCCAGCGTACTGTGCCAGCATAAACGATGCAGGCTTCATTCTCAAAAAAAAAAAAACAAGACAAGTCAGAGCCTCTCTGCCTGTGACCATGAGGTACACTGTCAGAGTGCGGGAGAAGCGCCCGACACAGAAGTTTGAAGCTGCGTTTGATCCAGAACAGGGCTCGGACCAACTGCACCCTACACACCGTGAACTTGCGCACTCGGACTTGCCGCAGAGTTACAAGTGGTGTCTCACGAGCACTACACCAGCTGCAGTGTGTGCGTGGAGCCACAAACACACCTAGCGCGCACGCACTTATGTAGGGAAGACCATGTCTGGTCAGAACAGCACGAAGTTGCCTATTGTTGAGTAAAGTTGGTTTTGTGGCAATATGACTATTAGTATCTTAAATAATTATAGGTCTATGTGTTTCATATTAACCAAACCCCCTCTATCACTGCTACTGTCCTTCAAATGAACAAAAAACAAAAACATTCACCAACGCACGCACACGCACAAATTATTGATAATAATTAGATCCATTGAACTTGCTTAGACACAAACCCAACAGACTTAAAAATAAATGAAGTAAAACATGAAACCCACCATAAGCACATGCGTCCCCTGTTCCCTGAAGGCCACTCGCATGATGATCGGAGCAGGGAACGTCCTGAAGAAGCACGCGGCTGACCACGCCCGCCGCGCGGTGGTCCCAGAGGAGGAGGTTCCGGAGGACAACGACCTGGACGTCTGCAGCCACATCTCCTTCGAGAGCCCCCACACTCAGTGCATGGAGAACTGCGGCGTGCTGAGCCTCGCCGTGCTCTGCCAGGGTGAGTCCTCCTCATCACGTCAGTCTGCACAATCCTGATTCTCTCATCACTGTTTTTTTACTTTTAACCCACACCACTCAAATGTTTGGGAGAACTTAGAACTCAAAAATCAGTTCAATTCATAGTAAGTAAGTAAGTAAGTAAGTAAGTAAGTAATGTTTATTTATATACCGCCTTTCACAGACAAGGGTCACAAAGCGGTTTACAATTGTTGTTTTTTTTGGGCAATTCATGTATTTTTTTTAGCCTTAAATCACAACAGTAGTTACCTCAGTGGACCTTTGAATTTGCCAACACAGATCAGAGAATCAAAGAGTTCAAAAGCAAGAAATGCAATCATTAAAAACACATAGAGGCATTGATCCATAAGGGGCAGAGATGACCAATGTCCCTAATTGTTGATAAATGTCCATAAATGTTGAATGATGAGTGTCCTGGATCATCACCACTGTCCTTAGACCCTCCTGCCTCGACAAGGGAAATCTAAAAAAAAAAAAAAAAATTGTGGGAAATAGTGAAAAACCTCCACATTGAGAGGGGCATGGATCCGCTCCCACAAACAGGCTAAAGATCCAGTACTCAGGCTACAGAAAAAAAAAAACTGTTTGGTCATCTGTCCAAGGGGCGACAGTAGCTCAATTGATAGAGAAAGGTTGTGGGTTCGAGCCCACCACAAGATCTACTTCATGACTGATGTCTGCTGTTGTTGTGTCCTTGGACAAGACACTTAACCCCACTTTGCCTGAAGCCCCTGTTGAAAGATCAAGGCTCCTGTGGACTCAGCACCTGCAGGAGGATCAGTGAGGGACTGGTGATATGTGTACTGGGTGTAGTTCTGACTGCCCCCCCGACCCAGAAATGGATTAAGGGGAAGAAAATGGATGGATGGATGGACTGGTCCCATAACACCAACGCCCTGTACAAGAAGGGCCAAAGTTGCCTCTTCCTTCTGAGGAGGCTGAGGTCCTTCGGAGTGAGCAGGCCTCTGCTCAGGACTTTTTATGACTCTGTGGTAGCCTCAGCCATATACTACGCTGCTGTGTGCTGGGCCCTGGACAGCACAGAGCAGGACTGTCAGGAGGACCAGCTTCACTCTGGGCTGCCCCCTGGACTCCTTGGAGGAGGTGAGGGACAGGAGTCCCCTGGACTATGTGGAGGGTGCTAGCCAAAGCCACCTCCATCATGAACAACACCTCCCACTGCACAGGACTGTAGAGGAACTGAGGAGCTCCTTCAGTGGAAGTCTGATGCACCCTCAGTGTAAGAAGGAGCGCTACCGCAGGGCCTTTATCCCCACCGCTATCAGACTGTACAATGAGTCCCTTTTAGTCACTTGCACTAGGACTAAAAAAATCTGCACTACTATTGCCACTGTTTCTTCAGTTGCCACTTTTATTGTACATAATACAATGGGTTTTTAGTGTACCCAGTGTTTCCTCTGGAGGAGCCCTCTGCACTGGGAGCAGTGGTCGGCTGTGGCTGCGGGGGTCGGACTCTTGGGCCTGGCGGGGGCCTGGGGCCTCGGTTTTGTGTCTCCTCTGGGTCCTGTGTCGTCCCCTGTGGCTACAGGCGGCTCTCTGCTCCTGGTGCAGACGGCTCCTTGGATGACGCTTTTTCAGCTGGTTGCATCTGAACCCTGCCAAATCTCTGATCATGGTTTTATTGTTTTACTGGTGTGTGTGTGTGTGTGTGTGTGTGTGTGTGTGTGTGTGTGTGTGTGTGTGTGTGTGTGTATGAGTGTTCATGAGAGCGTGTGTGTGTGTTTGTCTGTGGTTTGGGTTGGGTCTGTTGGGTGGCCTGGGGGAGGAGTCTTAGGCCGGCGGGATTGTTTTTAACCAAATTTGATTGATTGATTGATTGAATATATCCTGCATTTAAAATGTTAGCACGCTTCTTTCTTTTGCACAAATCTTGAATGTTTCTATCCATGCCAGATGTGACATGTAAATTTCTCCCGTGTGAGATCAATGAAGTCTATCTTATCTTGTCTTAACCCCTGTAACCTGCCTCAATGACTATCGTTCTGTGGCTCTCACGTCTGTTTTCATAAAGACTTTTGAGCGGCTTGTGTTGGACTTTATTAAGAGCCAAATCCCTGTGAGTATTGATCCGGTCCAGTTTGCCTGCAGACAGAATAGGTTGAGGATGCAATCTTGTTTGCTCTGAACTCTGTGTACAGTCACTTGGACAATAGGTCATTGATTATAGCTCTGCTTTTAATTGCCTCGTCTCAGGTAAACTCATGTCTCTCGGTTTAAGTGATGCCATGTGTTAGTAGATTTTAAGCGTGTGTGTGTGTTGTAGGAGGTCTAGGAGAGAACACCTTCTACGTGGACTACAGGACTGAGGACGGCTCTGCAAACGCTGGCTCAGACTACGATTATCGTGAAGGGACGCTGGTCTTCAAACCTGGAGACACACGCAAGGAGATCAGGGTGAGTGAGACCATTACCTGACCGTTCTATGCCCAAATAAGGAGAAGGATGTCTATGTCTAAGGAGAAGGATGTCAATGTCCAAATAAGGAGAAGGGTGTCTATGTCCAAATAAGGAGGATGTACAGAACATGTCCAAATAAGGAGAAGGATGTCTATGTCCAAATAAGGAGAAGGCTGTCTATGTCCAAATAAGGAGAAGGCTGTCTATGTCCAAATAAGGAGAAGGGTGTCTATGACCAAATAAGGAGAAGGCTGTCTATGTCCAAATAAGGAGAAGGCTGTCTATGTCCAAATAAGGAGAAGGGTGTCTATGACCAAATAAGGAGAAGGATGTCTATGTCCAAATAAGGAGAAGGATGTCTATGTCCAAATAAGGAGAAGCATGTACAGTATATGTCCAAATAAGGAGAAGGATGTCCCATTACAGTGCGACAGTGAACAACAGTATTTTTGCATCAAAGTTTTGTGTGATATATTTCCATGTATGATGTGTTTGACTCCTGTGTACCATACGTATAATAGGGAGGGACTGAAAGATGTATTGGTTTAAGGACTGAGTGATTCATTTGGAGTTGAAAAGAGGCTAGAGCAGGTGTCATGCAGTGGTTTCTGCTGCAGGTGGGCATCATTGACGACGACATCTTTGAGGAGGACGAGCATTTCTTCGTGCGCCTGCTGAACCTGCGCGTGGGAGACGCAGAGGGCATGTTTGAGAGCGATGAGGCGGGTGCTGCCCCTAAAGCCCGTCTGATGGAACCCCTGGTCGCCACGGTGACCATCCTGGACGACGACCACGCTGGGATCTTCACGTTCAGCGACAGCATGTGCCGCGTCAGTGAGAGCGTGGGCACGATGGAGGTCACTGTGGTGCGCAACTCCGGAGCGCGAGGCACGGTCATCCTCCCGTATCACACCGAGGCCGGCACCGCCAAGTCGGGGGAGGACTACGAGGACGCCAGGGGAGAGCTGGAGTTCACCAACGACCAGACCGCGTGAGTCCACCGCAGCTTCTCACCACAACATTATCTGGAGCACAAGAGAGCAGGACAATTATAGATGGAGTACCTAACCGTAAAAACCGTAGAAAACCTGTAAAACATGTAATAAGTATTAAAATCTATCTAACTAGTACCTGGCTCTCAAAACTGCCACAATACTAGTTTTCACAGTAGTTTATTTTGTTAAGTAAAAAAATATACCATACCGGCCGTCTTTCAGCCAATCAGCTCTCGGTATGTAAAATATAGAATGACAAGACAACATGTTGTGATCTCATTCGATCATAAAATCTTACTTAAATAAAACTTTTTTATTTTGGGACAAACAAGATGAAACAAAACAAGTTCGGTACTCGAGATTTTAGTTAGGTACTCTCATATAAAAGATTTACCATGAAAAAAATGAAGAGGGGTATGTGTTGTCTCTTACCAAAAAAAAATACCCCTTTAAAAACTTCCATCGTCTGACACTCGTGAAATAATTACATCATGTTTTTATGAACATTGCCCTACTACTTCCACCTCAGAAACATCTGCTGATTCTCCCCTCACATCTCTGCCATACTCATACACGACCTCGTCACCCCCCACCTTGACTATTGTAATTCCTTTCTGTTCAGTCTCACTTAAAAACCCCTGAAACGGTCCAAAACACAGCCTCCATACATGACTGACCTCCTCCAGATCTCCACACCTGCCCTGTACCTCCACTCCTCCTCTTCTCTCCAGCACCTGGTGCCTCCTGCCCACTTCGTCCACATGGGTAGTTGAGCCTTCAGCCGTTCTGCTCCCCAGCTGTGGAACACTCTCCCCCCTAACCTCCCTAACACCGACTCACTCACACTCTTCAAAGACACTCTCAAAACTCATCTGTCACTCAGACCAGCTGAGGTCATGTCTCTCAGCTGGCTACATTCACTGTAGTGTGTGGAGAGGGAAGTCTTGGTATGCGGATAACCGTAGGAAGTGGAAGGAAAGTAGGAAAGTGTTCCTTCACAACCTGTTTTGAAAACAGGTTTTGCTTTAACCAGATATTACAAATGGATTCAGTTTCAGTTGAATTGCCAGTGGGTTTTATGTTGGTTATGTCTCATTTTTGTGTTTTTCTTGTTGTGTTCAGTCAGACGATTCAGATCAGGATCATTGATGATGAAGAGTATGAGAAAAAAGAGAGCTTCTACATTGTCCTGGAAGAGCCCAGATGGCTGAAGAGGGGCATCTCAGGTACTTTTGCTTTTCACACGCTCCCATTCAGTCTCTGGACTGAAACTAACAGTATGTGTTGTGTTTGTCTCTACAGCCTTGCTCCTAAACCAAGGTAAGATATGTATTTATTTCACACTATTTAATACTGCATGCATTGAATCTTTCTGATAAACATGACTTCTCTCACCTGGCACTAAATATAATTAAATATGATGCAACATGTGTACTCAGATGACTGTGAGGGCCAGGTCAGTGCTGAGGAAGAGGAGGCCCGCAGGATCGCTGAGATGGGGAAACCCATTCTGGGAGAACACAGTCGACTGGAGGTGGTCATCGAGGAGTCCTATGAGTTCAAGGTATTATCCCAGTCTCCCAGCAGCTCTAGACATGTTTCATGTTTACATCATGTTAAGGTGTATCCTGCATTTGTTTTGCTTCTGGGTGACAGAGCTGACAGAAACACATTTTCCAATTCTCCAATCATAGATTCACATACATAATACAAACACATATTTTGATATGTTTTGTGTGTTGTGTTGTAATCTCCAGAGCACAGTGGACAAACTGATCAAGAAGACCAACCTAGCACTGGTCATTGGAACACATTCTTGGAGGGAACAGTTTGTGGAGGCTGTGACGGTCAGTGCAGGTGAGTGCTGCTTTACAGAGCCAGGGTTTCTCTCTCCTGTTTGCTTAACGCTGCTGCTCTTGTGTCCAGGGGATGGCGACGAGGACGAGGAGCGACTGCCCTCCTGCTATGACTATGTCATGCACTTTGTCACGGTCTTCTGGAAGGTGCTGTTTGCCTGCGTCCCTCCCACAGAATACTGGAACGGCTGGGCCTGCTTCTGCGTGTCCATCAGTTCCATTGGATTCCTCACAGCCATAATCGGAGATCTGGCCTCTCACTTCGGCTGCACTGTGGGGCTACGAGACACAGTCACTGCGGTGGTGTTTGTGGCTCTAGGAACATCCATACCAGGTGAGAAAGACTTTACACAATTTCACAAACATGGCATACATCCAGGACTGACAGCATTTTTGACTATATTTTATTAATGGAATGTTTGTTCAATCAAGATGGTGATTTTTTTTTATTTGTCTTTTGTAATTTCATAAAACTTGAGCTGTAGCTCTGTGTAGTAACTTTTAGGTTAATTATTGCTGATTGCTATCTTTGTTTGAGCTTATGTTTTATAATCAGATGTAGCTGTACAATCTTTTAAGCAAATTTGTCTTTTATAGCCCAAATCATACGTAAGGCAACACAAAGGGCTGAGCAAAACAAGATTGAGACAGTTACAGAAGGCATTAAAATCTACACAATCAATAATGACCATTGTGCTTTGTACTATCAAGTAAGTTTTCAAATTAATCCCCCGGCCTCTCTTTCTCCGCTTCAGACACATTTGCCAGTAAAGTAGCAGCCATACAGGACCAGCACGCAGACGCCTCCGTTGGCAACGTCACTGGCAGTAATGCAGTCAATGTATTTCTGGGGATCGGAGTGGCCTGGTCCGTGGCTGCCGTCTACTGGAGGATCCAAGGACAGCCCTTCAGAGTTGACCCTGGCTCTATGGCCTTCTCCGTCACACTCTTCACCATCTTTGCGTTCATCTGCATGGGCGTGCTGATGTTCCGCCGCAGGCCCTCTATCGGGGGAGAGCTGGGAGGGCCCAAAATCCCCCGACTTCTCACCACTCTGCTTTTCTTGGGTCTTTGGTTCCTCTACATCTTGTTCTCCAGCCTGGAGGCCTACTGCCACATCAAGGGCTTTTAAGCACAGGCACAAACACACAGCTTAGTCCCAGCAGTACTTTTGACTGCGTGGAATTCAAAATGACTGTAAATAAGCATGTGTGAAGTTCTCCTACATGAACTGATAGCAGCTGCTGAGTGTGGTGAGCAAGACTGACATGAGTGATATGTTTACATTCACAACAGACCAATAACACAAAGCTGTATCATCAGGCTGAGATGAAGAGTTTTAAATAGTGTAGCAACTGTCACAGCGGCTCTTCGGAACTTCTTAGCTGACCGGTTCCCACTGCTCACCTTCTGCCGACCTCAACAGACAGGTTACAAGTCATTGGAAACAAGACGGACAGAGTAGATTGAAGGAGGGCTCATACTGTAATTATATACAAATATGTAAATAGAATCGCAAAATATTATGTGCAAGAAAATGATGAGAAAAAGCACTGCCTATCCCCTCCTACATCTCCCGTTTGTCATCCAATCAGATGGTTGCAATTGTGTACATAGTCTAAGCATTGCTGCGTGCAAACAGGGTCACAGGGATGAGTCCTTTGACATGGCTGCAGGGGCAGAGCAGTCGCTGGTCTGGGCCGAGGAGTATTCTTAAGGCTGAGTGAAAGTGAATCGAAGCATACGGTCCACCGTAAGAAGGACTTATGTGTTTATGAGCCATATGCCTGGTCTCCAGGGTCCCAGTGATGATGTCACTCAGTTACTTGTGTGTTGATGATCCCTTGCATGTATGTAGCTGTTTCTCTGAAAATATCATGGCTGCTACTGTGTGTCATTAATGTGAAGTGTGTAGTCGAAGGACCAAAGGACGCATTTACATAAGTGGAGTGTGTCACATATTCCACAGACAGTGTTAAAAACCCTCATGTCTTCATTCAACAATAACCGCTCTTATTTGACTAAATAAAGCTGCTAGAGGTAGCGTAGCTCTCACATCACAACATTCACGGAAACAATTGTTTCCGCTTGTACTCATAATGGCCTTCATTTATCAAACTTCTGTTAGCGGGCAGTCATTTGTCTGTGTGTGAGGCTCAGCCTGGCCACAAGGCCACAAGTCCAGTGTAGTTTACACAGACACTGGTCACACTGCTCACTCTGTTAGTAGTCAACCTGGATGCACTTATCAAGTCTGATACTGATCTTGAAACTTTAGTTTCAATGTCTAGCAATAGGAGCCAATACCAGAATAGTAAGTAAGTCATCTTTATTTATATAACGCCTATCACAGACCAGAGTCACAAAGCACTTTACAATTGTGGGCATTTGTCTCTCACTCCATCAGAGATGGAGCGAGGCCACCAGTACATACCAGACTTATTTTACATGTTTTTAGGGGTATGGGGAACCAGAGCACCTGGAGGAAACCTAAGCAGACATGGGGAGAACATGCAAACTCCACTCAGAAAGGTCACGTTCCGACCAGGATTCGAATCCAGGACCTTTTTCCTGAGAAGCGAGAGTGCTATCCACTCAGCCACTGTGCCGGATATTTTTCTCCCCACAATTCTCAGATAACTTATTATAAATCTAATTGTGTATTAAACTAGTTTTTAATCCTGAAAGTACCAACGGAACTATTGTCTGAGAGAAAGTGAGCCCTACTGTATATGACATTCTGGCTATTATCTACATATTACATCAACAATAAGGCTTACTCAAAATCGACTGAACTGATATCAAAACAATACTTGATCCAACAAAAAAATGACATTCTTGTGCATGTTTGATCTCTGAAGGCCATATCGAGTGAGTGAAGTGAACATGTTTCATAGTATTCTGCTGGTACCGTATAAACAGTCGTTGGACAGTCCACTGTAACAGACCAGCGCGCGAACCCGTCTGGATGTACTGTCAATACATCGGTCTGGGTTGAAGACACAAATGCTACAGTTCAGTGAAGCTAAGTGCAAGTCCGTCTGTCCTGATCGTACTCTTTCTATCGTGTCCTTATTTCCAAAGATAAAATCAGGAGTTCCCACAGGCACATATAACTGTTTCAATTAGGTGTATGATTTGATGGAATTATTGGCTCATAAAAGTGTAAGGGCTTCAAAATGGATGAATTCAATTAGGAATCCCTTTAACATTTTGTAAGATTTTCGGGGAAATTATATCTCGGACAAATGTTCCTGATTTTGATACCAACTTTCCTTTTGTATTTTATTTTTGTAAATTGAGCCTGCCTCAGCTGTACTCTGTGAAGCACTGTAGTAAAGTATAAATGGCTATATTCTTTAGACTACCATTCACAGCTATGGGTCAATTGTGCAATATTACAATTCTAAATGTTGAACACAGAGAAGCTTCAGTCTCCAGGTGTCAGAAGCATGTTTACAGTCAGTCTGTTTACGTGGAGGTTTGATGTGAAAATGCCTTTAATATTGCCTCTATCGGGGAGCGTTGACACTTGCACACACTGTTGGGTCAGTAACATTTATTCAAGTAATAAAAATAATGCGTTGGTTTTATGTAGCATTTTTTTGGACACTCAAAGACTCTTCACATGTCACTGATCTGTCACTCCATACATGGTGGCACCTGGTGTTCCCAGAGGTCTTCCATCAAGGTTCTAACCAAGCCCTTTTCCTGCTTAGCTTCAAAGGTCTGACAGGATCTGTTTGTCACGTGCAGGTTGCTCCACAAGTAACTAGCATAAAAAGAAGACGTATAAAATCTCTGCTAAAGATAGAGATTTTATACTGCTTTTTATTTATTATCTATTTATCTTGTTCTGTGTGCTCCTCATTCCTACTGTTCTATAACCTGTGATGAAACACTGAAATTTCCCCACAATGGGACAAATAAAGGATTTCTATATCTTAATAAGACATAAGACCTTGGAATTGAGATTGAATGACATTGTTTGTCAGGCTTGATCTCTCTGACCCGGCTTGGATTTGCCCCTGTGTACGGAGGTCTGAGGGCACCGGAATTCGGTTTAATTGGAATTAATAGAATATCTGCCTGCTTTTGACTGCGACATTGCAGGCGATGTGTTTTTCTCCTCCTGTGGCTTCTCTCCACTCTTATCTCACATTCCTCAGCCAAGGCCATAAACAAGGTCCCACAATCTACAACAACTCACACTATTTCAGTCTTCAGCAAGGATCCCCCACCCCCGCCTCCCTCTACCTATCCATCTTGCTCCCTCCCTCCCCTCCATTCCTTATTGTTTTCCTACTCACCCCCTCCCTGATCCCGCCCCCCTCTGACAGCTACATTGGGCCGGCCGAAGAGGTGCTCTTCCCGAGAAAAAAATCCGTGGTTTATAAAAAGCACAATGTGTCTATCCAATTGTCTGTGAACTGTATGTTATTGCTCTCTGCTGTTTCTTGCTGCACACAGCGCCGCAAATGGCGAAGTGGCACGCTCTCTGCCAAAACAATTTCCAAGTGATAACTTTGTTACTCACGTGGCAATAAAAATGATTCTGATTCTGATTCTGATTCTGATTAATCTTAATCTAAATTATATCATAATTTTCAACCAACATATCTCAATTTGCATGTTTTGGTGTGACAGCTGTACTGGAAGCCTCCTAGAAATAAGTGAAACTCAGATAAGGAGAATATTGTACCTGGAACCGGTTAAAGAGGGCTGGCAGAAACGCTCCCAATGAGAGAAGAGTTGAGCATGGCGAAGTAGGGCTGGTGGAAACTTTGATCTAAAAAAAAAAAACACATCCTGGGGCTGCAATTTTCTAGCAAAACTGAAGACTACATACCACCTAACAAATGTGCTAAAGCCGCGAGACAGGTGTAAAACCAAGTGTCAATGTCCCCCGGGGGAATGGTTTAAACTGCACAACTGCATTTATAGGAACTTGTCTAAACCATACCTGGGTCACACCCTTTTCTCTGTCAGCGACCTGTCATTGAATAGACCGTGGGTTTCTTCAGACTGACTGTCCTTACTCGTGTGTGTGTGTGTGTCTTGTTCTCCGTGCCCCCGTGGTCTCTGCATGTCCCAAAGCGTACGTACGTATGTAGCTCTCAGCATGGACTTCTACTGTTTAGTACCTGCGCTCCGTGTGCAGTGAGCCATAACCACACAAGAGCACTGCAGCGAGCCAAGATCCAGATTTTAGAAATATGTGCAATTAACTGTATGTCTCTGTCTCTATAACTGTGAACATCCATCTAATGCCTGACCTGAATAGTAGACAAACCATTATTGACTTTTGTATGTGTGAACAGTATATATACTCATATGTGTGATGGGCAGGTTTATTTGAGACTGTACAATACAATCAACAGGAAAAATAGGATCATTTTTGTTATAAAATTAGGGCTGTCAAATGATAAAAAATTTTTAGCTGATTAATTGCAAAGTAATGGTGAGTTAACTCACAATTAATCGCATTTTTAACATTCTATTTCAAATCCACTCCAATTGAAGTTAAATGAGAGTATCAAATGTATTGACACATTGTTATTTATACTAAATGTACTTAAGTCTGTTTGATTCACAACCTTTTACTTTTGGGCACAACCAAAATGAGCTGTTAATGAAAGGGGAAAATGTACGTACCCCAGCTTTAATTTAGCGAGTTCATATTCTTTTAAAACTTGAATTCCCAGAGGGCCTACCTGCTCTGTGGCCATCTCACACACGCATGTGTCCGCAGCATTCTGAGTGATATTATGGATAAATGCGCGGGTCATTCGGAAATGCGTTAATGCGTTAATTTTTTTTTTTACGCGTTCATGAAAAATTTAATTAACGTGAGTTAACGCAATCATTTTGACAGCCCTGTATAAAATATATACAAAAATGTTTGAGACAAGGAAAAAACATGGCATGGGTTTAATGTAAATGAAACAGAACTTACTGCAATACAGTTCATTGTTTTTATGTGTGGGAGTCTTTCTTTTCACTCAAAACTTCAATTAACTTATTTTGGTTTAGTCCTAATAGTCCTAATCCACAACAGCAGTCGTGTTGGAGGAATAGATTATAATAGTGTTATGAATGCCAATACATTTGCCAAGAAATTAGAAACTTTACTTATACACTTAAGGATAGCATCAGGACAGTTTGAGTCCTTTACTAGTGTTTGAAAATAACTTTAATTTAGTCTTGCAGAAGAGTGTGCTGAACCACATCAAAAACTTTCTGCAGATTCAACAGCTTTGGCAGGAGTTGTTCCAAAAAAGGAAAATAATTGTGTCATCAGCATGCAAATGCAAATCAGCATCTGACATGTTTTGTCCTAATTCTTTAATGTACTGTATAATGGGCAGGAGAGGTCCTGATATTGAGCCCTGAGGCACCCCCTTGTGGACACACAAATGCAAAACACTGACCATGTAATTGTCCTGTAGCTCGGATAATTAGTGAACCAAGAGACCACGTGAAAGACGCCTATGCTTTATAACAGCATGGTCCACCGCGTGTCACAAGCTTCATAAAGATCTGTCAAAGCACAGTACTGCTTTTTGTCAAGTGCAACAAGTATCATTTATGACTTTTGTGGCCACAGCGACAAACTTTTTTAGTTGGTCAGAGATTCCATGTTTTTTATTACAAATTGAACATGACTTAACAATACACATGCTACAGAAATGAAATACAAAATTAAGTTACAAAGTAAAGTATTTTCTTTTCAGACGCTGGTCCTCTGCTGCAGAGCCATTGAGTCCCCTCATACATGTTTATATAAACATTGCCACGGAGCATCTAGAAACAAAAGTCCTCCTATAAGCGTACAAGTTTGGCAATATGCAATGTAGAACAATAAAACGGTAATTAGGAGCCATACTTACTTTTTTTAGCTTGGTGGTTAAATGTTTGGAAAACTATCCCCTTGTTAAGGCTGGTTATTTCTGTGCCATTTCTTCTTCCTCTGAAAGAAGCACATGTACTGTAAAATGATTAGGGACTATCACTCAAAGTCAAAAAGGGTCTTAGTGGGGACAGAGCATCTCCTTGGTAGATACCACATTTGATGGTCACTTGTGCGAGCGGCTTGCCATTTGCCTCAATGGTGGTCTTCCACATTCCCATCGATTTTGCAACGAAGTCCCTTAGAGCCCTGTTGATATTGTACAACTTCAAGCATTCCATGATCCATGTGTGTGGCATTGAGGTGTAGGCTTTCTGGTAATCAATCCAGGCTGTGCACAGGTTGGTGTGTCGTGACCGGAGCTGGTGTTTGGCTCCTCTGGTGTCTCTACCAATGCCCTTCTGTGCTGTGCTCATGAATTGTTCCATATGCCCACTTATCTTAGCCGCAATGATGCCTGACATGGGCTTCCATGTTGTGGAGAGACATATATATATATATATATATATATATATATATATATATATATATATATATATATATATATATATATATATATATATATATATATATATATATATATATATATTATATAGCAAATAGCTTGGTAGATAAGACTTAGAAATAAAATAGTCATAGTAATAGTCAATATTAATATTAAGTATTTAACTTGCCACCCTGCTTTTAGAGCTTGTTTGTTTTCACTGGACCTGTTGTTTCTGTGGTTTTTGTGTTTTAAAACCTATGAATTACTTCCCACAAAAAAAAAAAACAACAACACATTTATCACACTAAACTGGGAAAATGACACAAGACATTTTACTTTGCACCCTTAGTTCGGAACCTGGATTGATGAAATCACCATCACAAACGTACCCAAATACGGCTAAGATGTCCCGAGTATGTCCCTGTTAATGTAATAATAGTGCATAATAGTACATGTTTCTAAAAGTAGCCAATAAAATGTGATCAGGTTTTAGCAAACCCCAATCAAGCCTGGGCCTGTTTCCGAGTAACAAGTTTTGAGGTGTGTGGGAATGTACCGGAAAAGTCTCTGGTTCTGTTCCTCGATTATGAGGATCTTCGACTGTGACGAGGACAGCTTTTTCTTTAGCCACATTGGCAGAATTCTGTCCAGGTCCATTATACTTTGTGATCTCTGTGTGAAGACAAACCAAATGTTCTATATTTCTGAACAGAATGCAGTTGTACATGCAGTATAGTGTGGGTCACGGGTGCACCTGCAGGTTCCAGATGTTCTCGCTCTCACTAGAGATCTCCGCCACTGTGTTTCCCATGACGGCGATGAGCATGTTCAGCATCAGGATGTAGGTGAGCACAATGTAGAGGATGAGCAGGAAGCCAAAGGCCGGCTCAATGGTCAGAACGGATCCTAGATTTCCCATTCCAATAGTGAACTGAAATAATTAATATAAAAATTAAAGTCACATACATATTTGTATGCATTATTTGTGTTGATCTTAGCACTGAACATATTTTAATGTATAAGAAAACAAATTGTACAACCAATCTATGACTATCAAATAGGATGAAAGTGTTCTTCTAATGAGAATGTTAAGAAGTCAGTACTGCTTAATTACTTGACGTATTTGTTAGAGGACTACCGGAATCCTATCGCATGTCATATGCGATAGGATTCCGGTAGTCCGACAGATCCATCAGACTAACCACAGCCCCGCACTGTGGTCTCATATGTGAGACAAGGCATAGGCCCTCTCGTCTCTGCTGATGGTCTTATGTCATGTGGCTATGATGGCCATTGGGGGGGGTCAGTAGGAGTGTGACGATATATCGATATGGTGATGTATTGTGATACTTTCTCACGCGATTGATTATCGAAGTGCTCTTTTGCCAAGTATCAATTTTAAAAAATATATATATATATTTATTTATTTTTTTAATTAGTATCAATACTTAATATATGGCTACATCACGCATCTCGTAATAATCTGCTTTGACCTGAACATATTGTTCTATGACCCAGATATTGCCAAAGAAACACATTTCCATCTATCAGCTGACCTTGCTGCCAACAGATCATATGTGCTGTATTTGAATCCAGAGTTGAGAATTAGTTAATAACTTACACTTATAACTATTTATTCAGATTGCTTTACTAAAAGATTTCTATAACAGTATATTTCTGACTAATGTTTTGATAATTGTCATATTGTGATATAATCGTTATCGTGAGCTTTGTATCGCGTATCGTATCGTACCTTGAGGTTCCCACCCCTAGTGGTCAGTGTTCACTCTCACCTGCCTCACCAATCCTCCTCCTACACACCAGTGACTGAATTCCACTGCTCATAAGCATCACTTCAATTCAATTTATTCTTGTAAATCACAACAGCAGTCGTCTTGGAGGACATTACAACGCTGTTGATTCTTCACCAACAGATCAGAGAACAAACAGGAAATTCAAAAGTAACAAACACACAGGAGCCATTGGTTCAAGATATCTGCCGGATCTAGGTTTGCATTTAAACAGCGCCTCACAATCCTTGCTCCTGCTCGCTCAGCCATCCACCTCCTCATCAGTGGAGGAATCATGTCTGCTCGGATTCCACCACCATCAGGTTCCAGACCCGAGGGATTTTTTAGCTCTGAATCAGAATACTCATTACTGCCATGTAAGTAACTGGAAGCCACAGACTACGCAACTGCTTTGGCTATCTGTGCAAACAAGTCAAGTCACTCTAGAGAAGTAGAGAATAGAGGCATAGGCATAGTAACACACATTTCTAAAATATCAAATTAAATTATAGAAATTAAATAGATGCCTGAGTTTAGCATTGAACCAGGGTTTGTCCTTATTGCAATGACCCTGGTCCTTGTTGGAATTATGCTATCCTCGCAGAAGTGAATGTAGGAGAAATTAAAATGACCTCTTTCCTCAATCAAAGACATTTTGTTGTATATTGAGACATATTATAACTTCTGTCTCCACTGTGTGTAAATCCTTGTGGTTCAGCTTTTATTGTGGGTAAGAATGTCTTAAGATAAGTGCCATGGCAACACCTTCCCCCAACGACTCTACAAGATGTGAAGACTTACAAGGACCCACAGGGAAGACAAACCAGTCTGCTTTGGAACCATGGAGTGACCAGACCTCCCTGGGCTCTGCCCTGGGCTCTGCTCAGGCCACCAAGGGTCTTTGGGCCTCTTAGATGGCCTCAAACCTCAGCTCCACGTTTGAGAGGACTTCCACAACCCTTCAATAGCCTCCAGCTTCAACCTGAAGAAGTTGCTGAGTTTTGGCACCTAGACTGTGGATCGTGGGAGGACTTGGTTCAGCCACATGATACAGCCGCATGGTCCAGGCCCCGTGGACAAGAAGCCTCCATCCAACACCATCAAGACCCAAGGACTGCTATTCACCAAAGGCTATTCTGGTTGTATGATCTGCTCTCTTGCTACACACAGTTGTTGGCTTTATTAAAACCTATACTTCAAAGAATACTTCTCTTACCAAGGCTAAACACATGCAGGCCTCAGCCTATACCAATCCATTCATAGACAAAGGCCTTGCTTAGCTCACTTTAGCCTAGCATTTTAAACAATGTATCTTGAAATCAACGTTTCCTTCATGTTATTCTTGACAATTTGCATATTTCATATCTAGTCTGTATTGTGTATACTTCATTAAATCTACAAAACCATCTTTGTCTGTAAGTGATATTTGTACTTTTAACTCCAGAAATTGGGTCACTGATTTGTAAAAGTATTCACTACCTTCAGATTCTATTGAAGAGAATTGGACTAACTAGCTAATTAAATAATGAAAGGACTCATGATATTACTGAATCAATAAATGAGCCAATTAATTGATATTGTGACGTCATATGCACGTTATCAGTTGGGAGTTATTCCTTGGTGCCCCTAAATAAAGCTATTATCAATTATTGTATTTATTACATGGTTGTTTTTGATCCAATTCTCCGATATCAGGTACATAACTTAATTTATGTGTGATATCGACATTTTATCACCTTACATGAATGTACAAAGTCACAGTGTCCGTGCAGTTGTCCAAGCCTCCTAAGACCACACCTTAGAGTTCCTCACTACAGGTTTTGAGAGCTTCAGCCTCTGTCTGTTTGTAGGAATCAGATGGATCATGTTGTTCCTTTTTTATATATATATATATATATATGTTATAGTTAGTCATCATGGTCCTTTTTCACATTCCTTCTGATGTTTCTTTTTTCGCTACACAACACATTTATCTAAAACATAGCTATGGTTAGTTTAGTGATCTCTAGTAGTAAATTCATTCATTCATTCACTCGTTTTCTACACCTTTATTAGTCAATTTCTAATGAGAGCTGCCACCCAATGCTCACAGCACCAGTCCCTCTGATCCTCTGCAGGTGCTGGGTCCACAGGAAGATGGCTCCCTGAACTTGATGTTTGTATTGCCTGTTTTTGAGCTAAGTGATAAAATCCATCAAACCAGAAATGTGACTTCAAGATAGTATCTATAAGAAGTATCTATAGCTATAAGAAGTGTCTCTATCAAGCATGGGTAAAACCTTTCCTCCTGAGGGCTACATTAGACCCCAAGACACCAGCTAAACCCTTCTTTATATTTACCAAAGAACATGTAGGAGACAGTCTCAGGAGAGTAATTCAGGTATAATAAAGGGTTTGACTAATTGGTTGGAGGCCAGTTCAAATTTCTATACTTTATATATTTGAGTAATAAGGGGTGAAACTACCATTAATATGTGTGTGTGTACCCGCTCCCATCTCTGTGTGGAGTGAGAGACAAATGCCCACAATTGTAAACCGCTTTGTGACTCTGGTCTGTGAAAGGTGGTACATAAATAATGATTACTTACTTACTTGTATATTTTCTTCATTTTGGATATAGTTGTATGTACTGTTACATTACTAACCCACCAAAGGAAGTCATACGTTGTTGAACAACTGTGAAACTCACTTTAAACAGCTCCAGGAACGACTTGCGAAGACCCCTGTATAAGTGAGGACTGTTTTCATCCACTGATTTAGGTTCATCAAACTCTATTATTATTGTAACTAAAGCTGTGAAGAAGACAGAATATATTTTATCGTTCAGAGAATGGCACAACATGTATTTTTTGCAAATACAGTGGACCGATGGATGGGAAAAAAATTACCAGCTGAGAACCCAAATAGAAAAAGGAGGTAAACACACAAAAAGTGCATGATATTTCTGAGAAGCATCTATAATGACAAAAATATTTAAAATTCATGCTGTAGAAAATGATGTTGCTCACAAGCAGATGATTCTCACCCTTTCCATCATGACGCTGTAAATACCCAGTTTTTTGATTCCTCTGGAGTAATACAAGGTGTTGATCCAGGCTAGAGCCAGAGAGATGGCCTGGAAGACCGTATATATTCTATGTCCACACATGTACGGAGGGATACACAGCTGACAGTGAAGAAAACAGTGGGTTTTTTTACTGCAAATGGCAAATAAACTGAATCTGAATCAGAAGCAGCGCCCCCTGGATGAAACTAACAGGAGCACATATCAGGAGACATGAGACATGAAACATGACAGAGACACCTACAAGAGAATATCACTGAAGCCATTTACATGGAGATGTGGCAAGACCAGGTCTGGTGGTCTATGCTGAGGGCATTGTTACTCGCCGCCTTGCGGCGCTGAGCTGGTGGACTATTTAAGCGCTCCCATCCCATGTCACTCCCTGTTTGCCCGCACTTCCCACTGGGCCGTGTGACTCTGCTCCTCTCCAGTCCTAGGTAAAGTCCCAAATGCGTGGCTCCAAATTGCATACATCTCCCCATTTCTTACAATATTGTCCTTTTAGCGCTGCTGTATGACTGCAGCCTCACACCGCCCGTTTGCACGGCTTGATTTTGTGTGTCGCGCCCGGGGCATGCTGCCTCATCTGCTGTGACTGGTAATACTCCTCTCCCCATTCATTCATTCACAAAAGTCTAACTACTGCTCTCCTAGTCCCCAATGGTGATTGGCCTTGTCTGTGCTGGGCATTGTTGGGCATCACTGTGTCCGTTCAATTGGGGCAACAGGTATAATTTAATTTATTTATTGATTAAGACAGCCTTTAAATCCCGCTGTCTCCTCATAGTGCTGCTGCAGGATTGGCAGCTGGTGTCCGCGGCTTGGGCCAGCCCGTGCCCTGCCCCGCCCCCCTGCTACATTTGCTTGTACAGTACGTAACTTTCTGTGTGCGCTCTCCAGTCTATCACAGCGGTAGGTGCGCGCCTCAGGCACACCTACCACATTTAATAGCAGATTAATTATTATTAATTCGTAGGTGTCAGCGGCGGTCTGCAGCGTTGGGACACGTCTCCTCTGCTGCTTTGCTCCCCCCCCCCTGTTTCCCCATCCCCGTTTCCATTCACTGTAACATTGTGTTTTTGTTTTGTGCTGCTGCTTCCCTCTGACCCGTTCTGCCCCCACCTCCTCTGTGGCCCCGCTTCCATCCAGCGGTCGGTGCTCCAGCACCGGGTTTATTGTCGAATAAACCCGGGTGTCACGAGAATTGCACGTGTTACAGGGCTTATCAACCAATCACTACAAAGAAGGCATCTGAAATAATATTTATTTTCACTCTCGGTCTTGACTAAAGTGTTGTACTTTTGAAGATATGGCCATGGTCTCACATCCTGTGCACATGTGTGCGCGTGTTTGTGCGTCTGTGAATGCACTTTTTCCATCTGTATACAGTAAAATAGCATTCGAGGACGCTACTGCGCTACTTGATTAATTAAAAAGCTTAGCGACAGAAAAGTTACTTGGCTAGCTAGTAGCGTCGTTACTGCCCATCATACACTGAAAATGATCCTAAATAAAATTTCCTATTGTAAACACATTCTGGTATCTTACCAGTCCCACGTTCCTGTTGACGGAAACAGCTGTGAAGATGCTCAGGTAAACCATGTAAACCACAAAGTTAAATAGAAAGAGTTTGGATGCAAAGCGCTCCCACTTATCCTTCAGAAGACTGCGCAGAGGCTCCAGCTGCAGCATCTCTATGCGGTTCTAGAACAAGAGTTTCAGGATTGATCTTTGTTCTACATTAGTGTGAAACAAAGAAGAATCTGACATAGAAATGTGTGTCTCACAGGGATTTGGCTGCCGAACACAATGATCTCCAGCACAGAGTGTTCTTCATCCGTGTCGATGGAGCTGGTGTCGTATAAAGACGAGTGGACCGGTTCATACACCCATTCAGTGAACTTCCTGGACAGGGGACGAGACTCTTTGTCCTCAAACTCTCGATTCAGCATGTGCTTCAGCAGCTGTCAAACACAGAGACTCAATCAGACGAGATTGTGAGCCAATGCGTTCTGGCCCTCACTTACCCTGATCTTGCCAAGCTCCTCCTCTCGATAGCCACATGCAGAGCCGTCTGCCCTGTCTCACAACAATCAAAAGTATGAACATGCAAAAGTAAGAACATAAATGAACAAACAGAAGACAGATTTTAACCTTGGTTTAAATATTGGTCAATAAAGCCTGCTCACTGGGCTCTAGTTATTTTTTTGTCGCTTTAAGAGTTTTATTTTTTCCAACCTGTGGATATATCTCTTTCAGGAAGTTGCCATAGGGGCAAAAATGCCATTTAACGTGGAATTAGAAAGCCCACTTACAATTTTAGATGTTTCCAACAGATAAAGCGGATTTATTGCCCCAAAAAAATACTTTTGCCAAAATTCTCACTTACCGTGGTAGTTCTTGTCAGTGTAGGAGGCATCGATCAACTTTTTTAGATCTCCAGTTTTTTCAGCGATGTCCAGGAGAACATTTATGGTGTCATTTTTATTGTCCTTTAAGTTCAGCAAGGCCTTTAACAGCACTGTTTTCCCGTTGGACTCTGGTGAGGACAAAATTTGGATAATTATTATCTAAAATATGCTCACTAGGTAAGATCCTCCATCTCCAGTAGTCCTGACCAAGCTGAGCATTAACACCTGGAGTTGGGTTCCTGGGCGCTGTACTGCAGCGAACACTGCTCCTGACGTAAGCCTTAGTGGCATCAGGATGGGTAAAATGCAGAGGACAAAATTCCCTACAGGGACAAGAAAGTGCACATTTACTGTACATATTTGACTGGCTACGCGGCTCGGTAATTCATCAATGTCAGCAATGCAGGATTATGCACTCGTGATTGGAGGCATGAGAGTGAAAGAGTGTGTTATTTATATCATGTACTGGCCTGTAAACTCCAGGTCGGTCAGACGTTTGTTGGTGGAGTTCAGAAAGTCCAGCAGCCCTTGCAGCCCAGAAGCATCACCTCGACTCACGGCTCCAAACACACACTCTCTGTTGAATGTTGCTGCTCTGTAAAAGTGTGAAGTGTACTGTTGTTGACAGAGGTCAAATAGGTATGCTACTACTGTGCCCTGACTGACAGAAACAAGGCTAACGAACTCTTTTCATACATGCACGCAAGCAAACAAAAGCATGTGATAAACTCATCTAAACCATTTACGATGAGGAGGTGAGAGGAGATACGCCCAATAGCCGGATGTAGGGATGCTCTCTTTTGACGCATGAGATGTACCTCATGTGCTTTAAATGGTTGTATCAGCTGAACTGATAACCCTGTTTACTCTGCTTGAAACAGAGTCCCAAAATGAGTCTGGTGTGTGTGAATAGTTGATGGTGTTTGGAGGGGCCGATGGCACATGCGAGTTGCCTTGCTTTTGTCAATGTTCCCCAGGGCAGCTGTGGCTACAATGGTAGTTTATCACCACTGTGTATGGAGTGAATGAATAGTGACATTTGAAGCGTCTGTATAAAACTGATGCATTATTATTTTTATTACGAACTCCTGTTGTAGATGAAAAAGCTGACAGACAGAATCCAATTGATACTTCATGTATCATAATAAAAAACCAGTCAAGCAACTCAAATATCTTGACGTCTAGGATCATGTAAAGATAGTGAGGACACAGCCAGCAGGCACTGTTCCCAGGGGCTTCGGAACAAATTATACAACTAAGACAGATACATACTCGGGCTTAGTGTCCGTTTTTTTACGCAATGCAAAAGATGATAGGATGTATTTTTCACTATTTGAATGATTTATGAGAAATAAATCATTACGTCATCATTCGTTGATAATATGCAAGAGTCTGTCTCCCTCTGCGTACATCCAACCTTACATTCGCATCTTGCATAAATGAGACATTTAAGGAAGCTTTCACTACAGGAATACATATCCTGCGGGCACTGCACGAGTTATACAGAGCAAGAAATATGCAGGTGTGTGTGATGCCTCCTACTGATATGTGTAGAGCAGGCTCTCCCCTTCTGAACCTGCAGAGCAGCAAACTTTCATTTCATCGAACTTTTCATATACACATTTTTAGATTATATTAAATCTTCTCAATTAAGAAATATGTACATATAGTTTTAATCACTTACTAAACACTTTTTTGACCAAAATAGTTCTGTCAGTAAAATGCCATCAGCGAGGCAACATTAGTAACTTAGTAATGTAATACAAAAAATCAATGTTCATCCAAAAAGAACCCCAACTCCATTAAAAGGGGTGAAACTTTTCAAAATGATTATTTACCAGTTGACTTACCTGCGCTGAGGGACCTCCGTGAACGTGTCCATAGCCCTTGAGGCCGTGGACAGTGCACCCTTTGGGTCCCCCCTGTCTGTTTGAGGGACCTCCATGAACGTGTCCATAGGCAGGAAGGCCCAGGTCAATGTGACGTCATGGCTCAGCCCGTCTGTCCTCACTGGACATGGCTTCTCCTCCTGCAGTAGGATCTCCTCCGCAATCGGCTGATCATCCATGCTCTCACGCACAGGTCTTTCCAGGTCACAGTCCCAGTGTTTGGGAAAAGCTCATCGAAGCTACACAGATTGTGGCAGCGGTGATGCTCCACCCCCTCTCAGATACACACTGTTTTACCTTCTTACTGAACAGTATTTAACGATGAAAAGGACATTTATAAAAGACAAGTTTATCATCAATTGATATATCGGTTCCAAACCACTCCAATAGTATTTTAGTTGAGAACTGAACTAGAAGAGAACCAGCAAAAACACAGAGAGATCTAAGTCTTGGAACATAGTGATCCAAAACTTTTCCCTTAAGGCAAGTTTTCTGATGCATTGTTTTTATATAGCCCTGCCCTGCTTAGTTTCAGAGGTCTGATGGGATCTGGCTTTTACAAGCAGTTGGCGCACGTCTGACCCTGCTGTTGTTAGTGTTTAAATCAGGAGGTGACGTGCCATCGGGAAGTTTAGCTTAGTTTTACTTTTGATTAGTTTCTGTTGCATATTTATGTGTTGGGGGCATGTGTTTTGACCCATCCTTCAATGCCACGAGGGCAGTGTGTAGGGACCGTTCTGCACATGTTGACTGGAGTTGGAGGATAAAAACAATGTGCGATCTAAAGTGAAACCACAACTTGAAATAGTTTAGTCTTCATTAAAGCCTTTCCATTGTACACATGATGGATAACTAGCAAAAAAAGCGTTAATATTAAGAATTAGATCAAAAAAATATGTCTGAACAATCCGTCTCAAAACCTTTGATGTACACAATGTGAGATAATATTTTTAGTATTAATTTATTTATTTCAAAAGTGTATTAGTGTTTGACATTCTGTTCACTAAAAGCCACGAATCGAAAATGATTGTATTATTCATATATTTCCAAACAAATTGAACAATATTATTTACAGGAGAAAGCTTCTACTTTAGAGCAAACAAGATTCACAGTATCCACAGAAATCCCTGAACTTCCTTGTGACCTCATCCTCAGGCCATGTCCACTCTTAGACGGAGATTTTCATAAGCCTAAATCCATCCTCAGTTAAAAAAACTAAAAAAACGTCTACACGGGTTGAAAAAACTCCCATCCACACAAAACTGCATGTTTGTCAGAGTGTGGTTTAAGCTGCAGGAGCTGTAGGGATCAGTGTTTGTCAAAGTTCAGGGTACTACACTAAGTGAAAGACAAGTTTAAAGTCAATTGATACGATACTACAGCTCCAGACTGAGACACATGTCAATCAACACGCCACCACACTGACTGCACTGCTCTGAAGGCTTTCAAACAGTTGCTTTCCTACCCAAATATGATGGCAACATGAGAGCTACAACGTCAGGCTGTGGTTGGGATTGTGGTAGATTTAGCGATTGAAGAGTAATCATGAGGTAAAGTGAAAAGGTGCTTTCTCAGTCTCCCACGGCCCACAAAGATGTTGTCTGAAACCACATACATATTGTATTTTAACTACACATTTACATGCTAAAAATGTACATAAAGGTGATAATTGTGACCCATTTTATATTCATATTGTATCAAATGAAAGTATAATCATTAATGTATCTCTGATAGTCACACAGAGGTCAACATATAAACTTGAAAGTGTGTATTTTATCAGAGAAAGTCATGTTGGTGTGTTGTTGTGCTTTGCTCCTTTGAGTACAACATTTACAATATTCAATGTAGACACAGTATAGTGACTGAGGACCGTACTCACTATTCCAAGTGTGGCGGTTAAATGGTTAAACTATGGCCTTGTGGCTGGGTATCTCTGCGGCGAAGTCGTTCCAAAAGAGGGCTCCAATGCCATCGGTTTCCTTCTAAAAAAAAAATCAGAGCAACCTTTTCACTCTCACTGCAGTTAAACACAATCTATGTGTATGTTTTATTAAACCTTTGGTTGGGGGCTCAGGGGTCAGGAGGCTCTCAGGGTTTTCCTGCTGAAACACATAGAGGTCTGAGCGCCACTTTGTCCAGTTGAGCTCCTCCACTCTGAAAGAAGAAGCAAGACGCAAAGTCACAGTATGACCTTTTACATCATGGACCATTTTTTTTGAAAACTATTATTATACAAATTTGGATTTGAGAATACAGTGTTCCCTTGTTTATCATGGGGGTTGCATTCTAAAAGTAGCCCGTAATAAGTTAAATCAATGAAATAACTATGTTTTAAGGCTGGGAAAAAAATCCTCACTCTGTACACTTTTGTAACCACCTGAACTCACGACTGCTGAAGAGTGATAGCAAAGATGCACGGTCTGCGAGCCGTGCATAAACTGTAAAATATAGCTGCAGAGGACAGAGGAGCAGCAGGACTGAAGGCTATGTCAGGACCGCTGCAGTCCTCTGAACTAATCACTGCAGTGCACACAAACCACACGTTTTCATCAGACTTTAAATAAATATAAATGTCATGGTATGCTAGCGGTTTTATGATGTATACACACGGCGCATGAAAAGAACGCTGAAAAAAAATAATCCATAAAACAGCCAGGCCGTGAAAGGTGAACCACGTTACAACTGTACCCCTTTGCAGTTCATGAAAATAAATGTTATTGCCAGACATTGGTGACGTAGCAGATCTTTGTTCCAACTACTGTATATGATAACTTATGCTTCCTGCATTGTTGCATATTATAACATATCTGTATCACGGAAAATAATTAACAATACTATTGGGCAGAACACAAGGATGACATGATTACTCCACCACACTACAAAATAAAGTTGAGAGTGAACTTGAGAGAAACAAAAGTAAGGAATCTCTACTTTGCATAACATGTCCACTTGTATGCATCTAAATTTATTTCTATGATCAGGTTTTAGCCATAGACTGTAAATATTAACAGACGTCGTACGCCTATCTCCGCCGTTGAAACTAATGTGCCACCACTTTGGTCTTCTATGGGGCTTTGTCAAAATGGCCTCGGGCAGCCCCTCCCACAGGAAAATATGGAAAAACGTATTTGCGAATGCGTTAGCCGGCACCAGCCCCATTCATTTAATGGGTGCCTGCTGAAGTCCACAACGGCTAAACTAGGGTGGTCCAAAAAAATATACTCCCCTCAGCATTGACAGTATCTGGAACGTAGCTTTGGGCCAAGAGCCGACTTTTGGGCAATCCTGTAAAGCTGTTTTCGAGAGAAAAGACGACTCCATACAAAGGCATTGAATAATTCTCTTTCTGGGCCCCACAGGCCTGGGGAGGTATTGCAAGTATGTCAGCACACATGCTCGTGGACGTTTTTGAGCCGGAACCCGCCCCCATTGGTTTTAGCCAATAGTTAATGCTTTCCAAATGAGATCCACATTTTCTCTGTACAAGGGAGGTTTGGAGGTGCGGGAGTGTACCTTAGCAGTTTTTGGCTCTGCTCCTTGTTGCGCTTGACGATAATTTTGGACTGTTCCGAGGAAAGCTTGTCTTTTAGTCCCTGTGGCAGAAAACCTTCCAAGTCCAAAATGGTGAGTGATCTCTGTGTGAATTTGGCACAAGACAAACCAGATATCGTTAAAAACCAAGGCTGAAGTGAATGAAGATATAGTGTATATGTAGACGTGCACCTGCAGGTTCCAGATGTTCTCACTCTCGCTGGAGATCTGTTCCACCGTGTTTCCCATGATGGCGATGAGCATGTTCAGCAGCAGGATGTAGGTGAGCACGATGTAGAGGATGAGCAGGAAGTAGAAGACTTCTTTGTACTGGACGTGGTCAGTGAACTCCAGATCTCCCATTCCAATAGTGAACTTAAGAAAACATTACATACAAAACCATACATACAAATATTATGTATTATTACACGGCTCCTCACAGTAGAAGTAGAATGCTCCATTGATTTAAAAGTAATTTGAAAACGTTCTACCGGCCATTATTTTGTGATTGGCAACGCAATTTGTGCTTGTAATTCAGGTGCGGTAGATACACCACCATTCCTCATCTCCAACTGCACCTTCAACGGGAATGTTCAGTTTAAGTAAGTAAGTAACTGAAGTTTATTTGTATAGTGCCTTTCACAGACCAGGATCCCAAAACGCTTCACATTTAAAACATACAGTTAAAAAGAATACACACACAAGTCAGATTTAAAAAACAAAGACACAGAAGACGATATTCATCATGGACACAATTCACATGAGCCTTTCTCGCCTCATGTACAATGAGGCGAGAAAGCCTGACTTAACAAATAAGTCTTAAGTCAGGACTTGAAATCAACAACAGTCTCTAAGATTCTATCAAATTCAGATGAATCTTTTTAGTAAAAATTTAGTAAAAATCATGACTGGGGAAGCTCATTCCAAAGGTGAGGAGCAACTGCCTGGAAGGATCTGTCTCCACTGGTTTAAAACAAATGCGGGGGACCATCAATGGGCTCTGAGTGGAGGACCCCAGGCTCCTGTTGGAGACACAGGAGTGGATAAGGCCTTTGATGTATTCAGGCGCCTGACCATGAAGTTCCTTGATTTTCAGCAATAGAATTTTAAAATTGGTTCTGGTGAGACAAGGAGCCAGTGTAAGGACTTCAAGGTAGAGAAATATGGGCTCTCCTGTGGGTGCGTGTCAAAAGCCTCACAGCAGAATTTTTTATAATTTGTAAACAAGCCAGATCTTCTTTTACTAAGACATGTAAGCAGGCTGTTACAATAGCCCAATAGCGAGGAAACAAAAGCGTGGACACTCATCTCCAGCTCCTGACACGAGACCATATGTCTGAGCAAGTGGAAGTTACAGTTTCTGATGGGCTTTTTGCTCTAGTTCCATGTCCAGCACGAAAAAGTGAATTCAGGAAACTCACTTTTTAGTACTGGACATGGAACTAGAGCAGTGGTCCTCAAAGAGTGCTCCTCTTATTTCATCAAGACTTGAGGATAGGGCTGGGCGATAAAACGATAACGATATATATCGCGATAGACATGTGTTCGATATCAATAGAGAATGGGGTCGATAGAATGTTCGATAGTTTAACTTAACTCCATCAGGAAAAACAGGAAGAAAACACCGGAAGTAAAGCCGACTCATAAGCGCATGGCATTGTGGGGGATGTAGGCAGAGGCTTCTCGACCAATAACAGCCGAGCAGGAACCGCAAAACTTTGTGGGAAATGCAAAAACACCAACAAACAACCGCACCATGCGTGGCGTCCATGGATCTATAGCTCGTGTTTCAATGCCGTGTCAATGGTTATGCACGTACGTGTGCGGAATAACATGTGCGGCGGCAGAGGCAGTGGACAGACCCGATGTATTCGGCGAAAGCAAGAGATTAACTTTTTCCTCGGGAAGCATGTGCGGCACAGAGAGCCGCACGGAGCGGTCACGGGGACACAAGACCCTCAAACAGCTAAACCAGGAGCTAAACCAGGAATAAAAAACCAGGATTAAACCAGGACTAACAACGAGGGACACAGTGTGAACATATTCCTCCAGCCTCATCGCCCCGTGACTGTAAACAAGGCTGCTAAGGTTGGTTAGCCCACACAACAAATATATTTATTTAGGTAAAAAAAAAAAACTCAATATATATCGTTATCGACCGATATGAATGACTTATATCGTGATATAGTTTTCAGCCATATCGCCCAGCCCTACTTGAGGAAATGGGTGGAGTCTGGTATGCTCCAGTTGGTTGGACTTAAAGCTGGACTAACTCACTTTGTGACTTTGAAGCAGCAGTTTCAAATGTAAGCTCTGCCCTCGCTCTTTCTGTCCCCTCCCCGCACTCACGAAGCTATCGCCCCCCACTACCCCTCTCTAACTCAAGCTGATGCTCGTTTGCTGTTGTTTACGGAGCTGGATCATGGGTCTATAATAATATGTAGATACGTCTCTTGTTTTGGCCCAAAAACAAATGGAAATCTTGCAGGTATTTTTTGTTCCTCATTTGATTGCATCCCCCGGTGCTTAAGTAGTCTCGACGGCCTCGCTTCCGGCGTGCTTCTTTCCCGGTTCTTCAAACGCTAGGCCTCTCTTCGTTCTTGTAGGGACGTTCTTTTGGATGGCTGTTTCACTGTATAAGCAGTAACCAGTTACGAAGACACGGGAAGTTTCAGGTTTAATGCACGTCTACCTCAGCTGTCTATGTTAATGAGAAACCTGTAGATTTTCTCACGAAAGTGTGGTCCAGTGGTACGCTGTGATTGGTGACAATCTAGTCCCGAAATAAATTCTCTTCCGCGTTGCACAAAAATGTGATCTAAGAAAAAATGACTCTCCAGTACAAACCTGCACTAGTTAAGGACATACAGTTTATCCCAATGCACTGCATGGATATGGATTGAATTTTCCAAATGAAAACAAAAATAAAGTGAGGTAATCCAGCTTTAAAACCTGCAGCCACTGAGAACTGAGGAATGGCTTGAGGACCACTGGACTAGAGTTTTCCTTAAAATCTTTTGGAGCCTATACTTTTGTCCAGGACATTGTAGTCTGAGGAATCCTTATAGCAGACAGTTGCTATCATATGTTCACTTATAAAATAATCATGGAAAGTTAGACATGTATTATGCCAAAACATAGTGATAATTTTAATTTGATTTAAAACCTTCCCTAGTAATCTCTATTTAGTAAAATTCACATGAGAAATTGAAAAATGTCACAAATAGTTACTTTTTCCTGCCAGTAATGCCTGTGTAAATTGTACTTGTGTTTTGGATGGAATTTTGGTTATTGGTAACCTGTCACTCACTTTAAACAGCTCCAGAATGGTGAAGCCAAAGTCGTTGTATGAAGGCTTTTCACAAAGAATCATCTCTGGGGTGACTCTCCTGCCGAAGGCTTTGGTGCGGCTGGTGTACTCTTCCTCATCAGGGTCGTTTTCTTCAATCAGAGAAACTACAGCTGTGAAGAAGAGTAGATTTCGGTTATTCAGAAAACTGCATCATAGTATTGATTGCAAATACAGTGCCTTGAGAACTTCAGTTTAGTTGGACCCATGACAATTCTAGTAAGATTTTAAATCACGGGCAGTAATGCCGCCTGGTAGGCCCTGTAGACAAGTCTATGGCTGGGACTCATGTGCCATGTGCCATGAGTCCATGACCATTGGCCATGTGTCTTGGATATTCAACTGAAGCCAGGCACGAAGCTGTCAAATGATCTCCACCTGTTGTTGCTGGAAGCATCTGGCTGAGCCAGATGCTTGGTGATCCTGGACGAAAATATTTCCTGGAAACCCCATATTAGTTATTTACGTTCAAAAGTTGACAAGTGTGTTGGTGTCATCAAGAAATGTAGTTGTGTACTAAATGTAAAAGCACTGCAAATATTGTATCACTCACTTGTAATGTCACATTTGAATTATTGTATTGAAGTTTGGGGAAATTGTTATAAAACAAACCTATTGCCTTTGATTACACTCCAGAAAAGAGCACTTAGGATCGTTCACAAAGTCCCTTACAATGAGCACACAAACCAGCTTTTTATTAATAACAGTGATTTAAAATTAGAGGACTTGGTCAATTATAAAACTGCACAAGTTATGTTCAAGGTATCAAAACACTCTCTTCCAGCAAACATCCAAAATCTTTTTTGTGATAGAGACACTCAGCTCCAAGTGAATTTGAGAAGAGTCCATAGATTATACCAACCACGAGTCAGAACAACACTCAAGTCTATGTGTATTTCTGTAAGAGGAGTGAGTTTGTGGAATGGGCTCACTGAGGACTTAAAAAACGGTTTAAATTTGACCCAGTTCAAACGACATTTTAAAAGCCTTGTGATGGAAAAGTACCTGGGTGAGAGAACATGATACCTTTATGTAATTGTAATTGTGATAGTAGGAGAGGGGTGTGGGGTTGGTGAGTATTGGGCCTGTGTGTTTGTTGTGTTGTGTTGAATATTGAATGTCTTGTGTTGTAATTATTTGTGTAAATGATTTATCTGCAAGTGGAGTGTGTGGGGGGGGGGGTGGTTTTGAATAAGCGTAAGCTTCCATCATCCCCCTTTCAAACCAAGCAGACCTTGTATTTTGTTTTTCCTGTTTGTATACACCTGCAGGTTTGAAATAAATGATAAATGAATGAATGAATGAATGAGCCCTTTGCCAGATATCCCTGTTTTCTTTCTCATTGTCTTCATGAGAAAATTGCCATCAATATCCAGCTTAAATGATATTTGGCATTAGCATTAGCACCTATACCCTGTTTATATACTGAATCAAACTAACCAGACAGTTAGTCAGAGGAGCTCCTACACTTTGTAATCTGTGTGACACTAAAAATGAAACTGCACAGGGGAGTCATGGGAAGGTACTAACACCTAACTAGCGTAGCTCTGATGAGTGATTTGGGGGATATACAATATGACACTCAAAACTCCATCCATTTTCTTCCCCTCAATCCATTTCTGGGTCGGGGGGGTGGCAGTCAGAGCTGCACCCAGTTCACACAGCACCAGCCCCTCACTGATCCCCCTGCAGGCGGTAAGTCCACTGGAGCTTTGATCTTTCAGCAGGGGCTTGAGGCAAAGTGGGGTTAAGTGTCAGTCCCAAGGACACAACGACAGTGGACATCATTGGGTCTTGTGGTGGGCTCAAACCCGAGACCTTTAGGGCCAAAGTCCAATGCTCCACCAACTGAGTCACTGTCACCCCCATCACTGTTTCATTTCACAACACTCAAAACTTGTGAAATGAAAATGGCTGGTTCTCTGCTCCTCTCTGATTCTTTGCTTGTGAGCTCGTCTCCCCCCACCCGCACCATGACGTAGCCTCATGCTGACTGAGATAAAAAAAAAACCTTGATAGGGTCTTTTATTAAAGGAATAACATTATGTTTTGAGATAAGCATTTGAGAAAGTCAAGTTTCAAGGTAAACAAGCAATATTTAGTGGAGTTTCATTCGCAGATGACCAGATTCGTCATTTGAGAGGAAAATCCCCGTGAACAGAAAGTCCCGCTACAACTGCCGCATTCTTCGTCTTCCAGCCAAATAATGTTGTCACAAACAAATTATTGACATGATGCTAAAACTTTTACGCTGAAAATAGCATAATAAATAGAAAAACAGTATTGGCAAACACAGACTGTGGTAGACACCGGACCATACGCTGGGAAAGAATCTGCTCGTTGATCAACTGTTTTGATTTCTCCCTCCTGTCAATCACCTCCTGGAGGCGGGTTTCTGCTGCTCATGCGGCGTAAGTTTTGCTACTGTATAAAGTGAATCAAGTCGTATTGCTGACTCTCGAGAATGAAAGGGAAAGGTCACTTGCTTGAGGAAATCAATGAACAAACTACTTTGGGCATGTGTATGAAGGCCAAATAGCACTTTAATGATGTTTAAAGCATAGAGAAGTTAAAAGGCCTAATATGGGACCTTTGAGTGGAAAAAAGATAAACATTTGACAAAATCATATATTGTTTTTATTTCATGTCAAAAATGTTTGTTGTTACTTTGCTTTCTTTCAGTAAACAAATTCAATGTAAAATCTGTATGTTTGTAACTGTAACATGATAATATTTACAAAAGCTGTACAGCTGTATGGTCACTTTTCAGGCACTGTATAGTGGACATACGCACACAGCTTACCAGCGGAGAACCCAAAGAGAAAGATGGCATAAACACACAGAAACGGCAGGATGTCTCTGAGGATCATCTAAAATGACATAGAGATTTCAGATTCACATTGTGAAAATAATGTCACTCAGAAGCAGATGTTTCTCACCCTTTGCATCATGACGCTGTAAATACCCAGTTGTTTGATTCCTCTGGCATAATACAGGGTGTTGATCCAGGCTAGAGCCAGGGAGATGACCTGCAATCCCACATATGCTCTGAGTCCACATGCATACAGAGGGATACAGAGCAAGAGCAGCGCCCCCTGGATGAAACTAAGAGAAGCACATATCAGGAACTGAACATGAGACCTGAAACATGACTAAGACACCTACAAGAGAATATCACAGAAGCCATCTATGTAGAGACTGTTGAACTTAGGGGGATTTCTCTTGAAGATCACAACCTGTGGATTCAGACAGACACATTGGAATTGAAAAAATATTTCAGATGTTTTAATCATTTTGGCATGATTGCACTCACTGATCTGTAAAAGAACCAGAGTGCTCCCAGGACACTGATGATCTGTCCAGTGCTGCGCAGGTAGTCATCAGGAACATCCTCGATGGGGAATGGGGGCTGAGGACCACACATCTCTGTACTCAAACCTCCTCACCTCATGTCATTATCAACATATTCTGTAATCTTACCTTCCCCTCTTTCCTGTTGATGGCCACAGCTGTGAAGATGCTCAGGTAAACCATGTAAACCACAAAGTTAAATAGAAAGAGTTTGGATGCAAAGCGCTCCCACTTATCCTTCAGAAGACTGCGCAGAGGCTCCAGCTGCAGCATCTCTATGCGGTTCTAGAACAAGAGTTTCAGGATTGATCTTTGTTCTACATTAGTGTGAAACAAAGAAGAATCTGACATAGAAGTGTGTGTCTCACAGGAATTTGGCTGCCGAACACAATGATCTCCAGCACAGAGTGTTCTTCATCCGTGTCGATGGAGCTGGTGTCGTATAAAGACGAGTGGACCGGTCCATACACCCATTCAGTGAACTTCCTGGACAGGGGACGAGACTCTTTGTCCTCAAACTCTCGATTCAGCATGTGCTTCAGCAGCTGTCAAACAAAGAGACTCAATCAGACGAGACTGGCCAATGTTCCATCTAATTTGTCATGGGTCTGAGTCATGGATCTATAATAATAACTGGATAGGGGATACATGGTGGACCCGTGGTACTGCAGACTAAAATCATGTGGGCTACCCAGAAAAAGTCCCATAGAACATAATGTAAATTAAAACAGCTCGACCTCAGCTGACAGAGAACCTACAGCTTTCAGAAATATCGGATATTGTGGGGATTCTAGTGTCCTTTGTCATCCTGAACTTTGTTTCTTCTTAAATCCTTCTGTTTTCTTTAAATCCACACTTTACTGCCACAAACTCTGCTCGTTTCCTTCCCGCTCTGACTCCCCTCTACCGCTGCTCTGATCAGCAGCTCTGATTGGTCAAAGCGCAGCCGAGCCCCTATGTGCGCGTGCATGAAAGCCACACACGCATATTTGGCGCAACGCATCATGGGAGCTCGTCCACTGCGCAGAACCGGGAGGACGAGAAGATGCCCAAATATAGGCAAGTTCTGCTAATCTCCCGGTCTCCGTGAAGTCCTATGCGCACAAGCCATACATTTTAATAGGGCGCCATCTTGGATCACCAGGGCTTGGTCTGAGTAGAAACACAAACTCCCTGAGCAGACCCTTGGAGAACTGTGAGAAAGTGATCTTTATACACCTGCTGTTGTTATCCCATTTATTTAACACACATCAGCTTCAACTAAAGATGTATTTCATTGTTGGGCAGTGACCAAGATGCTTCATCTCATGATGGATTTAATCTCTGCTGTTTCCGGACAATGACAGCTGGGATGAGAATTAGACCCTCTGATTCAGTCTGCTTGAAGGCCGTCAGAGTGCTTAGGAGATGTGGCGGGATTTCAATGTATTTACGTTATTTATAGTCGACCAGAATAAGGTGCAATGCCCTCTACAGGTGAATCATTTCATAAAGAAGCATCTTGATTCAAATGCCTAGTCTTTCATGATGGCGATACAAACTAACAAATGGTGTGCCACAGCAGAGAGAATTTGCCTACTGCTTTTGATTTTTTTTCCTAATCTGAATGGGGCCTGCTGGTACAGTTTCCTGTGGTTCCCCACAGAGTTTCAACATGTGCTCAACTTAGAGGGAGCATTGCTTCTAGCTCTCACCCCGATCTTGCCCAGCTTGGCGGCTAACTTGAGAGGTGTGAGTCCCTGGTTGTTCTGGATGTCCTCAAGGCCGATGAGCTTGTCCCTGTGCAGGGCGTGGTGCTCTGTCAGGATCTTGTCGTACATGTTTGCGATCATGTCTGTGTTCTCGGGGCTGTTGTCTGCGATCACCACCAGTGCATGCAGGACACTGTTGCCCTCAGAGTCACTGTCCGTCACCTTTGCTGGTTTGTAAGGGTTGTCCAGGAGAAAGGACACCACCTCGGGCTGATTGGTGCAGGCAGCCAGAGACAGAGGCAGCTCCCCTGGAACCAATGGTTAAAGATGCTTTAGTCAAAGATTTTAGATTCAGTGATGAATCAAGTTTAGAACTCACCAAAATAAAAGCCAAATTCTTCATTCAGCTGAAAGAACTTCCCACTGGCTTTGGCCTGAACATTGGCTCCTTTCTGGACCAACAGTTTTGCGTGTTCAAAGCTCCTCCTCTCAATGGCCACATGCAGAGCTGTCTGTCCTTTCTCGCCAGAATCAAAATTATAACAGGTTCCGTGTTATGGAGTTGTGAACATGGAGGAAACATAGGTACAGAAAATGGATATCAAGCCGAGTTGTGCTCATGCAAAATTATACATTCTTTTTTTTACATGAAACCGGTAGTTCAGCACCTCGACTTATAATCATGCCCTAAGAGTCTGACACTGCTGGGATACCAATTATTGAAAGCATTTCAAAAGCAGTTGGTACAATCATTTCCAACATTGAAAGCTTGTGCCAATTTGTTCAAGATGGAACACATCCCAACACTGAATCAAGCAATAAAATCAGTTCCTCTGGTTGTTTGTTGATCATCATATTCATCTTTAGTGAGCCGCAGATTCATCTTGGCACAGATGCAAAAGAGGGCAACTTTGAGGAGAAAGAAAAATGGCAAGTTTAATCCAAAGTCTCACCGTGATAGTCGCTGTCACTGTAGGATGCATTGATCAATTTATTTAAATCTCCAGTTTTCTCCGCTATGTCCAGAAGAATTTCAATGGTGTCATTTTTATCGCCCTTTAAGTTCAGCAAGGCCTTCAGAAGCACTGTTTTCCCGTTGGACTCTGGTGGGGACAAAATAATAAAAAAGAACGGTAGTTTCAGACCAAAGTTGACTATAGCTTTATTAGCCATCTGACCCTCTAAATATTTGTTTCCAAATTGTATCAACTAGGAATGCATGTAGTTCACAGATGTCAGGAATGCAGCACTCTTGCAAGAGCGATTGGAGATTGGCGATTGAGTGAAAGAGTGCGTTTATATCATGTACTGGCCTGTAAACTCCAGGTCGGTCAGACGTTTGTTGGTGGCTTTCAGAAAGTCCAGCAGCCCTCGGAGCCCAGAGGCATCACCTCGACTCACGGCTCCAAACACACTCTCTCTGCTGAACACTGCTGCTCTGTCACTGCAAACACACACCGTTTACTAAAAATATTGATGATATAGGAAATCAAAATAATTGGTGGAGACATTTATTGCAGCAGACTACAATTATTGAAGCAGATGAAAAGTCTACATGTAACTTGTTTGAACATGTACTAACCAAGTAGTAGTTTGTGGAATTTTAACAATTCACACAATTATTCTCACTCTGGTAAGCATGCTGTCCATAAAACAACACTTAACAATCCTCATTTGGACAGTTAAGCCTAGCGTACATCGGACTGGCAACTGATTATATCTGTCGCATATGAGTTGCTGCCCCGCACACATTGACAATCTGACGAAAACGGGCAACTCCCAGTAGCAGGCCAGTCTCGAGAATAACAGCGCGTACATCGACAGCAACTGTCCGTCACCTACAGTGTGTTTTCTGACATAAACTGTTGCGGGCTCGCAATACACGCAATACACACACGTTGTCGGAGCGGCGCATGGAGCGCGCACATTGGGTCATATCTCCGAAACTGAGGACAACTAGTTGCTGAAAAGTAGAACACGGGCAACTGACTGAAACTGGAGACCGACTGTTTATCTCCAGTTGTAAGAGCGCGCACATCGACCGATTTCGGCAACTGATCATCTCCCACCATCTCCTCTCAGTTGCCAAAAGCCGCCTTGCAACTAGTTGTCTCCAGTTTTTTTGTCGATGTATGCTAGGCTTTATACACTATACACATCTGGCATCTGTGAATGAGTGGTAAATAAAAAGCCAGTCTTGAATTAAAGCCATTAGAATCAAAGCAGGGAACACATGAGGAAGACGATGCTGTGGTCAGTTGAGACAAATATTTAACCCTTTGGCTCAAATACAAAATGTTTGGCTGACAGCATGACGTTATGGGGCAGATTTTTGTGGGCAGGGAAAGGGAAGAAAGACAGTTAATGGGAAGGTGGATGGTGCAAAGCACAGGACCATCTTGACCAGGCTTGACAGGTGGACGAAGAGATCACATCATCTCTCAAAACATTAAAATTACAGTCATGTTATTATTATAGCATATTGTCAAGCCAATAATTTCTTAATTCCTTTCCTTGGCCAGAACATTGTCCAGCAGAAACTGGATAAAAAGAAAAAGAAGGTGTTTAGGGACATCTAAAATCGGATGGTGGCAGCTGGATGCACACACTCCATGGCACAGTACACAGAGAAATGCGATCTCAGGGAAAAGTAAAAACAAAGTGGCAGAGGGCCGCTGGACTGGACATGGTTCCAGACGATGGACAATATCTACAGCCGCCCTTGACGCATGCAGCTTTGTCGTGACCTCCTCAACCTCCCCAGGGCTATTGCGTGCTCTCACACAGAGGTTTGAGCTCATGGAGATGAGTTTTAATGTGAAATACACTCTGCTCCATGCTGCCGACCTGTGGTGCAGGTACGGAAAGAGCAAGTTTCAAAAGGGGCAAATAATTGTGCACTCAGAATCCAGTTGAAAGTCTCTTGCTGAGCCAATGCCAGAACTCTGTTTGTTCTGAATAATATACCCACTCTGAAGAATTTGAAAAGGAATGAGGACTTTTGTTGATGCCATATTTGTAATGTTTACAGGGACTGTTTATGTGTCTGATAAATGATCATTAAATGTATCTTTCATTCAGACAGTTTATTGTTTTAAAACACCAACTGTGTACAAAATCATTCACACGTTATTGACCCTGTTGAGAATTCCTGCAATGATTGTAGCGCAACCAGGTCAGGTCTGTTATGATTCATACCAGGACCTTCTTACTGAGAAGCAAGGCAAGGCAAGGCAAGTTTATTTGTATAGCATAATTCATACACAAGGCAATTCAAAGTGCTGAACAAAATAAGAAAGCATTACAATCATAAATAATCACAGTACATTAAAAAGAAAGATAAAAATATAAAATCCCTCATTTGTATGCACAGCTAAACAGAACTGTTTTTAACCTGGTTTTAAACATTGTCAGAGAGGAGGCCTGTCTCACATCTTCAGGAATGTGAGACAGGCAGCAGATTTTAGCAGCATGAATCTGAAAAGCAGCCTCCCCATGATTAGTTCTGACTCTGGGCACTAACAGGAGTCCAGTCCCTGTGCTCCTCAGTGTCCGGGCTGGTTCATATGGGACTAACATGTCACTAACATGTATATATATATATTTTTTTTTAATCATTTGTGTGTGCATTGGAAGATTGAAAAGGTTGCAATAAAGAATGTAAATACAATTAAATTACAATTCCGCCACATCTCCAAAGCACTCCGACGGTCAGCTTCAACCTTTGCCTTAGAAATGTGCAATTCAAGCACACTGATTTCACACAGAATCTCCAAAGACCACCTGGCTGACTTCAATCCCACCGTTTCACATCCATGCAGCGCTGCCTTTAATACTTCTTTGTTTGATAAATAATGAATTATAATTTAGATCAGAATATTTTTTTTCAGAGAACAGGAGGGTGATGTCATTTGAAGCTCTGAATTGATTTAGATTTTTCTTGGTACAGTAGGTAGAGGAGAGAGCGAGAAATGGTCAATATTATCACAAATACTATGTAAGGTTGAGTGACAGCTACCCACTACTACAGATCAATGTTTGTATCTTGTAATAAATCAATTGTGTCATGTATTAATAATTTAGTTTGATAGCCATAATACAGTTTGTTTAGCCAGCATAGCACCACCTCCCACAGATGAGGTCATAGCTCACCTGCTCACAGGGACGATGGTGTCCATAGGCAGGGGGTCAGGGGGGTCCGTTCCCAGCAGCCAGTCCAGGCTGTGCCTCTCCTCCTGGGGGGCACTCACCTCAAAACGCCGCTGATCCTCCATAATTCCACACACACAGACGCCTTTCCAGGGTCACAGTCCTAGTGTTTAGGCAACACTTCATCCGCTCAGGTGTAGTGTTACTGGGACCGTTGCCATGGTGATGCTCCACCCCTCCCCTCACCTGTTGTTTACGTTAGCACTCAAGCTCTCACCTGAGGATTCGGGTGACGTCACGGCAAAGGCGCGAAAGTTGTCCTTGGGTCAGGAAGTAAAACGGCCCATTGAAATACATGTAAAGTTGCCTCGATTCGATCTCAAAATGCTGTGCTGTCTACGGATGCAGCAACCACTTGAATCGTGAGAAGGACAAGGGTTTTTTTTGTGTCCCAAAGGTAGCGTCTCATAGAGGAGAAAATTTTAAGAAAATCACGGAGAAGAGGCGAGAACAATGGCTCAAGAATCTGCGGCTGAAATCTAAAGGAGCTGAAGCGGACCATGCTAGAGTGTGCAGCGATCACTTTCTAACTGGTAAGTTGTAATTTAATGAATTAGCTAGCCACTTTACATTGACCTGGAATAAAGAATGGACATTAATCTAATTAATTGTGTTGACTAGGACTATGATATTCAGTCACGAATGCTAATGTTGCTAAGCTAATGGTTTATTTAACGCTGAACTAGTTGAAAGATCTTATTTACATTGCCGTTTTATACACATTATTATTTATATTTCAGGGCGCCCGAGTGCACCTGTTGACGTGAAATCACCTGACTGGGCCCCCACTTTAAACCTCGGGTATCAACGTGGAAAGCCACAAACTGAAGCATCGCTCCAGAGGAAGCAAAGGGCTGCAGCTCGGGAGAGCCCCTCTACAGCCTCTGAGGAGGCTCCCACATCCACACCTGACGTCTGTGATGAAAGATCATCAATTCACGAAGAGGAACACTTCAAGGGTAAGCACGGTACTTTTTTTACTTGTATATACAATTATTTTGTACTCCGTGTGTGTATGTGTCTGTCTCTCTGTCTGTCTGTGATGGATATGAGTAGTTCCTGGTTAGCTATTCATTGTCATTTGTTCTTTTCAAAAATGTGTAGATGCAGCATGCCAGACGTCTCTATCCATGGCTGACATCACAAGGATGGAGGAGTCTATGAGATGTGATACATCTGAGATCTGCAACCTCAAGAAAACCGTTTCAGACTTCACATTCACACCAGAGTCATTTCAGAATGAAGACAAAACTAAATTTTACACTGGACTTCCCAATTTTTTGGTTTTGATGCAAATTTTTCAGCTCTGTGAACCATACATCACTGTGTCACCTATGTCAGCACTATCTAAATTTCAACAATTTATAATGGTATTAATGCGTCTAAGATTAAACCTTCAGCTCCAAGATCTTGCATATCGATTCAATGTATCAACAGGCACTGTGTCCAAAACTATGCATAAATTGATTCACATTCTCCACAAAAGACTAGAATTTCTGATAGAGTGGCCTGATCGAGAAGTGTTACAATCAACCATGCCCATGTCATTCAGAAAAGCTTTTGGACTTAAAGTTGCAGTGATAGTGGACTGTTTTGAAGTATTCATAGAAAGGCCTACAAATCTTTTGGCAAGAGCACAAACCTGGTCCAATTATAAGCATCACAATACAATTAAATTTCTTATTGGCATTGCTCCTCAGGGTTATGTTACCTTTATTTCACAGGCATGGGGAGGGAGGACCAGTGACAAACAACTTACAGAGAAGTGTGGCATCTTGAATAAGTTGTTGCCTGGAGATGTTGTGCTTGCTGATAGGGGTTTCACTGTGAACGATAGTGTAGGCTTGTACTGCGCTTCTTTGAAGACCCCTGCGTTCACAAGAGGAAAGAAACAGCTGTCTGCCTATGATGTTGAAGAAACCAGAAAACTGGCAAGTGTCCGAATTCATGTTGAGAGGGTAATTGGCTTAGTTAGAACATTTCAAATTTTGCAGAGTAAGTAGTAGTAGTAGTAGTAATCTTTATTTATATACCGCCTTTTCACTGCAAATCTGAGTCTCAAAGCGGTTTACAATTGTTAATTTTGGGCATTTGTCTCACTCCACACAGAGATGGGAGCGTGGTCGCCAGTACAGGAGGCGCATGCTAGAACTATTGGACATATTTTTAGTGGTAGGGGAAACCGGAGCACCCGGAGGAAACCTACGCAGACACAGGGAGAACATGCAAACTCCACTCAGAAAGGCCCTGGTCCGACCGGGATTCGAACCCAGGACCTTCTTGCTGAGAGGCGAGAGTGCTACCCACTCAGCCACCGTGCCAGTAGGGCAATGCCTCTTGAACATATGGCTGTCAAAACAAGCGACTCACTGGCATTGGTTGATAAAATCGCTGCAATTTGCTGTGCGCTGACCAATCTGTCAGTCTGTCCCTCTGGAGAAAAGAAGTTATTGCATGTAAATAGTTGAGTGGTTTAATCAAAATGTAGAGCATTTAAATGTATTAAACACGCAGGAAGCAATTGTCACCACGAGACCGATAACACCTCCAGTGTTGCTTTACCAGGGTGGCAAGAGAAGATTTATGGTTTTCAATTATTACTATTTAATCTTTTTCACACTCCCAAAAAAATGTAACAAACATCTTTAATCTTGTAAATAAGCTGTGATTAAAATTAATGTTCAAGAAAATGAATAAAGACCACTGAAAACATCCATCGTTCAAACCATTTATTTTTTACACAAACATTGAAAGTGCTATTTATTAAGTGAAGTAACAGAAGGACAAACATTTAAAGAGTAAGAACAAACCACTTTATTTACATCTGTGTTGCGTTCATGTGACAACATTCACCTTTTGGTGGAGGGTAGTTTGCTAATTACTGTAAAGTGTCTCACTTTTTTAGTCTTCATTTAGATGTGATATACATGAAACATATCAACTAATTATTTTCTAAATGTCTAGTGTTGGTGAAACTATTTCAAAAACATGTATGCTGTTGGCCAGTAGAAACTTCAGAATAATTTAGGGCTTTGTGAATCTAATAATGTAATTATGTTTTTCAACATGTTTTTATAAAAACTGCTATTTCTAAGTTATATTGGCCCCTGCCTCCAGCTGAAATAGAAGAAAAACGCAAACAATTGTTTCGTTATTCACGTGTGAATTTCTGCCCTAATATTTCGGGGAGGATGCAATGCGTGAAATACTGCTGAACAACGGGGATCACAGTATCCCAGAGTTGTATGTCAGGCAGTATCCTTTCGATATATATATCATTTTTATTCCAAACTATGAAGTCGCAGTATTTTACATCCAAAATGTGAAGCTGAGCCTGAACCTGATAATAATATGGATGATTCCTGTCAAGCTGTACAAACTCTCCCTCCCTGATGAGACAGAATCCTGGCTGGCCTGCGCACATTTTCAGACTGACCTCATGCTGTTTTCTCTCTGGACACTGAAAAATAATGAACATTAAAGATTGGATCTCTAATGTTAACATAATCATGATTACTACATTAATATGTTAACATTTGTTTTTTAAAGTTTAATATTGAAATGGTGCTGTATTACAAGAAATGTGTGAATGTGACCGGTGTGCTCAGAGCACTGTGTCCCTGCTCTGGTCAGGGAAGCTTTGGGAGACACCAGGCTCTGAGATTAATCTCTGATTAAAGCATCATTTTATTGTGATTAATTGCATGAATTAAAGTGTTAACTTTGACAGACATAGTTAAAACTTGTTTTCCCAGATCGACCAACCCTACAGCAAAAAGTCTGCATTTGTCTTACCTTTATCTCACAAACCCCAGTTCCACACAAGAAAATCCCTCATGGGACTGGCCTTCAAGCTGCTCATATTTTTTTCGAGCAGTTGCCTCAAATTTACAGCCATATCTGAAATGTAAAATAGTGAGGGGGAAAAATAAAAGTTTGCAATATGAACCAATATAATGTAATTATGTAAAGTTATGTATGTAGCCTATACTGGTGCATCAACAATACAAACACATATGTATGCTTACTGTAAAATACCCAAGAAATGCATAATTTACAGCTTAAATACATCAAATGAAAGAAAAAAATTAAATGTCGTACCCTGCCATACAGTTGCAATGTGCTGTGACCACCTCTCCACTTTCTCTAGCTACAAACCAGGCTTTCAAAGGTTTCTCAGATGATCTCTGCGAATCGTTGACCTACATTAAGAAATACAGTATGCATCAACATTTCACTTGAACTTAATTGAGTTTGCAGATGGAAAATTATGTCCGTTATGTATTTTGGATGGCATCACGTTAACGTTAGGTCATATAGACCAATACATACCACAAAAGCGCTACTCACCTGTGCAAAAACAATGCGGGAATCATTTTTTGCATCTTTGCTTCCCAAATGGTTAACCCAACCGGAAACAAAGTAATTATAAGCTTCCAAGCTTTTGAAAGCTTTCATTTGGTTCGCTGTATAAAAAGATGTCTGGAGGACGAGATAATTAATGACGTCCATCGCCTGAACAGCCGGTAAATGTTCCAACTCGTACGACCATTCGTTTTTTTCTACACTATACGGGTCAAACCCTACATGTAATTTGATTTTGTCATCATATCGGGCCCTTTCCAGTCCATGAAGTTCGTTAACATAGCCGCTTTCCTCCATCGCGCGTTTGTTTTGAACAGGACGACACACTTCCTGACCCCGCTGCTGTGTGGCTCCGCCCACTGGACACGTGATCGAAACCCAGCAATTTACCAAACTAACCGTGTACACCTGGCCCGGACTGGCCATCGGGAGCATCGGGAGATCTCCCGGTGGCCTGCGTGTCAAAGTGGCCTGGGCCTGCCCTATCATCACGGTCTTTATTTTTGTTTTTCATTTGTTTGTTTTTTTCTTTTAATTTAATTTCATCCTCACGGTCTTTGCAAACTCCTACCCTGCCTGGTGGCCTGGTCCAATGAGCAAGGCCCAGGCCAAAGCCAGTGTTGTGCGTGAACGAGTTCAAAAGAACGCGTTCATTGAACACGCTCATTTTTTCGTGAACGTTGAACTGAACGCAACACATTTTTTAATAAAGAACTTGAACGTGAATTAGTTCATATTATGTGTGTCATGAACGGCAGACAATTTGTTTTCCATTTAAAACTGAGTGAAATCGGTTTTCTCTTTTGAAATGCAACGAGAGAAAGTTCCTCCCTCCTGTATTCTCCGCACTGTTTCCGCCGAAAACTAAAAATTCCTACGGTTTCCACCGTCTGTGAACGCACCCCGACTCAGTGTACTTGCGGTGCGGCGCTATTTGCTAGTGCTATTCATTGGTTGTTGGACTCACATGTGCCGTGATGAAAACACAGGGGTAAGTCAGTGACACAGGGCCGTTTACATTTGACATAAAGTATAGACACACGTTCTGCAGCGCATTACAGTTTGTACTTATGAGCAGAGATGGGACAACTCAGTTCCCATTGAAACCCATGTAAATCTTGTCTGCATTGGAGTCAAAACATCCTGTGCAGTGTACAGGATATAATATATATATATACCACGTATTGTGATTTCTAGCTCGTAGTGAAAAAAAATATTTATTTGAATATCTCGCAACAAGTAAAATGAACTGAACTTTGAACTAGTTCAGAATTAAAATTGAGAACTTCGAACGTGAACTGTTCACTTTGAGCATGTATGAACTGAACTTGAACTAGTTCAGAAAAGCTGTGAACTGGCACAACACTGGCCAAAGCTTTATTGGGCCAGAGCAAAATTAAACAAATGTGACGTCACACGTCGGCTACACAGCCAGGCCAGCTTAGCAGTGTGTAGCTTCCCCGGTTGAAATCAGTGGTCTCTCCAACTGATGGTTCATACACGTTTTTATTTTTCCTTTTATATGAGCTGTAACGATGTTGTTAGTAATTTTACCTTACTACTTTTTTAACAATAATTGATTAGCTTGTTATAGTTATACACTAATGAACACTTAGTTCATTGTGTGTGTGTGTGTGTGTGTCTTTATTCTCACTAAACTCCATAAACGTTACGTTGCTAAGCAACGTACAACAATCCTTAAACGTCCGAGATTATATAAACAGTCAATATAAAAAAAAAATAAAGAAAACAAAAGTTTTGACAGTCAATCTTAAAACTATTAAAAGAACATCAAAATACAATGACAAAAACCCAAATTTAGAACCTTGTTTGGCCTGAATGGATGAAAAGCTCCCGGCCTGAAATGTTGTCCCACTCCGGCCCTGGTGTACACTCATATACAAAAGCTACAACCAGGTCAATTTCTTCAGAGCAACCAGAGCTCTCACAAATGTTTCCCTTTATTAAATGTTCAAAGTTTTTTGTCTTTTTATGTTTAAGGTTTAGAACGTTCATTTAATAAGACAGAGTGTAAAGAAAATAGTTCTCTCTACTCTGTCAGACTGACCACTCCCCCCTGCTGCGCTGTGGTCTCTGGAGAAGTGAGACCCAAGTGTGAGCCACGTGAAGGTTCTCTCGTCTGTTGATTGTCCTCGTGCTCCGCTTCCTGATTTTCATGGCCTATCTGTATTTATGTTTGTCCATTTCTTCTCTTTATCTATTGTTCCAGTCTGTTATATAATTTTGTCTTTTGTAGTGGTCAGATATTAAGAGGAAAGGAAAAAGCAACACAAGAAAATTAGCAATCGTCTTTCACATGACTTTTCTTAAAAACACTGGTGTCTAAAGGGTTACATAATAGAACCACTAAACACTTTCTTCACATCTTGTTTGAAGCAGACAAAGTGAACATTCTTGTGCTTGTCTATTCCAATTGGAACTTATATATGATGCAAACGCACATTACACAAATGGTCTTAACAAATAAATCACATTTGGATAATTCCAAAAGATATGTCATGTACATATTTTGTTTTATAAATATTGAGGGTTTTTTGTTTTCATTTGTGACGTATCCAGATTATGTTGAAACAAAATTTTCTGAGCATTTAAGCTTCGAATGTAGGAGTAACTGAATATTTCAATTATTGAGTAAACACCTTTAGGACATGGGCATGTGTAGCATTTACATACTACACATTTTGAAAAAATATATTGGAAAAACTGCCAAGAAAGGCCCAGCTGAGAAAGAAATAAGTAATAAAATACAAGCTCAAAAATATGACGTCTCACTGTGAAAAAGAACAGAGGAAATCAGTTTTCAGATGGTCTTTTGAAAGCTTTTTATTATTCCAAGGCATCTCAATCTTTGCTCTGACAATAACACTGCATCTATATAGACTATAAATATTGATGAAACAACAGAAAATAAAGTGCAGGTATGTCTACGGTCTACTTGTGCATCAGGGCTGCACAGTTTGAGGCTGTAGTCTGACTCGTATTCTGTCCATGAGAGGCCGAAGGTGCCATCTGTTTCCTGGAACATAAAAGAGAAACATAAGGCTGAGCCTGTGCCACCAAGAGAGAGAGGCCTTGTTGCACCTGCTGCATTTTGTGAGCTGAAAAGTCCACACGGAATAATTTATAACTTATTTACTCTCCACCCAAGTTCACATATACATTCAAATACTCAACGCAAATCAATGTAACTGACCATTTTTTGTGAATTTCTGCCTGGGGCAGATGTGAAACCCCGCCCACTCCCTCCTCTTACAGCCTTGACTATGATCCAGGGGCTTCTGTCAGGCCAAAACTACCATGCTATTTACAAACCTCTAGCAGTGGGGTGCAAAAGTTGAGATACCCAGGATATCTATACTGTTCCATTATGAATGGTGAATTAAATTAAAGGACCTCCAAGGCATGGGAACAGATCATCTTTCCCCCCAACAATCTGCAATTTTGAAATGCCATTTGCTCATTGTAAGTAAGTAAGTAATCTTTATTTATATACCGCCTTTCACAGACCAGAGTCTCAAAGCGGTTTACAGTTATTATTTTTGGGCACTTGTCCTCTCACTCCACACAGAGATGGGAGCGGGGTCGCCGAACAGGAGGCGCATGCCAGACCTATTGTACATATTTTTAGTGGTAGGGGAAACCGGAGTACCCGGAGGAAACCTACGCAAACACGGGGAGAACATGCAAACTCCACTCAGAAAGGCCGGGATTCGAACCCAGGACCTTCTTGCCGAGAGGCAAGAGTGCTATCCACTCAGCCACCGTGCCGTGAATATTGTTTTGGGTCCAAATCTTCCCTGCAAATTCAGACTGGGGAGGACCACCTTATATTTTATCCTGCAAAAGCATCACCTTCATAGCTGCATGTAAATCTCCTTCCTTCTGATCCCAGTAAAATACCTCCTTCCTAGTCCTTATTAACCATTCAGTTGAGGTCAACTTTCAAGAGCTGGTAGAATATGGAAAGGACCTCCTTTGCTTCAGCTAAGGACTCCGGAGGATAATCGAAAAGCAGAAGCAACAGCCCAACGCTGCAGAACAATGAGTGCACAGCGCCTCCCTCTGACAGTTTGATATCACTGTGGCACATTCCCATCTTCATCTTCTTCCTTTTTAACACAACACAAGCTCACACTGACACGATATAATGATGCTGATGAATAAAAAAGCTGCACTAATGTGAAAAGACAAAACATGACCCTCTAACACCATTTATAGAGATCAATACACTGCAGACTATACAGTATAACCTCGAACAGCACTTTCTCCTAATAATGTAAAAGTGCACAAAGCAGCATCACATGATCCAGACATCAGACAGACTACAGAGGGTCATACACATTTCTGCTCATGTGTTTATTGCCACGGCACGGTGGCTGAGTGGATAGCACTCTCGCCTCTCAGCAAGAAGGTCCTGGGTTCGAATCCTGGCCGGACCAGGGCCTTTCTGAGTGGAGTTTGCATGTTCTCCCCGTGTCTGCGTAGGTTTCCTCCGGGTACTCCGGTTTCCCCTACCACTAAAAACATGCACAATAGGTCTGGCATGCGCCTCCTGTTCGGCGACCCCGCTCCCATCTCTGTGTGGAGTGAGAGACAAATGCCCAAAAATAACAATTGTAAACCGCTTTGTGACTCTGGTCTGTGAAAGGCGGTATATAAATAAAGATTACTTACTTACTTACTTACTACTATTTAAACAGATATAAATGTATTTGTCATTCTGCTACAAGTGAAACATACTGGTGATTCTGTAGATAGCCTTTTTTCAAATGTATTCGGGATGATATCGTGGGAAGTTCTGGCTGTTGTCCCGACTGCAGACTGCAATTGCCTACCTGCTTCTAGCTATGCTAGGAGCAACCCCAGTTTCATATGCTAAAGGGGATGATAATCGGTTCAGCCTCCCTGGATAATTGCAATCTCATAACCTTTATTCAGCACATCATGCATTATTCTGCTGGGGTCTAATCACTAAATGTCAAATTAAATAAATATTTCATATTGTATTATACAGGGCTGATTTTCACAACCAGAGGAAATTATTTTCTTATTTGTTGACAACACCACAAAAAAAAAAAAAAAAAAAAAAAAATAGATAGTGGGGATATGTGCACACAGATGTACACAAGCAGAGGGATGCAGAAGTTTGGACACCCCAGACCGACATATGTGAAGAGGGAAGCAAAGGAAATGCGTAATTATCCGTAGAACTTTACTGATGGCAAATTACCATATATCTATTACTTGTATTTTTTTTATTTTAGCAAAAAATAAGAAAATAAGTAACTGTGGTTGTGCAAATCAGCATCGAGGTAGCATTTTGGCAAGCTTCGACCAAGAACGGCAGAGATGGGCGTGACTATGTCCATTAATATTAACAGTCTATGGTTGTGGCGTACCGTTGGCTCCAGTGGACGGCAGGTTGAGAATGTCATTTCCTGGATCCTCCTCTTGACAAACATACATATCTGAACGCCACTCAGTCCAGTAAGTCTCTGTCACCCTGGAACCAGTTTGAATGAGTCTTTTCAATTCTAATGTAAAACTGGAGTGATAATTGGGTTTGGGGGAATACCTTAAAAATCTTCGACTTTTGTCCCGCTCATGTTTGAAACTAACTTTTGACCCAACAGAGCGTAGTTTATCCAACATACAGTTTGGAAGAGTTCTCTCCATGTCCAGAATTGTATGAGACCTCTGGAAAAAAAGAAAAACATGACTTGTCAATCTCTTCAAATTTACACAACCAAAACATATTGACTATGAGAAAATAGACCATTTATAGGCCATACATCCTTTTTCTTTCCTTTTGAGACTTAACTATCCAATAACATTGCACTTGGCAATTTCAAACAACATAATGGGCGATTCTATTACAAATAAGAACAACAACAAGGCAATAAATGAATAAAAATTTTCTTACAATACTGGTTTTAATTCATTCTCAAATGCGAGACGTATGAATTTTTGAGGACACCAGACTCATGCGAGGCAATGTGGGTGACATATCTTGCCTGCCCTGCCCTTCTCTGCTTAGCATCTGGGGTTTGACAGAAGTAAGCTTAACCACGTATAGACTTTGTAATTTCAAATGAACTGAAATTCCCAGATCAGAGTGAGATACTGTAACAAATAATCAACACAAATCCGGCTTTCTCTCTTTTACAGTGTATTATAAATTCATGATATTATTTCTATCTGTTTATTTCCACAGTATGATATCAGTACTGCCCACTTATTTAGTTACAATCACTTTGAAGTTCTTCCAGCTGGTAATTTTCAAATTTGGAAAAAAAATGGTCAACACCTTCCTCTGGTGGCAGCATAGGGATAGGGCAGGCTGATAGTATTGTGTGCCATTGATTTTGTTTTGTCATATAGTTATCACATACTAAAACATTAAATGACTCTCACTGTAATTTGTAATGACCAAAAATAGTGTGCATGAAACATCTACTCTCAACTAATCAATCCTCTAAATACTCGTTCATTACAGCCTAGACGCGCACCTGCAGGTTCCAGATGTTCTCGCTCTCGCTGGAGATCCGTTCCACCGTGTTTCCCATGATGGCGATGAGCATGTTCAGCAGCAGGATGTAGGTGAGCACGATGTAGAGGATGAGCAGGAAGTAGAAGACCTCTTTGTACTGGACGTTGTCAGTGACCCGCAGGTCTCCCATTCCAATAGTGAACTTGAACAGCTCCAAAATGGTGAAGCGCACGTCGGTATAGGAGGGTTTTCTACAGATGTCCAGAGGGTTCACGATCGCAGGTTCTGTCTCATTAAGCGCCTCTGTCTCATTAAGCGGCTCTGGGGGGATGTCTTTTATAAGCGACATGATTGCTAGAGAAACAAGAGAAAGGAGACAACTTAAAAGGCTGAAAATTACTGAATAGAATCAAATAATATGCATAAGTCGACAGAAGTGCATTATAAATGGGAACGCACCAATAACACTGTATTGTTATCAAGTTTGACATGTCATTTGGAACTGGTCAACCTAGTCTCTCTACTAGCAACTTATCAACACAAGGCTATGTGTTTCCTAAGAAGCGTGTGCTTAAAATGGCTTATGTTTTGTACTGTAGAAGATGGCATTTTAAAGTTTTCCAGCTTTAATGTGCCTTAATGTGAGTACTTGCCGATATCTATAACCGATACGAGTACTGCATTGTGTTATCCCTGGGAATTCGTCATACTAATACAACTGAAATTTAAAATGTTTTATTTCTTATTTCAACAATAGGAAAATGCTTTAACAATTGTTTTAACAGTCAACAATAAGAGCTACTTTCATATTCCACTCATACAAATGTTACAAATTTCTCTGGCGCTAGCAAAGGCGCTGTACTCGCATGGTTTTTTTGAAAACGTTTCTGGTGTTATAATTGTTTTTTTTGGACCCACCCCGTAACAGTTTTGCCTCACACAACGCACAGTCTGCTTTACTCCTGTTTACTTTGAAAATTGCCATACAACCAACATTTTGTCCAATTGCTTGTAGCTTGCCTGTAGCCCGCTGCTTGCCTGTAGCTTGCTTGCCTGTAGCCCGCTGCTTTCCTGTAGCCCGCTGCTTTCCTGTAGCTTGCTTGCCTGTAGCTTGCTTGCCTGTAGCTTGCTTGCCTGTAGCTTGCTTGCCAGTATTGGTATAGGTGCATCCCTAATTATAAACTATTTCAACCAACGCATTCAAGAAGTAAGAATACCAACCTGCTGAGAATCCAAAGAGAAAGACAGCATACACTAACAGAAAGTGCAGGATATCTCTGAGGATCATCTACAAAAAGACAAGGTTTCAGATGCACGTGAAACGCTGCAGGTTGCTTTACTGTTTCTCACCCTCTGCACCATCACGTTATAAATGCCCAGTTGTTTTATTCCTCTTGCATAGTGTAGAATGTTGAGCCAGGCCAGGGCCAGGGAGATGACCTGCAGTCCCACATACTCTCTGAGTCCACTCACATACAGAGGAACGCAGAGCACGATCAGAAGACCCTGGATGAAACTAGAGATGAACAGAAAAGCTCATTAGTCACTACCAAAATGATCTATAAGTCATTTTACAAAGCCACTGACAAGATGATATCACTGAATCCATCTGTGTAGAGACTGCTGAACTTTGGCGGATTCCTTCTAAAAACCACCACCTGTGGGTGATACGTGTTTAGAGCACAACTAACTCATCTGGAAAGACTGCAGTAGAACTCACTGATCTGTAAAAGAACCAGAGTGCTCCCAGGACACTGATGATCTGTCCAGTGCTGCGCAGGTAGTCATCAGGAACATCCTCGATGGGGAATGGGGGCTGAGGACCACACATCTCTGTACTCAAACCTCCTCACCTCATGTCATTATCAACATATTCTGTAATCTTACCTTCCCCTCTTTCCTGTTGATGGCCACAGCTGTGAAGATGCTCAGGTAAACCATGTAAACAACAAAGTTAAATAGAAAGAGTTTGGATGCAAAGCGCTCCCACTTATCCTTCAGAAGACTGCGCAGAGGCTCCAGCTGCAGCATCTCTATGCGGTTCTAGAACAAGAGTTTCAGGATTGATCTTTGTTCTACATTAGTGTGAAACAAAGAAGAATCTGACATAGAAGTGTGTGTCTCACAGGGATTTGGCTGCCGAACACAATGATCTCCAGCACAGAGTGTTCTTCATCCGTGTCGATGGAGCTGGTGTCGTATAAAGACGAGTGGACCGGCCCATACACCCATTCAATGAACTTCCTGGACAGGGGACGAAACTCTTTGTCCACAAACTCTCGATTCAGCATGTGCTTCAGCAGCTGTCAAACAAAGAGACTCAATCAGACAAGATTGAGAGAAAATGTGTTCTGTCCAATTGAGTGAAGACAAACTCCCAGAGCACTGTAAGCAGTTGATGACATCCTCTTGATTCACATCTTCTCAATACCTGCTGTGACCCCGTTTATTTAAGACACGTCGGCTTCAACAAACGATGCGACTCGGCTCAATATTCACCCGATCATCTGCATCTTGATTCAAACACCTGGTCTTTCATTGATGGCGAACCAAATTAATGAAGTTTTCACAATTCCAATTATTATATATATATATATATATATATATATATATATATATATCAGGGATTAAAGAGTTCCGTCTAGGTGACGGATTTCCGTCAAATGAAATTGGTCTGGAAAAAAAAAAATATATATATAATGATAATAATACACACAATGAAATGATTGATTATAAAAATAATATATAGTAATACATATACGTGTGAATCTGTTATATATATATATATCTCGATGTATAATAATAATTTGAATATAATTGTATTTATATGTATATAGAAATAATAAGTAATATAATCACGAGTGGGCCTTGAACGTGCCGTGGCCACATGAGCGCTCCGCAAATGAATCAAGGCAATGGGACGTAGCTGAGCTCACGCGCAAATGAAGACGCGATGAAGTTAGCATTGGTAACACGGAGGTGAAAGTTTCTGGAAACTGCACGGAGCTTTTGAAAAGGAGAAGAGGAGGAAAATTGAATCTCGAACGGAGCAATAACAGCAGCAGATCCGCGGACTGGTAAGCTGGGCGCGTAATAGACTAAAGGTAATTAACGTTTACCAAACGCAATGCTATTTACTTAACGGAATGTACAAAACGGACTTTGCTGCGACTGGGAATGGGGACAAACATGTCTTGGTGAGCTTTTGACTGGCCCGGACTGGCCATCGGGAGCATCGGGAGATCTCCCGGTGGCCTGCGTGTCAAAGTGGCCTGGGCCTGCCCTATCATCACGGTCTTTATTTTTGTTTTTCATTTGTTTTTTTTTTTCTTTTAATTTAATTTCATCCTCACGGTCTTTGCAAACTCCTACCCTGCCTGGTGGCCTGGTCCAATGAGCAAGGCCCAGGCCAAAGCCAGTGTTGTGCGTGAACGAGTTCAAAAGAACGCGTTCATTGAACACGCTCATTTTTTCGTGAACGTTGAACTGAACGCAACACATTTTTTAATAAAGAACTTGAACGTGAATTAGTTCATATTATGTGTGTCATGAACGGCAGACAATTTGTTTTCCATTTAAAACTGAGTGAAATCGGTTTTCTCTTTTGAAACGCAACGAGAGAAAGTTCCTCCCTCCTGTATTCTCCGCACTGTTTCCGCCGAAAACTAAAAATTCCTACGGTTTCCACCGTCTGTGAACGCACCCCGACTCAGTGTACTTGCGGTGCGGCGCTGTGTGCTAGTGCTATTCATTGGTTGTTGGACTCACATGTGCCGTGATGAAAACACAGGGGTAAGTCAGTGACACAGGGCCGTTTACATTTGACATAAAGTATAGACACACGTTCTGCAGCGCATTACAGTTTGTACTTATGAGCAGAGATGGGACAACTCAGTTCCCATTGAAACCCATGTAAATCTTGTCTGCATTGGAGTCAAAACATCCTGTGCAGTGTACAGGATATAATATATATATATACCACGTATTGTGATTTCTAGCTCGTAGTGAAAAAAAATATTTATTTGAATATCTCGCAAAAAGTAAAATGAACTGAACTTTGAACTAGTTCAGAATTAAAATTGAGAACTTCGAACGTGAACTGTTCACTTTGAGCATGTATGAACTGAACTTGAACTAGTTCAGAAAAGCTGTGAACTGGCACAACACTGGCCAAAGCTTTATTGGGCCAGAGCAAAATTAAACAAATGTGACGTCACACGTCGGCTACACAGCCAGGCCAGCTTAGCAGTGTGTAGCTTCCCCGGTTGAAATCAGTGGTCTCTCCAACTGATGGTTCATACACGTTTTTATTTTTCCTTTTATATGAGCTGTAACAATGTTGTTAGTAATTTTACCTTACTACTTTTTTAACAATAATTGATTAGCTTGTTATAGTTATACACTAATGAACACTTAGTTCATTGTGTGTGTGTGTGTGTGTGTCTTTATTCTCACTAAACTCCATAAACGTTACGTTGCTAAGCAACGTACAACAATCCTTAAACGTCCGAGATTATATAAACAGTCAATATAAAAAAAAAATAAAGAAAACAAAAGTTTTGACAGTCAATCTTAAAACTATTAAAAGAACATCAAAATACAATGACAAAAACCCAAATTTAGAAACTTGTTTGGCCTGAATGGATGAAAAGCTCCCGGCCTGAAATGTTGTCCCACTCCGGCCCTGGCTTTTGATATTGTCTTGTTTGCGATCTTCTTGCAAAACTCAGCGTGATGTAAAAGAGCCAATCAACGAGTCATGGTGCGAAAAGATGAAAGTGGCCGGTGCTTGTGCGTACTTTGCCATAAAAAATTGCATATATGGGAGTAATGAGAAAAAAAGTTTTGATTCGCCACCAGCTCAAAACTGCGCACAAGGCAGCTGTTTGTGCACTTTCCCACACTTCATCTTTACCTGGTGCATCAGCAACAACTGACACTAGGCTTGCTCTGGCGGACCGTGTCTGTGGCTTTATCGCAGAAAATAACGTTCAGAATATCACTACCGCTGGTAGATTTATTTAAATCATTTGCAGTTGATCGAAGTGCACTGTGCACTCAAACTTGATAGGGAAACCTTTTTCTTAAATATTGACGTGTCCACAAACAAATGTGGACAGAATTGTATCGTCCTTTTGCGATATTTTGACGAGGACAGAGCCAAAGTGTTGACGCTCCATATCGCCTCAAGTAAAGCTACTCTCACTAATATTCTGTCAAAAAGTTGACTCGTTGCTCGATCCACTTATATTTCATATCAAAATACACTGTATATCTTTGAAGAATTCATTTGAGCTGTATTCAATATACCAGTGTCTCCCAAAGTGGGTACTGCAGGGGGGCCGCGGGAGGTCATAAAAAAAATAAAAAAATAATATAATTATTTAATGTTAAATTTATAATGTTTTGTTTGTAATATTAAAATATTTGTGTTCATTATTTTTCTTGAATAATCCACTGTAATCATTTTTGTATTACAATGTTTGTAGCAGAGGCTATTTCCCCAAAATAAAATAACCAGAAGAGCCTATTCTTAATGTTGTCTTCTTGGTTATTATTTTGGGGGGCCACGCAGACCCGTCAGATTTTTAAGGGGGCCTCGGTGTTACTGAGTTTGGGAATGGCTGCAATATACAATCTATTATACAATAATATATTGTAATTAAAAATATAACTTGGTCTTGCATATTACTGTGTAATATCCTGCACTCGGGGACAGTGTGAATAATTGCTGCACCACAGTCAGAGCATTCAGCGGTTTCTTTTCCTGGTCTGAATGGGGCCTGCTGGCACAGCTCCCCATGGTTAATACATCGTAAAGATATCTGGTCATGTCATTGGGGCTGGTGGCACCAAGTTGATTTGCAATGTGTTTTGTGTGCATCACAGAGTTTCTGTGCGATAACACAAACTCAACTTAGAGGGAACATTGGTTCTGGCCCTCATTTACCCCGATCTTGCCCAGCTTGGCGGCTAACTTGAGAGGTGTGAGTCCCTGGTTGTTCTGGATGTCCTCAAGGCCGATGAGCTTGTCCCTGTGCAGGGTCGTGGGTGTGCTCTGTCAGGATCTTGTCGTACATGTTTGCGATCATGTCTGTGTTCTCGGGGCTGTTGTCTGCGATCACCACCAGTGCATGCAGGACACTGTTGCCCTCAGAGTCACTGTCCGTCACTTTGGCTCGATTGTAAGGGTTGTCCAGGAGAAAGGACACCACCTCAGGCTGATTGGTGCAGGCAGCCAGAGACAGAGGCAGCTCCCCTGAGACCAAAGATGTCAATTACCTTAGCATTGATAACGATAACGTTCAGAACTCACCAAAATAAAAGCCAAATCCTTCATCGTGCTGAAAGAACTTCCCATTGGCTTTGGCCTGAATGTTTGCTCCTTTCTGGACCAAAAGCTTCACGTGCTCCAAGCTCCTCCTCTCGATGGCCACATGAAGAGCCGTCTGCCCTGTCTCACAAGAATCAAAATGAAGTATACTCAATCTATACTAAAATATTCAGCTCTCTACCTTTGTAACACCAGTCTGTGTAGGATGCATTGATCAGGTCTTGTAAATCTCCACTTTTCTCTGCTATGTCCAAAAGCACTTCAATTGTGTCATTTCTATCTTCTTTTAGGTTCAATAAGGCCTTGAGGAGGACAGTTTTCCCATTGGACTGATCTGAAAAATGTATTATCATTTAAAATATATCAGGGAAGTTATTTTTTTCTGCTAAATGTGCTGCACTTGCCGATAAACTCGGGGCTGGTGAGGCGTCTTTTGGTGGCTGTCAGAGAGTCCAGCAGACCTTGGAGCTTTGACGCATCACCGCAGGAGGCAGCTTCAAACACTCGCTCTCGGGAAAACTCCAGAGTGCATTTACCATCACCTTCACTTAGACATGGGCTAAAAACAAATGATCAATAATGGACCGGGCCGATCAATCAAGGTTAAAATCCTAGTGTGATTGGATTGCTGACTCAAGGCTACACGGGGGATTCAGGAAGCAACCATGATACAAGATGAGATATACTTTATTGATCTCACAAAAGGAGAAATTTACAGCCTCTAATGATTATTTCTTTGTGAGGTGCATAATTAAGTTATAATTAAGTTTCACACAACATTCACCTGACAATTTTGATTTACCACTAGAACTCCCAGAGCATTCATTTTCCCAAAAAAAAATATCCCCAAACAACAGTGTTAGTTTTTCAAACATTTTAATCTGTAAGACATGCAACACTGTAAACAGCTGACCAGGAACTGCTTTTTTCAGCTGAGGAGAATCTCCAAAGTCAGGAAAATGGTTTCACAGAATGATTTGGAGGTGATTATTCATGCATTTGTGTCCTCGCGTTTAGACTATTGTAACGGTCTGTTTTCATGTTTAAACAAGAAAGAACTGTCTCGCCTGCAGTTAGTGCAAAACTCTGCAGCAAGAATCCTGACCCGCACCAGCAGGAGGATGCACATCACCCCTGTCCTGAAAGCTCTTCATTGGCTACCAGTGTCCTGAAGGATACTTTTTAAAATTCTGGTTTTAACCTTCAGAGCTTTGCATGGTCAGGCTCCGTCTTACATCAGTGACCTGATCCATCCTTACACCCCAGCCAGGGTTCTGAGGTCTGTGGATCAGAACCTCCTGATGGTCCCACACACTTGCTTCAAGACCAGAGGAGACAGGTCCTCCCAGGCTGTTGCTCCCAAGCTTTGGAACGTTCTCCCACTCTCTCTGCGTTCTATATAGTGGAGTGCTTCACAAGTCAACTGAAAACCCATTTATTTGTTCAGGCTTTTGCGTAATGTTGTCTTGCAGTTTTTTACATGGTTGTCTTGGCCTTTAAAAATGTCTATGTCTAATTTATATGTCTGTTTTTATACTATGTGAAGCGCTTCGTGACCCTGGTCTGTGAAGGGCGCTATATACAACACAACTATATGCTAACTGCTGTAAATAAGCAGTGTGGTTATAGTAAGAACTCTTTTGGACATGACTGGAACATAGAGCTATGTGATTTGATATGATTTTGTCTCCACAATCATAAACATGAACCTCCTCCATACAAAAACTTATTATCATACATTTCTTTAAAGGCTTGAAACTCAAAGCCAAAAAAACCTGGACACACAGGAAACACAACAAGAGCGGTGGTCAAAACCTGTTTGATAAAAAGCATTAACTCATTTTTCTGTTAATGATTAATCAGAAATATGAACCTGGTTTATTCTGTGTTTGCCATATAACCGTTGATTTTATTTGCCTTTCAACTGCTGTCCAGGTTGAAGCAGAAGTATGTAGCAGCTAATGTAGTAGGATAGTGGTAACTGTTAGAGAAAATGCAATACTTAAATTCTAGTTTTAATGTTTTTAAATACGTGTGATTTTGTGTTTTAAATGTTTTTGATGTTTGTTTTATTTGATGATTTGTGCCTTGTGTGGACTGTGAAGCTCTTTGTGTTACCCTGTGTAGGAAAAGCACTCTATAAATAAAGATTGAAAAAATATGTTCTTAATTCTCACAAGCTGCTATGAAGGACCCTCAATAAAGTTGCATGGTGTTCTAGTTGCTATGGTGATTGAACACGATAGACCGGTTGTCCAGTAGAGCTCACACCATTTTCAATCTGTAGTAGAATATCGATGTATATAATCCAGGACATAGTCAAAATACTTGGAAATACTTCACAAATAAATAACCTGGAGTTGCTTCAGACTTGGGGCCAAACAGAAAAGTGAAAGGGTGTTAGTAATTGTCAGGTACTGTAGGCGCAGTTACCTGCTCTGTGTGATGTTTGTGTCCATGGGCATCACTTCTGTGCTGTCCCTGCGCAGGAGCCAGGCCAGACCGTCATTCTCCTGGTCTTCCTCTTCCTCCTTGTCCACTTTTTCCCTTTGCTCTTCTATATCCATTTTGTTACATCCAATATCTACAGACCACAGGGTCACAGTGTGGCAGTGTTGCAGCCCAGGTTAGAGCCATGCAAGAATAAGACCGGTACTGAATTACAAAGCTCCAAAGCATACAGGTGTGGCGAGCAGCATTTACTTGTCATACTTGTTTTGCCCCGCCCACGTCCCGAAGGGCATTCCAGCTATTGTGCCATGTATTCAGCCTGCGCAATCAAAAAAGCTGTGGGAACATTTCTATTCTCATAAACATGGACATGTTTACTTCATTTATGCACAGGGCAAAACATTACCGAGATGACATCATTTTCTCCCCTGATAACAAACCCATTGTGTATGCTCTATTGCTCTATTGATGTGCACTTGAAATGTGTTTCATTTGGGCTCCATGCAGCAGGGTTAGGGACTGTTGTCCCATCAGTGTTTCTGTGCAATGATGAAGGCTTCAAGGCACCTGCTCCTCATCAGCAATCATCAGCTGTGCACCGTGTGCACATGGTGTGCACATGCGATAGGGGTGCGATACTTTCTCCCGCGATTCGATTATTGATATGAATTTGCCAAGTATCGATCGATTTTGAAAAAAAAAAAAAATAATGCATTTGTTTTTTTGTATCAATACTTAATATATGGCTACATTATGCACCTCCATTTCATTCATCATGAAATAAAGTGTATTTTTTCTTTTATTTATGCCATAAATTGGCATATTGTATATTTCTGACCAATATATTGATTATCGTTATCGTGATATCGTTATCGTGATAATATCGTTATCGTGAGCTTTGTATCGTGTATCGTATTGTATCGTAGGGGTGGGAACCCTTAGGTTCCCACCCCTAATGTGCACACCATGTGCACATACTGTATGGACTGGATCCAGATGAAAAATAGAGCCACTTGTCTCTTGCTCTAATATCTAGTCTACAGGATCTAGCCTCTCACAGCATTTGGGACACCCATAAGAGGTTGTAAAACCTCCTGTAAGCTAAAACCCATTACACTCTTTTGAATATACAAAACACAAAACAAATGCTCATGGTGGATTGATGTTCATTATCATGTGATGCTTGGGCTCCCTCTGTTGGACCATAGTAATAATAGTAATAGGACAAAAGTTACATGAATTATTATGGTTAATAATACTGCATTAGAGAATGAATGCAATACAAAGAATAACATTTTAATAAAGATAGGAACATAATGTTGAACCATTCAATACAAAACAATCTCCATCCCCAGCAGAGTGAACACAGAGAGATCCATATGGTCCATGTTCTGGAGCTCAACCTTGACCTTGACCTGCTGCTGTTCTGCTGTTGCTCGATACAAACTTCCTGAAGAGCAGATAAAGTGTGGGCGCGATGGTCAACACACTCCAGTACTGTAGGGACAAAACAAGGATTCACTGCAAGCGGAGATAAAGGGCTCACAAACCCCATGTGACCACATCAACACATTCCCCCAATGCACGTGCAGCCTGATGCGCTACGCAGAGGCTCAAATCTAAAATGAAGTATAAACCAAGCTCAGGACTGTGCGACATAACATTCGTTGCATTTGATGTATTTTGTTCTCCCCATGTTCAGTCCCAATCAGTTTCACATAAAGCAACAAAACCAACAGTAAACAGTTTCCCAATTGTTGACCAGACCTTTATAGAAGCGCTGTAGTCCTCACGAAGCTCTTGTAAGTAGACATTGAAGAGGGTGAGGGAGCAGGGCACGAAGGAGTCTGTGTCGTCCCAATCCCTGCATCTAGGAACAAAACCAAACATAGAAAAACACTTACCTGTGCTGCTTTAATCCCAAAACATGAAAAAGGACATAAATATTCCACGCACTTTTCATACAAAGCCTTTAGGATCACAGTCCGGTGTGAGCGGACCAGCGCAGAGAGGCCCAGATCATGGAGTATCGACAGGGGCAGCTCATGGCCTTCCTCCACCAGGGTCCCGAGGTTAAATACACCCTGGACATGGCACAGGAAACTGGTTAGGACATGGGTGTCAAAGTCAAGGCCCGGGAGCCAGATCCGGCCCGAGAATAAATAATCTTGGCCCCCGAGATGATATTTGATTAGTATTAAAACAGTCCTGCACAGAACCAAAATAAAATATTGGATTATTTATGTATTATATCCCAGAAGTTTCTCACTTTTTACCCTCCATATTTATTGATTCGTTCGATGCAGATGCAGGAAATTATTGGACATTTGTCATCCTGCTTCTTATGGACAAATGGATCCTATGTATTTGTTATTATTGTGTTCTGTTAGTATGTATTGTAGTGTTTTGTGTATTCTATATGTATTGTGTTGTATTAGTGAGAGGGGATAGAATTAATAGTTACCTAATGTAACTTAAGTTCTACGAATAGGTGCGTAGTCCCTTAGGACTTCGCTAGTGGAATATCACTCGTGACCCCCAGGTCACACGCCAGAGAGATCAAAATAATTTGCTCCAATCACCAGCCACCGTCCTCTATAAATGCCCCTGCACAAGGCCGCACCCCCTCTTGAACTCTGCCAAGCCGGGCTGGCCTGATGGGCTCGTAGCTAAGGGACTACGCACCTATTCGTAGAACTTAAGTTACATTAGATAACTATTAATTCTACGTCATGGTGCTACGTCCCTTAGGACTTCGCTAGTGGGACACAACGCGGAGGCCGTAGGAACATGTACTCCCAGCAGGCCAGCGAAGGGTGATTGGAGCTCCGCCCGAGCAAGACCCTCACACAGTGAGAGGACTCAGGGCAGAAGAAACAATGCGTGTTACAGGGCCACTCCTACCAAGGATACCCCCACGTAACACAGACCGTAGGTCATCCGTAGTCACAGGACGCCTCTCCCAAGAGCTCCTGACGTGGACTACCTGACCGACCAAACACACATATATGTACCGCACCTGTAGGATGCCTCTCCCAAGAGCTCCTGAACCAGGGCGGAAAGTAAACCGAAGGCCCCCTCAGAGGAGGGACCTAACGGTCTAACTCAGTCCGCTGCACTCAGCACGGAATGGGCCACCGACCGGTCCGACACATCCAAAAGATAAGACCGGACGAAAGAGGAGGACGACGCCCAAGAAGCCGCACGGCAGACGTCCTCGACCGACGCCCCCCTGAGAAGGGCCGTAGAGGCCGCCATCCCATGCGTGGAATGCGACCTGAAGCCCACCGGGGGGGCCAGACCCTGCGTCTGATACGCCCGCCGCACAGCCGTGGCGACCCAGTGCGCCAGCTGCTGAGCCGACAGCGGGGCGCCCCTGTTCTTGGGGCCCAGACACACAAACAGCTGACCACCCAACCTGAATAACGACGTCATGGCCAGGTAATGCCTCAGCATTCTGACAGGACACAGAAGGTGCCGCCGCTCCTCCTCGGGGGAGGCATGCGGTGGCGGATAGAAAGCCCTAATCCTGATGACTCTCGACCTAAAGGCCGACGTGATGACCTTGGGGAGAAAAGCCGGATTGGGCCACAATTCCACCATGCCGTCGCCCTCTCCAAAGGACAGGCAAGACGCATGGACAGAGAGCGCACACAAGTCGCCCGCCCTCTTAGCAGACGCCAACGCCAACAAGCGGGCCGTCTTAAAAGCGACAAACTCGTGACTCGCCTCCGCCGCCGGTTCAAAAGGCGGACCCGACAGCCCCCTAAGGACCACCCTGAGGTCCCAAACCGGGGGCGTTCTCTGGAGCGGGGGCCTCCTCCTGCGCGCTCCCCGCAGAAAACGTTTAACCAACGGATGAGAGCGGGCTGTGAACCCCCCGAATCCGTCGTGACCCGAAGTAATGGCTGCCGCGAACACCGCCAAGGTGGCGACAGCCCTCCCCTTGTCAAAGAGCCCCTGTAGGAATCCCAGGACCCCCTCCAGCGGGCAACGCCTGGGATCCCAGGAACGGGAACCGCACCAGTCGCTGATGAGCCTCCACCTCGTGGCGTAGGCCCTCACAGTGGACGGCGCCCTCGCCCCCTGAATGGTCTCCACCACCGCAGGGGGAAGACCCAGGTCTACGAGGTTCCGCCTCTCAACCTCCAAACCCAGAGCCTGCGGCCGATTATCGGGCGTGAAAACAGGGCTCCTCCCCCCTGGACTAGAGCCCCCGGCTCGTCCGGGAGGGCCCAGGGCTCCATCACCGCCATGCCCCTCAGGAAGGGGAACCACCGGGCATGCGGACTGTCCGGAGCCACCAGGATCACCGACCTCCTCTCCTGTTCGATCCTCCGCAGCAGGACCGGCAGGAGACGCACTGGTGGGAAAGCGTACAGCAGGCCCCCTGGCCAGGGGTAATGAGCCAGAGCGTCCACGCCTAAGGGCGGCTCGTCCGCGGCCCTTAAGGCGAACCAGGACGGGCACTGTGCGTTTTCTGCACTGGCGAAAAGGTCGACCACTGGACGGCCGAACCTCCGCCAGATCTCCGCAGCTACCCGTGGGGCCAGGCCCCACTCGTCCTGGAGTGGGCCCCCCCTGGACATCCTGTCGGCCCCCACGTTCCGGACCCCCGGGACGTGGCGCGCCCTGAGAGACAGGAGGTGAAGCGCCGCCCACAGCAGCGTCACCGTCGCCATGCGATGGAGAGAGGGGACCTGGTGCCCCCCTGCCTGTTCAGATAGGAGACCACTGTGGTGTTGTCTGAGCGCACCATCACGTGTCTCCCCTGCAGCTGAGGAGCAAAGTGCAGCAGTACTCTGTGCACTGCCTCCATCTCCAGCAGGTTGATGTGACGGGCTGAGTCCGACCAGCAGCCTCCTACAGAGCTCTGGCCGAGGACCCTGCCCCATCCTTCGAGCGACGCGTCCGTGAACACCTCCACGTGAGACACGGCGCAGGCTAGAGTCACTCCGTCCCGCAATAGACCCGGAGTGAGCCAGAACCTGATGTCCGATGCTGCCACTTGGGGAACCCAGATCAGCCTCCCCCCGTCCCGGGAGGGGTGAAGCCTGAGGCGTGAGAACCACCTCTGAAAATTCCTCATGTGGAGAAGGCCTAGCCGCACCACAGCATGAGCCGCCGCCATCATTCCCAGCAGGGACCTGAGGCGCCGAGCGGGGACTCTGGGGCCCGCCAGAACCTCCCTGGCCAGACGGGTAATGTCTGTCCACGGACAATGCAGCACGGAATGTCACAGAGTCTAACTGCAGACCGAGATAAATCATGCGTTGAGCTGGCTGCAGCTTGCTTTTTTTTTTTTTTTCTCCCTGTTCACCACAAAGCCCAGACGCTGTATGTGGGACAGGACCCAGTGTGTGTGGCTCACGGCCACTTCCCTGGATGAGGCCAGAATTAACCAGTCGTCTATGTAGGTTAAAATTCTTACCCCTGCGCGTCTGAGCGCCTCCAGTGCTGCCCCCACGCACTTGGAAAAAGTGCGAGGCGCGAGTGCGTAGCCAAAGGGGAGACGGCAGTACTCGTAATTCCTCTCTCCCACTGCGAAGCGCAGAAACCTCCTGTGTTCCGGCACTATCGGCACGTGGAAGTAAGCGTCTGTCAGGTCTATGGAGGACATCCAATCTCCCTGCCTGACACACTCGAGGAGCTGTTTTGTGGACAGCATCCGAAACTGCCGTTTGGAAATGCACTCGTTCAAAACGCGCGGATCAAAATGGGACGCACCCCGCCTGACTTCTTTGGCACTAAGAAGTAAGGGGAGTACAGCCCCCTAGTGGCGTCCTGCGGGTCTACCTCCACTGCTGCGCCTCGACTCAGCAGAGAGGAGACCTCCGCTTGTAGTGCCTCTAATGATCCCCGTACCTGAGAGCGTGCTGCCCGTACGCCTCGGAATGGTGGTGGCTTTCGGGAGAATTGCAGTGCGTAACCCCTGCGCAATGTTTTCTCCAGCCACGGATCCGTCAGTAAGCCCTGCTCCCTCCAGATGCTGTAGAAGTCTGTGAGGGGCGGAACGGGAGCTGGAACACGAGACGTCACGGCCCCGCCCTCTCCTGGTGTTCCTCGCAGGGAGGGGGGGGTGGACGAAAGGGCCGGGGGGCCCCCTGCGTCACACCGTGAGCGCCGGGGGCGGTCACGTGTCCTGCAGGCCCGACGTCATAAGTACGGGACTGCTCATCCCACGTGACTCGGCTGCTGTGCCCCCCCCTGGCTCTTGCCTCATGGAGGGGGGGGCGAGCCCCTGGAGTGGGAGACCCCGTGTTAGCCTAGTAGCTCAAGAGATGCTAACACGCGTTCGGCCAAAGCACACACATCACTACTCACCAGATCCCTCCGCCTGCCCTCTCTCTGGGAGGGCATAGCATGAACCAGAGAACCGGAGCTCGTAGCTCGCGTAGCGCACTGCAAACCCTGCTCTGGGGGCTGCAGGCCTAGCGAAGCAACGTTATGTGCTTGAGAAGTAACACAATCAGAATTCACAAGATTATTTGACATGTTACATACCCCCAAATGAGACTCTAGAAACGAGTAATGATGAAATGCCGGTCGGCCTTTATTGAAGGAAAACTTTCCACCCCAACCTCCTCTGCCATAGGGAGGTCGGCGGTGGGTGCGTTGCTCCCGCGAGCCACCCGTGGGTCTGTCTGGACCCGGGGGCCTCGTCGAGGGGGGACAATGGACAACAGAGCGCGGATACGGGTCAGGATGCCTCCCGGGCGAACGCTCTCTGCCTCTGTCCCGGCTCCGTGATGGTTGGTGGGCCTCGCGCCTCGGTGCTAGGTGCGGGGCTAGCCTAGCCGAGTCGTTGGCTGCAGACTCCAGTCTCGCCACCAGGGCTTGCATGTCCGGGCCGAAGAGGGACGTCTGAGAGATGGGCAGGTCCAGCAGCTGCCTCTTCTCCGCCTCCCTGATATTAGCCAGCCCAAGCCAAAGGTGCCTGGCCCCGACTTGGGCTGCAGCCATGGAGCGGCCACCGTCCACGGCTAGCGTCTGGCACATGCGCAGAATCGCCGCCGAGGTGGTCCTCGCCTGTGACAGGAGGTCTCCACTGAGCGCCTGGCCAGAGGAGAGCGACCTATCCAGGGCCCCCGTGATGAATGCCATGTTGTTAGCCAATGCGAGAACCTGTGCCGCATTGGCATAACATCTATCCAGCATCGCCACGACATCCTGTCCCGCTCGGAGGGAAGGAGAGGTCTGGTGCCGGGCCACACGGATGCGGAGGGCTGCAGGGCCATGCGGACTGAATCCTCGATAACCGGTCCAGGACCAGTCCTGCCCGCTGCAGTACATGTCGTACCCCAGAGCAGGCCTCTTGGCTGCTAGGAGCAGCTCACGTGTCGCGTAATGGACGAACGGGTCCATCCGCGGGCACAACGTGGGTTGTATCCACCTCCTCCCTCGAGTGGTGGCGCCCACAGAGGTGAAGTCCTCCACCGTCTGGATCCAGCGATGACGTCCGACGCCGGAGGGAACTCGGACGAACAAGGAAGACATCTCAGAATGAAGTAAGTATTGTAGTAGATCTCAAACGGCGCCAGAGTTCAAGAGGGGGTGCGGCCTTGTGCAGGGGCATTTATAGAGGACGGTGGCTGGTGATTGGAGCAAATTATTTTGATCTCTCTGGCGTGTGACCTGGGGGTCACGAGTGATATCCCACTAGCGAAGTCCTAAGGGACGTAGCACCATGACGTAGAACCAAAAAAGCGTCTGTTTCGTCCAACCCCCTTGTTATTCAAACAGTGTAATGCCGTTTACATTTGTGATCCTGTTTATTCTTAGGTCTGTATGAGGTTTAGACACCGACCTGCGGCTGGTCCCTCAGAGCCGCTGCTGCGTACATGCGAGCTGCAGACTCCACATCTCTCCGTCTGCCTTCGTGGCCCTGGTAGAGCATGTCGCCCAGCTTTATCAATGCTGGAGGACAACACAAGGTTATATGGTTGTAACAGCAGCATATTGTTTGCAAAAAGCTGTTCATAGACAGCTGAAGAGGAAACCACACCGGGGGGCAGGAGGAGGACTGTTTTCTTCTGACTTTAATTAATTGTAATTGTCATGGTATACGAGCGGTTGTGTATGATCTGAGGCAGGAGGGTCAAAGGACAGTGGTGATGATCCAGGACACTCAACATGCAACAACATGTATGGACATTTATCAACTTTTAAGAACATTGGTCATCTCTGCCCCTTATGGCGGCACGGTGGCTGAGTGGATAGCACTCTCGCCTCTCAGCAAGAAGGTCCTGGGTTCGAATCCCGGTTGGACCAGGGCCTTTCTGAGTGGAGTTTGCATGTTCTCCCCGTGTCTGCGTAGGTTTCCTCCGGGTGCTCCGGTTTCCCCTACCACTAAAAATATGTACAATAGGTCTAGCATGTGCCTCATGTACTGGCGACCCCTGCTCCCAAAAAATAACAATTGTAAACCGCTTTGAGACTCTGATGTGCAGTGAAAAGGCGGTATATAAATAAAAGATTACTTACTTACTTACTTATGGACCTATGTGTTTTGTTTGATTCGCTCTGTAAAGGTTCTGTAAAGTCCTCTGAGATAACTACTGTTCTGATTTTGGGGTATGAATAAATTTAATTGAATGATATTGCTGGGCCGAGGAAGGTGGACCGGGATAGAGCGAGAGACCACTGCATTCACAAAGTCACCTACCGTACGCTTGTGGACTTTCACTGTGCGTGCTGACATTATAATATTTCCACATACAAGAAGAGACAAAGTCAGGATGTAAGAACTGGCCCTGTTAAAACACACGCAGAGACCACAGCTCAAAGTGTGTCAGATTTCAGCTCATTTTACACAAACTTACCGCATCCTGTTCACACAAGAATGCCAGGTTAAATTGAGCAGCTGCGAAACCGGACTCAGCCGCCATCAGGTAAAACAATACTGACGTGAGCCTGGACAGAGAAGTACACTAAATAACTGCATTTTGACCCGTAGTGGAAACATGCTTATATATTTTACATGTCTTTCTTCAAATAGGAGTCGAGCCCCTTGCGCAGCACATGGCCCAGGTGTCCATTGTGTTCAGAGGCCCATTTTGTTAACCTGCAGACAGGGGAGAAGTACGTTCTTTTGAATGCGTATGTGAAAATAACTTTGGATTGTGGGCTGTTTTTAAGGCCTACTTTACGGCTTCCAGCGGCCTCCTGTCCACACGTGCCGGGATCCCAGTGGTCCAGATCATTGCCACCTGAGTGGCTGCTTTGATGTGGCCTCGATCAGCTGATTTGAGGAAGTACTGATAGGCCAAAAACTGTCAACAAAAAATCAATAATTATAATTGTACAAATGAATGTATTAATCCATCCATCCATCCATTTTCTACCCTTTAATCCATTTATGGGTCAGGGGGGTGCCAATCAGAGATGCCACCCAAGTCTCATAGCACCAGCCCCTCACTGACCCTCTGCAGGTGGTGAGTCCACAGGAGGACGGCTGCTCTCTGACTGTGAGCATAGCCTTGATCTTTCAGTGGGGGCTTTGGGCAAAGTGGGGTTAAGTGTCTTGCCCAAGGACACAACGACAGCAGTCATCAGTGGGAGTCGGTGGAGAAGGTGCAGAGGTGGGAATTGAACCCACAACCTTCTGGGCTTAAGGCCAATGCTCTACCAACTGAGCTACTGTCGCCCCTCGAATGTATTAATATACTACTTAATTGCAATGTTTTCAATGTTAAGGGTACTTGGGTGCACATGTATATAGTAGTAATTTAAGAAGTGTTTCTTAATGCATGCCTAATTCTATTTTTAACTTATTTGCACAGAGAGTCCAAGCAAGTTCCTAGTTTGTGAGTTCCTTGTTACTCACGCATAAAAACCATAAAAGATACTGATGGATTTATTAGAAGTTTATTTACATTGATTGTTGTTTTACACAAACACATACATATACGCCCCCATATCTTTATTTATTTTAACGTTCTTCCCGTTATTACTTTTTGTGGCAGCTTAATACATTGAAAAGCTCTGCAGAAAACTTGAACTAAAGCTCTTGTTTTTAGTAGGTGGTTGAATGTCTTCCGTGAATATGGTTCAATTCTGTCATTTGTGATTTTCCCGCTCATAACGCTACATGTTGTATCGGTGCTACAGCTTCACATCCGTCACTGTGGCAACGTGGCCTCGCACAGTTGATGTGACAGATACACTGTTTTAAGAATTTTAAGAAAAATTGCCCATACGAATTCTTAGGCCACACCTCCTCGACCTTGTGGACCCTTTAACATTCACTCCTCATAATTTTCTTTTTGGGATTTTCAAACACGCACTTTTTAACTCCTATTTTTTCTTAAATATAGGCCTTTACCAAATGGTTGAGATGCAGTTTGATTGTAAAAGTGCCTAAAACCAAGTGAGATGGCCCAAAGAGGTAGATTTCAGTTCCAAGCTCTCTTAAAGTAGAAATAGTGGCGCAATAGGTGATCTACCAAATAGTTCAGAAAACCATTAAAGGGTTAAGGTCCATAGACATTTTTAATTTGGGGATACGAAATTGATACTCTGTCAATTCTGTTCCTTCGTCATTAGTCCATATAACAGATCTGTCTGAGTTAAACATGTGCACTTTATTACTGGTGTTAGTAACTTTTACAATTTATTATTTGTATGAATGATGTGTTTTCTGCTGCTGGACACCTGAAATCTTCTTTTAAGGGGGATCAGGAAAGTATCTATCTATCTAATTATTTATCCAAAAAAATCATAGATGGTTTGCGAAAACGTAAAGCAAAGCGGATTTTTTTGGTATAATGGTGATTAACTGAAAGGTGAGAAATCTTGCAAAATTAATGTGATTTAATGCTTCTTCTCATGATTTCTGATGAAAATATTCTTGAAGTCTGTTGCATGTACTTTCAAACACAGCCCTGGATGAATGACAAATGTGATAAATGCACAAATGTGATGTGACCTGGTTTTGTGGCTTGTTTGGGTAGAGTCCCTGTAAATACATGACTCCCAGGTTCATGGCGGCATCAGGACTGCCCAGGCGGTCTGCACGCTCCCACAGCTGCACCGCCTCCTGGTAGTTCTTCTCAAAGTTCTCGTAGTACCAGCCCAGAGCGTTCATGGCGGGGACCGAACCCTGCAGAAGCCAGTCAGACACAGTAGAATCACATGACTCCTTATACAATACATGACAAAGCTGAAGTAGATAGACCAGCACTACCTTGTCCATTGCTTTCTTGAGATAAAACACTCCTTTGGGAATGTCTTTCTCAACACCATGGCCCTAAAAAAAAATGTTGTGAGATTATTGACTATGGATGCTTCAGGTGAAATGTGAATCCATGTAAACTTTTAATATTGTGATAATTCGGGCGTTCTGCTCTCCCAAAATTTCATCCACTGAGCGGCGCTGTGATCAAAAAATGACACCGTTTGTTGCCCAGTTCACTTCCGGTTGATTTCATACAATGACGAATATGGCTCACGAAAACAACAAACGATTGACAGTGCCTGAATTGCGTGAAAGGTTGAAGCGAAGGGTATTTGCAGTGTGGGAAAACGAAAGGAGGAATTGTTGTTGCTAGTTCAACGAGCGGATGGTGTTTATGAAGATTTAGAAGAAGATGACAGCGAGCAGAGTGAATGAAAACGGCTGTGTGTGCGAGTGACAGATGGTAACAATGAGAATGAAGTTCAGCTAAGAGGGAAGAATGTGAATTGGACGGATGATTTGCGCGATATGCCACTAGTTAGAGACGGGAATGTATTTGCATACAGAAAATGACGAAAACACTCAACCATTTAGAGAAAATGCGCCGGGCAGAGAGAACCGGAAGTTGCGAAGGCAAGTTACCCATAATGCAACGCAAAATTCAGTCGCTCCCCCGCCCATCGGATGGAATTTTGGGAGAGCAGAACGCCCGAATTGTAAGCTAAGTCCCAGAGTAGTTCTACATGACATTTATATCGTTAACTTTCTTTGCTCTTCTATGATTGCGCCCATCCCTAAATTACAACAGCGGTTGTGTCAGAGGATTTTACAAAGTTGTCGATTCACAAACTACAGATCAGCGAAAAAAACAGTTTGTGCAGGTGAAACTCGGAAAATTAGAAAATAGTTCAAAATGTAAAAATCTGGTACTGCAACCTCTCTCACTCTCCCTGACACAGGTTGCCAGATATGCAGACGAATCCAGCTGGAACCACAATAAATGAATATACAAGAGTTTTGTCAACAACAAATCTACTGTATAACCAACACCTTTTTCACAAACGCCCCATCCTGGTTTTATTCCTTGTTTTTTAATTAATGATTTGAGAATCAAAACGAGAGCTTTTTTTAGTTCTGCGGCCACATGGTACTTTACTAGTGAGATTAGCTTGACTCTGTAAATTCTGGCAACCTGGATTACGGACTTTCTGATTGGTGAAACGGTGGAGGGTGGGACATCGAAATGAAAACAATAACAAGATTCAGAGGCTGTAAAGCTAATTTTGAAATTTGAATATCTCTGAACTACTGTTATCAGAAGTATTTGAAAAGAGCATGTTTTATTAATGCCTTTTGAGATATTAGGGCCATTTAATGATGACTTGACATGAAAATCTTACATATTGCTACTTTAAAGTGGAGAACTCATTTTTGGCCAAACATCTCGGCCTCATCTCACCCAAAGTGAAGTATATCAATCCTTTCTTTGTAATGTGGATATGGCTCACAGCTTCTAAAAAATCTTCTAAAAAAAAGTATACTGTATCAAAAAATATTTGCAAAGTTCCGGTGTATTTCAGAACTTCAATCAAACCAAAAAGACAGATACTGATAATTTCACTGCATTGACTGTGTTAGAAAACATTGTATGTGACAAATAATTATCTATATTTGCACATCCTGAGTGATCTTATTGAAGCCGACATGTACATCTCTCCAGTGTGAGATCAATAAAGTGTTATCTTTTATACTGGTTTCACATAAATACAGAAATAAATTACCTTTTGAACGAAATTCTAATTTTTTTGAGTTTCACATGTTTATATAGAACACCAAAGCCTCATCAGCGTCATTTACAGCCCTTTCAGCAAGAGCCAAAATGCCTCCATAAGCAGCAGATGCACGGGTCAGACCTGCAGCAGCACTATGCCGTAGTCGTACATGGACACAGGGTCGGCGTGTAGCTCCGCCCCTCTCTGGTAGTGCCTCGCGGCCTTTCGAGGGTCACTGGCCACTCCCCGCAGACCCCAGAAGAGCATCTGGCCCATGGTTTGCTGAAAAACACCACAAGTACACAACTGCTGTCATCCTGATCCAGACAAGTGCACAGTCTCCTCACATTCTTCCCTTTGTCTCCAGTGTGGCATTTTCTCCCCATTTCCCTCTGCTCGTCGTGGGAGGGATGACAGACCAAGACAGTTCCTTTTTCCACAAATAGATATTTTATACAGCGCTCCCTGCACAGACCTGCGCTCAGGTGATGTCTGGCATTTATTATTCATGCATTGCAGCAGATTTAAGTAATGCTGTTAGGAATTAGTATTCTGTTAGCAAAGAATTGGAATTAAACATTAAAGGTGCTTTTTCTCTTTGGATCAACCTCAAATTGATCCTTATAAAATGCTGTATGTTTACGGATATACCTGTGCGCGTGTTCATGTGTGTGTGCATGTGTGTACGTGCGCATATACTAGTATGTGTGTGTGTGCTGGTATGTGGGTGTTCGTGTGCACTAGGGTTTAATATTTTTCCCGAAAATGAGACGTATCAAATCCCGGGAAAAGACGGCGCGTTTCCCGGGAAATCCCGGGAAATAGCTGTTGTTTGTAGTTGTTGTTTTTAGCCCAAGTAATGTGTGATATCACTCAAATATATAATCCAACAAAAGCTGCCGTCTCCACTAGTATTTCACCAAGCGACTTGCTAGCTTTGCTAAAGTAGCCATAGCGTTTTCAGACGTTTTGTTGATGGGCTTTCTTCAGGAATTTCACTATTATGAGATTCTAAATGTCTGCCCAATCCACTTGTCGACCAGTGACGTGCGGTGTGGTTTGGAGGCACTGACTTCAGCCCTGTCAGATGAACATATATCATATAAATCAACAGAACCTGCAGAGCGGCTTATTCACAATTAGTTTGGCTACAGCAGAATGTTTTCCATGCCCGCATTGTTTGCTCAAACAAAACGCAAAAGTTCGTAAAAGGCACATTTCCAATTGTGTTATGCATGGGTTAAAGTTGAAAAAATTCCTGAGCCTGAACCATCTATATGAATCATAGAATGATCACTAATAAGCGTTTTTTAGAAGCGCCTTTATACGCTCATACATATAATTTATATCTATTTATTGCCAACAACTGATGTTTATTATAAACATCAGTTGTTGGCAATAAATACATCATCTGACTATTGAATTGTTACTTTAATGTAAAGCCTCACCTTGCCAAGACCTTTCTGCAAGTACCCCTAGTTTGGATTTGTGTGATAATGTAAAAAAAAAAAAAAAACATACCACATCACAGTAAGTGAATATACTATTTTCTTTTTTTTAATTATTATTGATGTTATTACTAACATTTTATGTGTAAACTGTAAACTGATTAAACATCCAAACTAGACATCAGATATGACATACAAAAACTAAAAACACTGGATCAGGCAACAAGAACACTTCCAGATTCAACCTTAAATATATAAATAAACCTTAACTTTTAAATTCTACTTATTAAACATTTAGCTTTAAACACAAATAAATGAAACTAAAGTGCAAATGAGCTTTGTGCTGTGTGTCTTCATAAAGCACCTGTGTTAACTTTCAATAGACTTTGATTTGGTAAAACATTACAAAACAACACAAATGCTAACAGTACTGTTTGAAATATTCATTTCTTTTTCTTTTGTTTAGGGTGTGAATTATCTGTATGCTTTCTTTTTAACATGTTGGGCGGAGGGTTTAATGAGGAGGCTACTTTGTCTGAACAATTAAATAGAGGGAAAAAACCGCATGGTCCAGAGGAGGAAGCAGCTGGTGCAGAGGAGAGTTGTCTGGCTGGTGCAGAGGAGAGTTGTCTGGCTGGTCCAGAGGAGGAGGCAGCTGGTGCAGAGGAGAGTTGTCTGGCTGGTCCAGAGGAGTGGGCAGCTGGTGCAGAGGAGGAGGCAGCTGGTGCAGAGGAGAGTTGTCTGGCTGGTCCAGAGGAGGAGGCAGCTGGTGGAGAGGAGGAGGCAGCTGGTGCAGAGGAGAGTTGTCTGGCTGGTCCAGAGGAGGAGGCAGCTGGTGGAGAGGAGGAGGCAGCTGGTGCAGAGGAGAGTTGTCTGGCTGGTCCAGAGGAGGAGGCAGCTGGTGCAGAGGAGAGTTGTCTGGCTGGTGCGGTGGGGCTGCAGCCTTTTTATCATCTCCTCTGGACCAGCCAGACAACTCTCCTCTGCACCAGCTGCCTCCTCCTCTGGACCAGCCAGACAACTCTCCTCTGCACCAGCTGCCTCCTCCTCTGCACCAGCTGCCTCCTCCTCTGGACCAGCCAGACAACTCTCCTCTGCACCAGCTGCCTCCTCCTCTGCACCAGCTGCCTCCTCCTCTGGACCAGCCAGACAACTCTCCTCTGCACCAGCTGCCTCCTCCTCTCCACCAGCTGCCTCCTCCTCTGGACCAGCCAGACAACTCTCCTCTGCACCAGCTGCTTCCTCCTCTGGACCATGCGGTTTTTTCACTCTATTTAATTGTTCAGACAAAGTAGCCTCCTCATTAAACCCTCCGCCCAACATGTTAAAAAGGACATTCAAAATTCTGTCCACATTTGTTTGTGGACACTCAATGTTTAAGAAAAAGGTTTCCCTATCAACTTGGTGCTAGTGCACAGCGCAGTTTTATCAACTGCAAATGATTAATGATAATTAAATCTACCAGCGGTAGTGATGGTTCTGAACGACAGGTTATTTTCTGCGATAAAGCCACAGATAGTTTTAGGTCACAGACACAGTCCACCAGAGCAAGCCTAGTCTCAGTTGTCGCTGAATCTGATGCACCAGGTAAAGAAGTGTGGGAAAGTGCACGGACAGCTGCCAAGTGCGCAGTTTTGAGCTGGTGGTGAATCCAAAGCTGTTTGATTTGTTTTCTCATTACTCCCATATAAAAAAATAATAATAGCGAAGTACGAACAAGCACCGGACACCTTCATCTTTTTGCACCATGAAGCAACAGAATCCCATCGTCTCCACCTCATCCAGCCATGCCCACCTCCATTTATTTTTCACTCCGTTATCAACAGCAACTTATACAGCTCCTTCTTCCATAAAACAACGATCCATGATTGTGATTGTGCGTGAATGCTAGGCTAGCTTTGATGAATGAATATAAGACCTGCTAACACACACCTTTCTTCTGCGAGTTTCTTCCGTTCGCTCTCGTTGATTTGCTTTTTTATCACGCAGTTTTGCATGGGGATCGCCACCAAGATATTATCAAAAGCTCACCAAGACATGCTTGTCCCCATTCTCAGTCACAGCAAAGTACATATTGTACATTCCGTTAAATAAAAAAGCATTGCGTTTGGTAAACGTTAATTATGTCCTACCTTTCCTCTGATAACGCGCCCAGTTTACCGGTCCGCGGGCTGCTGGCTGTTATTGCTCCGTTCGGGATTACATTTTCCTTGTCCTCTTCTCCTTTTCAAAAGCTCCGTGCACTTTTCAGAAACTTTCACCTCCGTGTTACCATCGCTAACTTGGCTACGTCCCATTGCCTTGAATCATTTACGGAGCGCTCATGTAGCTAGCCACGGCACGTTCAAGGCCCACTCGTGATTATATTACTTTTTATTTCTATATACATATAAATACAATTATATTCAAATTATTAATATATATCTAGATATATACAACAGATTCACACGTATTACTATATATTTTGTTATAATTAACCATTTCATTGTGTGTATTATATTATTATTATATATTTTGTTTTTTTTTTCAGACCAATTTCATTTGACGGAAATCCGTCACTTAGACGGAACTCTTTAATCCCTGCGCTATACACATGCAATCCTTTCATACAATTGGTAGAACACACTTGAACCTTTTTCAAATGACAGCAATCATTATTTATTTATATATATATAAAAAAAAAAAAAAAAGATTTTTTTTTTTTTTTTTTCTCACGCCGGATTTCCGGCACGGTGCCGGAAAACTTTAAGCCCTGTGTTATGGGTCTTACCTTAGTTATTAATGAACAGCACAGACCACTTCGGTTCAGACCAGTTTCATGTTTAAGTCCAGATAATAGTTTGAGCGCAGATATGTAATCCCCCATTTGGAAATAAGCCCAAAAAGTTTTAAAGCGTAAAACAAAACGGGTGCCACCTCCATAAACTCCTCCGTGTGTTCGCTGCAGCCGGCTCTCGGGCGCATCCAATTTCTAATATCAACCTTCTTACCCTTCTCCTCTCTTTCTTATCATTCCTATCGTCATTGTAAGCAGAACATTACCCTAAATGCATTTTATATGATTTTAAAAAAGTGTTATCTGTATGTTAGCCAAACCTGTTGCTGGCCTTAGCAGATGGAAAAAAAGAAAGGAGCTTTCTGATAGAATTGGACGTAACCAAATTCTGGGCTCACATGTGCCCCGTACCCTGAGGCTGGCCTCATTACAAGTCGTGGTTTAGCGCGATTAAGACCCATATTTGTTGTCAAAAACACAATTTATGAGCCATCCTCTCAGCTGTAGACATGTTGATTGTAAATGAAATATGTTTGAACTTTGAACAACAATACACGTGCTTTATAATAGGAGCGCACTGTATTTTTTTTTTTACTTTCATTTCCCGTTTCCCGTCATAACATTTCCCGGGAATCGGGAAATAGTTTTCATCAGATTTCCCGGGAATCCCGTATCCCGGGATTAAACCCTAGTGTGCACGTGTGTGTGCATGTGTGAATATGCTCATATATACGTTAAATGTGTGTGTGTATTTGTGTGTGTGTACAGCTGCACCTCTGCCTCTGCTTCTCCTTTCTGAGCCTGGAACTGGAGCCACTGGAAGATGTGGTGGTCCTCTCTGGTCTGCTGCTTCAGGACTTCTTGGTCGATCAGGTGAATTTTCTCTACAGTCGTCTGAAACAGAGCGTTTTCAGAAAAACGGAAAAGCCAGTTTGATGATTTGTGTTCACAGGTGATACTCTGCTGTCGTTGTGTCCTTGGGCAAGACACTTAACCCCACACTGCATGAAGCTGAGATCAAGGTCTCACAGACAGAGCAGCCATCCTCCTGTGGACTCAGCACCTGCAGGAGGATCAGTGAGGGGCTGGTGCTCTGTGGCAGCTCTGATTTGGGCTTTATGGCTCTTTTCTTGCACCTAATGGATTTTTTTTATTCATCATTTCCCATCAACGTGGACTTGACCCTAGAGCAGTATGGAGCTTTGGCCCCATACATATCCACAATTTCATAACTCTTTCTGCTTAATAGGAAAATATGTCTTTATACATATATAATCATGAAAAATTATAGTTGAATCTAAAAGGATGTGGCGTCAGCCTGACACCAAAGAGCCGTCTCAAGAGCAACACAATACATTATGGTCTGTGAGTTTGAGTGCAGCCTGCGATGAATCACATATAAATGACTATGTTCAGTAATTTAAAGTGTGTGTTTAATGAGACATGTTTCCATTGAAGACACAATTGTTTGTTTATATTCTATTCAATTGCTGTTACATTTGAGTGTCCTAAGTCCCAAGTATCTCTGAAAGAGTTGTTTTTTGAGCTTTTCAATCTTGTCCCTTCGGAAAAATCTTGTCCAAAGAAATGTGAGAATAATAATGGCTGACTAAAAAAAGTCACTTGCAATATTTTTTCTTTTTCTATATTCATATTTATCGTGACAATTTCTGCTGCAATATAATTTAAATGCTTGTGTTTCTAAGCTCCCACCTGCTGAGGGGAGGGGTTGAGGCGGTCAGTCACAGTCTGCTGGGCGATGTTAGAGTAGTAAGCATAGGCCAGGTCCGGGTCTCTGGGAAGTCCAGAGAGACCATGAAGATGCAGGAAGCCCAACCGAAGGAGAGACAGTCTGTGGTCCCTCTGGGCTGAGAGCAGGGAGAGGAGCCAGGACTGCAACACAAGTCTATGATATCACACTCTATAGTCCTGCTTTAACATGTACCATGGGGATGTTCACCTGGTCTGTGTTCTGCCGGACCCCCAGCCCAGCGGAGTACAGAGCTGCAGACAGATGCAGGGCAGAGGGCTCCTGCAGACAGCCCGCCTGCTGCAGCAGCGGCAGGTGTTTCTGGACTCTGGAGCCAGACACAGAGACAGACAGCTTCTGCAGAGCCACACGGTACAGAGCCCGGCCCACAGTCCTCACACTCACTCTGTGTCCTACGGTGAAAACAAGCTGGGTTCATTCTACTCTGCTTTTATGAACAAACCTGTGACATGGTTAGGATACATTGTGGTGCACATTTTATGTCCAAATACCTTTTTTGGAGACCAGGGACTTGGCCACTTTAGCAGCATACTGTGTGCTTCCAGGCACAGCCTCCCCGTCTTCACACTGAGGCCTGACAGTCTGTGTGAGAGGCTTCATGTACTGGAGATAGACATCTGTGCAGCTCTCTGGGAAAATAAGAACCAACTTCACATATGCTCAGGCTCATCAGCAGCACCAATGGCACATTACGCCACCTGTCATGGTTTTCAAATACTCCCTGATCTTCAGACTCATGTGGTGCTGAAAGTCATCGCACTTTTGCAGCCAACTGTCCAGACTCAGTGAGTGGATCACATGAGGAACTTCCACCATGTTCTGTCAGTTAAAGTGAAGTTAAAGATTGAGACAGACTGACAGAGAGACAGGTATCCCACAGTCTGCTGCACCTGGGTCGGCTCAGGGATCCTTTTGCGATGGAACAGCACCGGTCCAAAGAAGCCCTCCACTGACGGGGCGTGGTTGCTTCCTCCAATTACAAAGTACCCGTCAGTGTCGTCCATCTCCAGATCATATCCAAAACTGAGAAATAGGTATTAGTAAATACATAGTGTGTATTTTGCACGTTCCATGCATATTCATGGATGGATAAATAATGTTATGGATAAATAATGTTAATTTGATATGATTTGTATAACAGAGCTCACTCTGTGACAGTGATTTAAGAACTCCTTTGTTCAAAATGTAACACATATACACCTTTTCGCGTGACGTCAGCACATGACCTAGCAACGCGCGCCGCCATTCCAAGAGGGGTATGCTTTTGCTTGACAACCGCCAATACCGCCAATGACCGCTGACAACACGAAGGAGATCTTGCAGTCTGGCAGATTTTTATTATACAATGCCCAAATCCTGTGTAGTATTTGGCTGTCATAAACACGCCTGGCAGAACGAAAAGATATCATTTTACAGAATACCTACAGAAAAAGGCCAGAAACGGAAATTGTGGATCCAAGCACTGAGGCGAACGAACGACGACGGAACTACATGGAGCCCAAAGTCGAAGTGGTCGTATGTCTGCAGTAGACATTTCGTTAATGGTAAGTTGTGAATTTTGGGGATCTAATTTCTTCCTGACTGATTTTATGACATAGATTATGAAATCGTAATTCATTCAGTAATGACTGCAATTCCTATGGTTAGTTAGCTAGCTAGGGCTAGGCTAATTAGAGGGCTTTCATGACGGGTTTACGTACACAACTATCAATCAATCAAGTTTTATTTCTAAAGCGCCTTACAACAACCAAGTTGACCAAAGCGCTGCACACAATAAAAATAAAAATACAATATAAAAAGGAGTACAATTTCATTAAAAAACAGACCATTATCACATTCACAACAGTTGCCACAGAACTATGTGTCAAATGCCTCTTTAATCAGGTGAGTCTTTAGCTTCGCTTTGAACAGGGGCAGGTTTGAAATGGCACGTAACTCAAGCGGCAACGAGTTCCAGAGTTTTGGACCTGCCACAGCAAAAGCCCGATCACCCCACCTTTCGTGTTGTCCAATGTCCGTGGTAAATAGCGGTTGTCAAGTAAAAGCATACCCCTCTTAAAATGGCGGCGGGCGTTGCTAGGTCAAGTGTCCCGGATGATGATGTCACCGCGAAAAGATGTATTAGTCTAGACTCTAGTCCGTAGGCCAGCTTCAATTTGGACTTTAGGGAGTACAGTACATGAATACATTCACACACATCTCTTCAGTGCCACTGTGTAAAAGTCACATTCAGTTGTGTAGTGTGTTGTGACACTCACACATATCGAGCAGTGTGTACTTTCCTCTGGTCACCCTCCGCACACACCATGGACACGTCAACCTGGAAATAAACGACATTGTCTCTGCAGGTTTACAGTGTGTGTCCTCACAATCGTACAGTACATGAAGGGGCAGACCTTGGATACACGCAGCTCCAGGGTGAGTTGGCACCAGCGTCTCAGAGGGAGCCTGAAGGGGCAGAGGAAGGCACCGCTCTGCTCCTGCTCCCCGCTCATCTGGACATGCAGATGACCTGGACACACACCAGTTTCAGTTTATTTCAGTTTATTTATGTGTGCCCATTCCATTACATGTTACAGTACAAGTTACCATGACATATTTCAAACAGTGAACACTTAGAATTACACTTAAGTATCACATAAGTTCAACCAAATAATTCAGTTTGGTATCCATCCAGAATATAGACGTGACAATATGTAAAAATCTGGCCAAAAATGGTACTGCAACCTCTCTCACTCTCCCTGACTCAGGTTGCCAAATATGCAGATGAATCCAGCTGGGACCATAATATCTGAACAGACAAGAGAAATCCTCATTTTATTCCTTGTTTTGTCATTAATGATTTTAGAATCATAACGAGACCTTTTTAGTCCTGCGGCCACATGTTACTTTACCAGTGAGATTAGCTCAACGCGGTGAGTTCTGGCAACCTGGGTCATGGCCTTTCTGATTGGTAAAACAGAGGAGGGCGGGACATCGAAATGAAAACAAAAACAAGATTTAGGGGCTGTAAAACTAGTTTTGAAAATCTAATACCCTGGCTGAAATACACTTATCAGTTAAAAAAGGGTTCGAAAAGAGTTTATTAATGCCTTCTGACATATTAGGGCTTGGGCATAATTATGTCTTGACATGACATATTTCTACTTAAAATACTTTAAGGAATTGCATATTATCATCTCTGCTGAGATTTTTCTACGTTTGAGCCCCATGAAATGAGTGATGATCTCTGAGTCAGTCATAACTTTTGGCAATCATCTCTTAAACTATATATAGTTTTTTAACACACCACACTCACACACATACACACCCACATGAGCCCCTGGGAGGTCCGACAGCAGCCATAATCGTACCTGTGGGAGTGAGGAAGAGCCCGGGACTGACGTATCGCTGCTCGAGGTCGATGTGATGGAAGACAGAACACAGATTGTGGCGACAGGAAGCAGTCACAAAGAGCCACAAGGAAAATCTGCACCTGCGAACAACAAGGAGACGGACGTAAAAAGACGCGTATGATGCAGAATTAATAGTTACTTAATGTAACTTAAGTTCTACGAATAGGTGCGTAGTCCCTTAGGACTTCGCTAGTGGGATATCACTCGTGACCCCCAGGTCACGCGCCAGAGATCAAAATAATTTGCTCCAATCACCAGCCACCTTCCTCTATAAATGCCCCTGCACAAGGCCGTACCCCCTCTTGAACTCTGCCAAGCCGGGCTGGCCTGATGGGCTCGTAGCTAAGGGACTACGCACCTATTCGTAGAACTTAAGTTACATTAAGTAACTATTAATTCTACGTCATGGTGCTACGTCCCTTAGGACTTCGCTAGTGGGACACAACGCGGAGGCCGTAGGAAAATGTACTCCCAGCAGGCCAGCGAAGGTGATTGGAGCTCCGCCCGAGCAAGACCCTCACAACGTGAGAGGACTCAGGGCAGAAGAAACAAGCGTGTTACGGGGCCACTCCTACCAAGGATACCCCCACGTAACACAAGCCGTAGGTCATCCGTAGTCACAGGACGCCTCTCCCAAGAGCTCCTGACGTGGACTACCAGACCGACCACACACACAAAATGTACCGCACCTTTAGGATGCCTCTCCCAAGAGCTCCTGCACCAGGGCGGAAAATAGACCGAAGGCCCCCCTCAGGGGAGGGACCCAACGGTCTAACTCAGTCCGCTGCACTCAGCACGGAATGGGCCACCGACCGGTCCGACACATCCGAAAGATAAGACCGGACGAAAGAGGAGGACGACGCCCAAGAAGCCGCACGGCAACGTCCTCGACCGACGCCCCCCTGAGAAGGGCCGTAGAGGCCGCCATCCCACGCGTGGAATGCGACCTGAAACCCACCGGGGGGGCCAGACCCTGCGTCTGATACGCCCGCCGCACCGCCGTGGCGACCCAATGCGCCAGCCGCTGAGCCGACAGCGGGGCGCCCCTGTTCTTGGGGCCCAGACACACAAACAGCTGATCACCCGACCTGAATGACAACGTCATGGCCAGGTAATGCCTCAGCATTCTGATAGGACACAGAAGGTGCTGCCGCTCCTCCTCGGGGGAGGCATGCGGCGGCGGGTGGAAAGCCCTAATCCTGATGACCCTCGACCTAAAGGCCGACGTGATGACCTTGGGGAGAAAAGCCGGATTGGGCCACAATTCCACCATGCCGTCGTCCTCTCCAAAGGACAGGCACGACGCATGGACGGAGAGCGCACACAAATCGCCCGCCCTCTTCGCAGACGCCAACGCCAGTAAGAGGGCCGTCTTAAAGGCGATACACTCGGGACTCGCCTCCGCCGCCGGTTCAAAAGGCGGACCCGACAGCCCCCTAAGGACCACCCTGAGGTCCCAAACCGGAGGCGTTCTCTGGAGCGGGGGCCTCCTCCTGCGCGCCCCCCGCAGAAAACGTTTAACCAACGGGTGAGAACGGGCTGTGAACCCCCCGAATCCGTCGTGACCCGAAGTAATGGCTGCCGTGAACACCGCCAAGGTAGCGACAGCCCTCCCCTTGTCGAAGAGCTCCTGTAGGAATCCCAGGACCCCCTCCAGCGGGCAACACCTGGGATCCCAGGAACGGGAATCGCGCCAGACACTGAATAGCCTCCACCTCGTGGCGTAGGCCATCACGGTGGACGGCGCCCTCGCTCCCTGAATGGTCTCCACCACCGCAGGGGGAAGACCCAGATCTACGAGGCTCCGCCTCTCAACCTCCAAACCCAGAGCCTGCGGCCGATTATCGGACGTGAAAACAGGGCTCCTGCCCCCTGGACTAGAGCCCCCGGCTCGTCCGGGAGGGCCCAGGCCTCCATCACCGCCATGCCCCTCAGGAAGGGGAACCACCGGGCATGCGGACTGTCCGGAGCCACCAGGATCACCGATCTCCTCTCCTGTTCGATCCTCCGCAGCAGGACCGGCAGGAGACGCACCGGTGGAAAAGCGTACAACAGGCCGCCTGGCCATGGGTAATGAGCCAGAGCGTCCACGCCTAAAGGCGGCTCGTCCGCGGCCCTTAAGGCGAACCAGGACGGGCACTGTGCGACTCTGCACTGGCGAAAAGGTCGACCACTGGACGGCCGAACCTCCGCCAGATCTCCGCAGCTACCCGTGGGGCCAGGCCCCACTCGTCCTGGAGTGGGCCCCCCCTGGACATCCTGTCGGCTCCCACGTTCCGGACCCCCGGGACGTGGCGCGCCCTGAGAGACAGGAGGTGAAGCGCCGCCCACAGCAGCGTCACCGTCGCCATGCGATGGAGAGCGGGGGACCTGGTGCCCCCCTGCCTGTTCAGATAGGAGACCACTGTGGTGTTGTCTGAGCGCACCATCACGTGTCTCCCCTGCAGCTGAGGAGCAAAGTGCAGCAGTACTCTGTGCACTGCCTCCATCTCCAGCAGGTTGATGTGACGGGCTGAGTCCGACCAGCAGCCTCCTACAGAGCTCTGGCCGAGGACCCCGCCCCATCCTTTGAGCGACGCGTCCGTGAACACCTCGACGTGAGACACGGCGCAGCCCAGAGTCACTCCGTCCCGCAATAGACCCGAAGTGAGCCAGAACCTGATGTCCGATGCTGCCCCTTGGGGAACCCAGATCAGCCTCCCCCCGTCCCGGGAGGGGTGAAGCCTGAGGCGCGAGAACCACCTCTGAAAATTTCTCATGTGGAGCAGGCCTAGCCGCACCACAGCATGAGCCGCTGCCATCATTCCCAGCAGGGACCTGAGGCGCCGAGCGGGGACTCTGGGGCCCGCCAGAACCTCCCGGGCCAGACGGGTAATATTCATCCGTCTGTCCACGGACAATGCAGCACGGAATATCACAGAGTCTAGCTGCAGACCGAGATAAACCATGCGTTGGGCTGGCTGCAGCTTGCTCTTCTCCCTGTTCACCACAAAGCCCAGACGCTGTATGTGGGACAGGACCCAGTGCGTGTGGCTCAGGGCCACTTCCCTGGATGGGGCCAGTATTAACCAATCGTCTATATAGGTTAATATTCTTACCCCCGCACGTCTGATCGGCTCCAGAGCTGCTTCCACACATTTGGAAAAAGTCCGAGGCGCGAGTGCGTACCCGAAGGGTAGACGGCAGTACTCGTAATTCCTCTCTCCACTGCGAAGCGCAGAAACCTCCTGTGTTCTGGCACTATGGGCACGTGGAAGTACGCATCTGTCAGGTCTATGGTAGTCATCCAATCTCCCTGCCTGACACACTCGAGGAGCTGCCTTGTGGACAGCATCCGAAACTGCCGTTTGGAAATGCACTCGTTTAACACGCGCAGATCCAGAATGGGACGCACCCCGCCTGATTTCTTTGGCACTAAGAAGTAAGGGGAGTACAGCCCCCTGATGGCGTCCTGCGGGTCTACCTCCACTGCTGCGCCTCGACTCAGCAGAGAGGAGACCTCCGCTTGTAGTGCCTCTGTCGATCCCCGTACCTGAGAGCGTACTGCCCGTACGCCTCGGAATGGTGGTGGCTTTCGGAAAAATTGCAGCGCGTAACCTCTGCGCAGAGTTTTCTCCAGCCAAATATCTGTCAGTAGGCCCTGCTCCTTCCAGATGCTGTAGAAATCTGTGAGGGGCGGAACGGGAGTTGGAACACGAGACGTCACGGCCCCGCCCTCTCCTGGTGTTCCTAGCAGGGAGGGGGGGTGGCTGAAAGGGCCGGGGGGGCCCCTGCGTCACACCGTGAGCGCCGAGGGCGGTCACGTGTTCTGCAGGCCCGACGTCATAAGTACGGGACTGCTCACCACACGTGACTCCGCTGCTGTGCCCCCCCCTGGCTCTTGCCTCATGGAGGGGGGGGCGAGCCCCTGGAGTGGGAAACCCCGTGTTAGCCTTGTAGCTCTGCTCACCACACGTGACACGGCTGCTGTGCCCCCCCTTGGCTCTTGCCTCATGGAGGGGGGGACGAGCCCCTGGAGTGGGAAACCCCGTGTTAGCCTTGTAGCTCAGAGATGCTAACACGCGTTCGGCTGGAGCACACACATTATCACTTACCAGATCCCTCCGCCTGCCCTCTCTCCGGGAGGGCAAAACATGAACCCGTGAATCGGAGCCCGTGGCCCGCATAGCACGCTGCACGCCCTTCTCTGGGGGCTGCAGGCCTAGCGGAGCCACGTTATATGCTCGAGAAGTAACACAATCAGAATTCAAATCATTTGACATGTTACATACCCCCAAATGAGACTCAGACAGCGAGTACTGATGAAATGCCGCACGGCTTTTATTGAAAGAATTCTTCCCACCCCGACCTCCTCTGCCATAGGGAGGTCGTCGGTGGGTGCGTTGGTCCCGCGAGCCTCCCGTGTGCCTGTCTGGGCCCGGGGGCCTCGTCGCTGGGGACCGATGAACCACGGAGCGTGGATATGGTCCGGGGCGCCTGCCGGGCGAGCGCTCCCTGCCTCTGTCTCGGCTCCGCGCTGGTGGGCGGGCCTCGCGTCTCGCAGCTAGATGCTGGGCTAGGCTAGCAGAGTCCTTAGCTGCGGTGTCCAGCCTAGTTATCAGCGTCTGCATCTCCGGACCGAAGAGTGACGTTTGGGAGATGGGCAGGTCCAGCAGCTGCCTCTTCTCCGCCTCTCTGAGGTTCACCGGCCCCAGCCAGAGGTGTCTGGCCCCAACTTGTGCTGCTGCCATCGTGCGGCCGCCATTGACAGCTAGCGCCTGGCACATGCGCAGGATCGCTGCTGAAGTGGTCCTTGCCTGGGATAAGGTGTCTCCACTGAGCGCCTGGCCAGAAGAGAGAGACCTATCCAGGGCCCCGGTGATGAAGGCCATGTTGTTAGCCACAGCGACGACCTGAGCCGCATTGGCGTAACATCTATCGTGCATCGCCAAAGACATCCTATCCCGCTCGGAGGGAAGGAGAGGTCTGGTGCCAGGCCACACGGATGCGGAGGGGTGCAGGGCCGCTCGAACCGAGTCCTCGATGTCCGGGACCCCGCCGGTCCAGGACCAGTCCTGCACGTTACAGTACATGCCGTACCCCAAAGCGGGCCTCTTGGCCGCTAGGGGCTTTGGCCACTCACGTGTCGCGTAATGGACGATCGGGTCCATACGCGGGCACAACGTGGGCTGCGCTCTCCTCCTCCCTCGAGTGGTGGCGTAACCAGAGGTGAAGTCCTCCACCCTCTGGTTCGGTTGCGGTGGCAGGGGGGCATCCATGATGGCCGCCGCCGTGGAGTAGAGCCCAGGCATGTGGTCCAGCGGGAAGCGGTCCGGCTCCGGGTTGGACACCACCTCGTCCAGCGTGAGGAGAGAGCCGACCTCCGACACCTCTCCGTCCTCGCAGTCACCCCACTCCGCGGGCACGGGTGGAAGGTCGAGGGGGGCCCAGTCAATCACAGACTCCTCGTCCTGAGAGGAGTCCGGACGGGGCGCTGTAGCGGCGAAGAACGCGCGCCTGCGTTCACTCTCCTCCCTGGGGAGAGCGAGACACGAGGCGCAGGTGGCGCTCAACGCCGCATGGCCCGAACCCAGGCACACGAAGCAGCTGGAGTGCTGGTCCTTGCGCTGGAGCTTGACCCGACAAGTCGAGCAACGACGACGTCCGACGCCGGATGGCGAAGGGGAACTCGGACGAGCATCAGAAGACATCTTTCCTCAGGTAAATTGAAATGTAGATCTCAATCGGCGCCAGAGTGAAAGAGGGGGTGCGGCCTTGTGCAGGGGCATTTATAGAGGAAGGTGGCTGGTGATTGGAGCAAATTATTTTGATCTCTGGCGCGTGACCTGGGGGGTCACGAGTGATATCCCACTAGCGAAGTCCTAAGGGACGTAGCACCATGACGTAGAATGTGAGATTTTGGAGATTTTCGCCATGTTACAGTGTTGTCTGCTCAACAGTCACAGGCCTGGAGTTGTTTTTAGATCCATCCACAAACACACAATTCATTCCCATTTCTCCAAGCAGGAAGTTTTCGACATGGCATGACAGTGTTTGTAATGTTGTATGACTACGACATCACACTCTGCCTCTCTGCACATAAATTAAGTTTGGAAATGTCACACTTGCAAAGGAACAAAACAAATTCCACTTCCATTTCTGGTGGTAGAGCAGGACAATACACAAACACATTAAGTAATAAGTAAATCGTCTTGTTGTTTTTCATGGCAAAAAATGATTCCTGGTATTATCACTTTCAAAAAAATGTCAACTCCAGGACTTAATTCACTTTAAAAATGCTCCAATAATGTTCAGGCCAAACTTTCTGCACCTAAGTATTCCATGATAGAGATGTACTTTTGTGTGAGGCCTTGGAGGGACTTAAATCAAGCTGTTGTAAAGTCTGTTCTCTGAGCCACAGGAGCCAGTGCAGAGACCTGAGGACTGGACTAATGTGATCGTACTGTGGTTCAAGTCAGGACTGCTCGTGTCTGACAGTTTATGTGAAAAGTCCAGTGTACAGGTGTTACAGGAATCCAAGCTACAGAGATAAATGCTAGGAAGAATGTCCAAGTCTGCGGTAGACACTATATTATTCATTGTGGCTTTGTTTTTAAAGGAGATAGAACCAGAGTTAGGCTGCGGTCACATGCGCACCCTAAAGCCCGGTTAAAGTGTGCCTGAGCCCACTTCACTACTTGATTTGGGCTTTAGGTGCCATGTGACCGCAGCAACTGGGCTTGGGCACGGTTGAGATAGGTAGGCCAGAGCACGCTTCTAAAGCCCAGATGAGGGGGTCAGTGTGGCGGGTGGTGGGGACTTGATATTGTGCGTCAGATTACGTCTTCCGTTGTGACACGCATTTTCACACACGTCTCTCCCTGATCTTTTGTATTCTCCGCTAGTATTAAAACCTTTCATATAAACCTTTCATATAAGCCCCCGGACCGTGGTCCCATGGCCGCGGTGCACACGTGCGCACACACATGTTACCCCCTGAACTGCTGCCCTTTGCATCAGAGCAATGTGAACAAGTGTGAGATTTGTCTTTCCCCAAACAACGCGATCCAGACTCGAGCTGTTAACGCTACAGTGGCAGAATGTAAACAGGAAAAGAAACGGAAACTTAACTCGGACAACGAGGTTGTCACTGAAGTTAGTATTAGCGCCACCAGCTGGGCCGAGCATTGTACTACAGCACAGTTGCTCTGGCACTTTTGCGAAAACACGTTCTTGTGACCACGGGCTGTTTTCACACCCCTGTGGCGACGATCCGGGCGACTTGGCCTAGTTCGTTTGTAAAAACCTATGTGACCATGCCCTTATATAAGCTGTTCGTACCAGACAAAGGAGATGGCTTTGAGCCGGAGGTGCTCCAGGACCTCATGGTGAAAAGGCTGAAGTGTCCTGGTGACCCCAAAGTGTTCCCCTGTAGAGGCGAAGACGGAGGACAGCAGAGAGACGGTCTCTGAAGAACAAACATCACAACCACTGACTCAAGAGAAACAGCGTTACACACTGATAATTTGATAGCGGTAACTATGGTAACTGTCATATTTGTAGTCCTAGTTAGAGCTTATTTCAAGTCAATATGAAACTAAAATGTCACAAAGTTCCACATTTTCTTTGTCAGAACGTCAACTATGGTCTGTTTATTTAAAGATAAAGGTGTCGAGAAGTGAAGTGAAGGCAATATTAAAAAACATATTTACATCAAAAATAAGACTTTCACTCATGGGAATAATATGATAAATATCTGCTAAAAAAGTTGTATTGGCCCCTGCTCCCGACTGTAGTGTAAAACACGAGCATGACCATTTACCGGCCTTTTAAAAAACTCTCCAAAAACTGAACGTGTGAAGAATGTTGAATCTCCAAAAACTAAATTATGTATAAACATTTGCAAAGTTGTTCCCACTCTGGATTCACTTCATCTCTTCTTTCCTCAGGCTTGGAGTTGTGGGTCGTACTCGTGGGCTGTGATCCTGCTCATCATGGACCTTCTGTGTTTGTTATTATTGCATTTCCTGTGGTTGAAATGTTTGATTCTCGGATCTGTTGTTGATGAATCGAAGATAACTGCTGTTGTGATTTAGAGCTACATAAAAACAAGTTGAATTAAACATTGAATTTATCTTAAGTGTCCTGCCTTTTCATGATTTCATATTTTTGACACAACAAGCATATTCTTATCAGTACACATACACCACATACATTATTCTATACTTCCACCGTGAAAAAAGAAAAATCAACTAATAATAACATCAATGTTGCTTATTTGCTTTATAATGGCTTTTTTGTTGTTCCTTGAATGTAGTTTTGCCAGGTAATATTATTTTACTAGTTTTAAGATAATAATACTTCAAAATCTTATTAGAGAAAAAAGTCTGAACAGTGAGTTTTTAAGATAAGATAAGCTTTATTTATTTATTTTATTTACAAATTCACACTTGGCATGGGTAGAAACACTCAAGATTGTGTAAAAAGAAAGAAATGTGCAAACATGTTAAATGCAGGATATATTATGTACAATAAGAAAGTGTCAATTTAAAAGTGGCGAAGAAAGAAGTGTCAATAGTAGTGCAGGTTTCTTTTCAGTCATAGTGCAGTGACTTTAAGTGACTCATTGTACAGTCTAATAGCGGTCCTTCTTACACTGAGGGTGCATCAGACTTCCACTGAAGGAGCTCCTCAGCTCCTCTACAGTCCTGTGCAGTGAGAGGTGTTGTTCATGATGGAGGTGGCTTTGACTAGCACCCTCCTGTCCCTCAACTCCTCCACATAGTCCAGGGGCCTCCTGTCCCTCACCTCCTCCAAGGAGTCCAGGGGGCAGCCCAGAGTGAAGCTGGTCCTCCTGACAGTCCTGCTCTGTGCTGTCCAGGGCCCAGCACACAGCAGCGTAGTATATGGCTGAGGCTACCACAGAGTCATAAAAAGTCCTGAGCAGAGGCCTGCTCACTCCGAAGGACCTCAGCCTCCTCAGAAGGAAGAGGCAACTTTGGCCCTTCTTGCACAGGGTGTTGGTGTTATGGGACCAGTCCAGTTTGTTGTTAATGTGAACTCCGAGGTACTTGAAGCTGTCCACCAGCTCAATGTCCTCCCCCTGGATGTTCAGCAGCGTGTGGGAAAGTGGTTTTCTCCTGAAGTCGATAACCATCTCCTTGGTCTTACTTAGTCTTACTGGTGTTCAAGCACAAGTGGTTGCGCTCACACCAGTCGACAAAGTCCTTGATAACCGACCGATATTCCAGTTGATTCCCCTCAGACACACAGCCCACGATGGCGGAGTCGTCAGAGAACTTCTGCAGGTGACAGCTGTGTGTGTCGTGTGTGAAGTCTGAGGTGTAGATAGAAAAGAGAAACGGTGAGAGGACAGTGCCCTGAGGGGCCCCAGTACTGCAGACTACCACCTTAGACTCACAGCTGTGCAGCCGCACGTACTGTGGTCGGTCTGAGAGGTAGTTGATGGTCCATGCAGTGAGGCTACTGTCCACTCCCGCGTCCTCCATCTTGCCCCGCAGCAGTGCCAAAAAACATGACCCTCACAGCGCTCCCGGCGGGCTCCAGGTGAGAGAGTGTCCGTTGCAGGAAGTAGATGACGGCGTCCTCTACTCCTATGTTGGGCCTGTAGGCGAACTTCAGCGGGTCCAGGGTGGGGCTGACCACGGAGCGGAGATGGGTGAGGATGAGCCGCTCCATGGTCTTCATCAGGTGGGAGGTCAGTGCGACTGGTCTGTAGTGAGCCGGTTCCTTGGCGTGCGCTATTTTAGGAACCTGGATCTCACAGGAGGTCTTCCACAGGACAGGGACCTTCTCCAGGCTGAGGCTCAGGTTGTATGTAGCTGAGTGAAGAAAGAGACTCCTCTATGTCAATTTATATTTTAATGACAGAGATGAGGAAGCCCTGCAATAAACAAACATAGTAGCATAAGCTAACACTATCGCTTATAAATACATGTACAGAATGCAGTGGCTTGAAACAAATAAAAATGTAGAAAATATAACTTACATACAAAACAAGAACAGCTCGCTAGGGTTAGCATTAGGAGGGTAAAACTTTCAATCCTGCGGACACTCGACTAACGGCCTCTGTTTGGGGAGTCGGGGGTTTGAAGATGATGCGGAGTCTGCTTTGATGGCCTCTATTTGTGAAGATGCTAAGGAGCTTGGCGCCGTCTCGTGGCCCCTCCTCGCGGAAGAGACTGCTGCTGACGCATGCTTTGCCCACCTCCTGCGCCTCATTGAACATGGAGGCGTGATTGATAAGAATGACCCGGTGCTGAAAAGTCTGTCACCGGCATGTGAGTCCTTTTACGCACAAGATGGTGTTCTGTTGTATTATGATCGCGTCGTGGTCCCCCCATCCCTTCGCGATAATGTGCTTCGACACCTCCATGCCGCCCACCAAGGTACTTCAGCGATGGAGCAGCGTGCACGCGCCATAGTATATTGGCCGGGCATGACGAAGGATATTCGGGCCACCAGGAATGGGTGTGCGGACTGTAATCGGAATGCCCCTTCGCAAGCTGCCACACCACCCCTGTGGTCCCCTCCTCCGTCCACACCTTTTGAGGCGGTTTTCGCTGATTTTTTTGATTATGGTGGCGGTAAAGACGGCCAAGCGCCTCCTGGCATCTAACACTGGCCCGACTGGCAGCCTTGACCACGACCGCTTTCTACGTGCCATGTTGCAGCTGCGCAACACTCCGGACTCGGACTGCGATATCTCACCGGCACAGATCATCTTCGGCCGCCCCCTTCGAGATTCGCTCTTGTTCGTGAACAGACTGGAGAAGTACTCTAACCCAAATATCCGGCCACTCTGGCGCCAGGCGTGGGTGGCAAGGGAGGATGCCCTCCGTGCTAGGATGTCCCGAACTACTGAGTCCCTCCGGGCCCACTCAAGGCCGCTCCGCCCACTAGCGCTTGGTGAGACAGTTTTCCTCCAGAATCAGCAGGGTTCGAGCCCCAACAAGTGGGACAAGTCTGGTGTTGTTGTGGAGTCGTTGGGGTGCGATCAGTATCGCGTCAAGGTCGATGGGTCTGGTCGCCTGACTCTGCGCAACCGATGGTTCCTTCGCGCCTTCACCCCGGCTACCCCTTGCTCCCGGTTGGAGACTGCTGTGCACTCGCCGCCACCCGTGGTTTTGGATCAGTGGCCCCGCCCGATCCTCCCGGACCCTGCGGTCTCACAGGCGGTCGCTCCAGAGGTGGCTGGACCTTGTGTCTCTGTTCCGGATGCTTCGCCAGTGGATGATGGCCCCGATCCTGCGGTTGTTGCCCCCGCTATGTTGCCCCCCATGTCGCCGTCCCACGTGTTGCTGCCCTCGCCTCCAGGCCGCCCCCGTAGGCCTCCCAAGCGTTATGAGCCTGAGTCAGGCCGTTGGATACAAGATTGAGTCAGTTTATCTATTATATTTTAATAGCTTTACGGACTGGGGGGGATGAAGAGTTTACCACTAGAGGCCGCTAGCGGTTTCTAGTGGTAAACTCTTCACTGAGGACCCCAGAGAGCTGGTCTGCACAGGTCCTCAGCAGCCTGGGTATGATCCCGTCCGGTCCTGCGGATTTCGTTTGGGGGCAGGAGGGCCCGGGGCAGCCGAAGGCAGTGTCCACTGGGCTTGTTTTAAGTATTTTTTATTATTTCCTGACAACTTTTCTTGTGGTTTAGATAAAATAATGTAATTAAATTTATGCCAAATTTTAAGAAAAAGAATCTCAAAAATGTTTAATAAATAAGTAAATAATACTTGAAATGTATGGTTTTTTTTAAAAACTAGAAATAAGTCATTTGGGGCTAGTATTATTTTCAGAAATCTTGTCAAGTCATATTATCTTGTTCGATTGGTAGATATTTTGTTCTTATTTTAAGTAGTATTGTACTTATTTTCATATATTTTTTTCTTGTATTTTTCAGGGATTTTTCCAGTGTGATATCCCCGTGCAGAGTGAGTGCTCTTACCCTCCTCCACAGGACACACCATCCCGTCAAACTGCTGAGCTCCTTTCAGCATGAGTCCGCTCCAGCTGAAGCACAGTTTGTGTTGTTTGAACGGACGGCTGAAGATCGGCTTTGGCTCCAGGTACGCCTCGTCCTGCACCACCACACCCCCCTCATCATCTTCATCCGCCCCCATCGCCGTGAGGGACACCCGCAGGAGGCAGCTGCGCACCCACTGGGAGAGCCGCACTGTCCCGTCCGGCCGGTACACCAGCCAGTCGGGGAGGCCCAGGGTCAGGGTGCGAGTTCTGCCGGGGCCTTGGACGCAGCTCCAGCTTGTGAGGTCGAGGGTCAGATCTGAGCCTGACTCAAAGGACACAAGGGTGCGGAGGTGGACCCGGCCTGGACCGTCGCAGGAGTACTGGACCTTCAGGCGGTGGTCTGGGACTGCTTCTTCTGGGGGGTTCAGGAGAGACACTCTGTTCTCAGCGTACAGCACCTGCATAAAACATTCAAGTTAATGATGAGTGAAAAGAAAATCATGTTTTCAAAATAAAAGATAATTTCATCCTTAAAAATGGCATAGATTTAAACAACATATAGAGACAGAAATAGATTGAATGGCACGGTGGATGTGTGGATAAAACTCTCGCTTCTCAGCAAGAAGGTCCTGGGTTTGAATCCTGGTCGGGACGGAGTTTGCATGTTCTCCCCGTGTCTACGTATATTATTATTATTACGTAGGTTTCCTCCAGGTGCTCTGGTTTTCCCTACTACTAAAAACATGCACAAAAAGTCTGGCATTTGACCCCGCTCCCATCTCTGTGTGGAGTGAGAGACAAATGCCCACAATAATTGTAAAGTACTTTGTGACTCTGGTCTGTGTACTGGGTAAAGCTCTGACTGCCACTCCCCCGACCCAGAAATGGATTAAGGGGAAGAAAATGGATGGACGGATGGATTTTACAGACCAAGGTCACCCAAAGCGCTCAATGTTCAGAGTTCAGATATTGTTCCAATCATTCCACACACGGTCATGACGGAAGCGAGTCACCAAACATACTGGCTAATCAGCTCCCAACCAACACCATCCATTCACTCTCTCATTTACATTCATACCTATTGTGCATGTTTTTAGTGGTAGGGGAAACCGGAGCACCTGGAGGAAACCGACGCAGACACGGGGAGAACATGCAAACTCCACTCAGATAGGCCCTGTTCCGACTGGGATTCAAACCCAGGACCTTCTTGCTGAGAAGCGAGAGTGCTATCGACTCAGCCACCGTGCCACCCACAAGTATTAATACAGTTGAAACTCGGAAAATTTAAATTCTGTTCAAAAGTTCATTTCAACTTCTGTATTTCAACAAAATTAAACAAGTTTTGCCTGAAGTAGCAGACTCACAATTTTTTTTACACTTTTGGAATTATTATTGGTGTAAAGTTTTGTTTGGCCAAATGCAAAAGGGCCGACTACTAAGAATGTAATGAATGATATTGTGGCTTAAACCGTGCTTACCTGAACCGAGAGGACGAGCTGACACAGCAAACAGCAGAGTGAAGCCGCCTCCATACTGCAGCCGAGCCCGAGCTGGGATGACCCGCGCCGGCCCATCTCCTGGACTGCATCCTGCTCCACCTCTGAGCCTCTGAGCCAGTGTCAACAACAGAGAGGAGGGTGGGGCTCTGGCACCTGGGACACACGGCAGGCTCCGAACAAGCTGCTCCGAGATCTGCAGCCAGGTGTGGATCAGACACTAAATAGATTGAGATTTTTTATTTTTTTTTAAGAATTTTTGTACGACATTTTGTGTCATTTTCATTAGCTCACACTTTTTGTCCCCATAATATATACAGCATAACGAGACACATTTTATTATATTTTTTCCTTTTTTTTTCACCCACTATCCTCCCCTTGTGTCAAAAAAGTAAAATAAAACAAAGCAAAAATAAATAAAAACAATCGCAACACTAGCAAAAAATTACTTTTTTATGTGCAACCCAGCCCTGACATTTTTTTTTTAGAAATGCTGTAGGCTGCCTTCCCATGAGGCACTACACACTTACTATATTATTTTTACTGTTTATTTCAAACGTTTAAAACATTTTATACAAAGGAATAAGATACAAAATAAACAGAAAGACGCCGTTTGAAAAGGGGTTGGAGAAAGTTAACGATAATTTGGCTCTGACCCAACAAGCAAACAACACACACACACACACACAAACAACACACACACACACAGAGTTTTTAAGATAGTTCTACATTTAAGCACAAGCACTTTTTTGTTTCCTGATGAGCCCTTGTTGTGAAGTAAGATGTTGTGGAGTAATGTAATACATGTTTTGGAAAGTGTAGCGTGTGTGTTAATTTGTATCACAACATATGATACTGTGTTGTGTTACTGTTATACTGTATACGGTTTGGAACAAACGCTTTTGTTCCAAACCGTCTGTCTGTTTGTTGAAGTGGGGTTGTCTTTTTTTTTTTTTGTTCTGTAAAATAAAGTTTTGAAATAAATATCTTGAGTGATTGCTTAGTTGTAAAGTTCCACATAGAGCAGAGACAGAATAAAAACGTTTATAATCATCATAATTAAAAATACAGTTTTTTTTTGTAATCAAAATATACTGACAATACCTTTTCTTTATCAATAAAAAACCCGCCAGAATATATATTTCAGTATTTGATCACGCAATTTCAATAGGATCTTACAAAAAACTATTGCTAACAGCACTTTATGTACTGTATGATCTGTTTAATGTCCTTTTATAATTCACGTTTTTATGTGTGTTTATCATATCATTTTTACACTATAAGAGTATGCCAATAGACGTAAAAGTATTCCAAGTAATCAGAATTCAGTATTGAACCAAAAAGTCTGAGGCTCATAAGACTGAAAAAAGCCTTTCACTGATCAATACTTTTATTAAGATGCATTAAACGTTGCATGATTGTCTTTAGGAGAAATTGTAACAAGCTAAATGTGTTGTTCTTATCGTTATCACCTTTACCTTCACCTTCTGACCTCCATTATTCATTGAGCGATGGTCCGGAGCCGTAAGTTGGAAAGCCTCTGGGTCGGACTCGGGATTCTCCTGCAGCGTTTTATCAAGTGACTGAAGACGTAACACTGTTCTATTCTGTGGAAAGGGCTCAGCATGTGCAGAGCCAATGAAAAATGCATACTAAAGCACTTTTGAGTGTCTATACGGTCCATAAGAACCTAAGGCATTATTAAATAAGACCAAAAATATATGAACTCTGCCCTACCCTTCATGTGATGTCACATGAGCACGACCTGGATGAGAACAGGTCGTGCACAAGCAATTTTCATTTCAATCACTGACCATTGGGTAATGCTTTGTTCACAGTCACATGACCTAAATATAAAAAACCCTTTAAAAATATATACAAAAATAAGTAAAATACTGCTTTAAATAAGGAAAAATAACTGAAAAAAAGAAAATACTACCCCCAAATTACTTGATTCTAGTATAAGTATGGCTTATTTCTTGAACATTGAGAAATGTTTTCTTTAAAAATTGTATAACATACTCATTTTAACTAAACCACAAGAAAAGTAAAAAAAAACTGTTCAGACTTTTTTCTATAAATATTTTCTATGAAGTATTATCTAAACTAGTAAAATAACCTTACATGACAAACTAAATTCAAGCAAAAAATGTATAATTTGTTTTTATTTTTAGTAAACAAATCCTTACCAAGATTTTCCTTTTTTCATTACAGAGTACAGTGCCCATGCTCCTGCAATGTTTTTGATATCCCTCCATAAAACCACCTTGGCAGTCGAAACGGGTTAAGGTCTTGATAAAACTTCACTAATTGACATGAGTGCCTCAAACCTTCCTGTCTGTTTTCACTAATACATGCCCACGAGGAACTTTGAGAGATACTTTCTCAAGAGTTTAAGGCTTAGAAGGTTCTTTTTATAAGACTGAGTGTAAAGAAGCTATGCTTTATGACCCAACATGTTTTGTCTGAAGACAGCAGTCTGTGGATGGTCTGTACCAAACTCTAACACGTCTCCACTGACATAATCTACCTCCAGGTGATTTAAAATACTAGCATAACTTTTGTCCTTTTGTTTTGTTTATTTGGTTGGGACAGAGCATGTCAATAAACAAACCTCTCTGGAATTTAACCTTGAGCTTTTGAATCAATCCTATTAATAAACCTTATAGGCCTTAACATGAAGACATAATGAACTTTTTTACATTTAATTTACTTCTGAATCTAGAAAACTAATGTAATCATTATTTGCAGGTTGAGATCTATTTAAAAACAAATTTACATTATGCAATAGTCTGTGGGAAAACAGAATCATTCTTTGAGGTACAATTAAAAACACTGGTCACTGCTGATCCCGATGAGCCACTGTAGCACTCATCTCTCTTGGACTGTAATTAAATAGTTTAGAAATGATGGCAGAGAATCACACACTGGGTAGATTAAAATTGTTTATTGCTTTCATGCAGGAGCGCCATATGTCTCGGCCATCACAGGAGATGCAAAAGTACAAATATACCGTCTGTAATAATCAATCATTAAGAAGACTTTGTTTAAAAGAGGAGCAGGAAACACGTGTGCGCTCGAGACTGGACAGGTCTTCTCCGAGTGTTGTTTTTGCATGTGGGTTTAACATTACAGCAGATGACATGCGTCTACAACAGCATTCTCCAGACGCACACAAAGTCAGAACCGTGCAACTAATGAACAAACGACTTAGTAAAACGGTAGATTTGCAATCCGTAACAGTTAACATTTGGTTTGCCAAAGCATGAGGACATTACCGCAGAAAGGAGAAACAGCACAATCTTAAAACTCACAACTGAGAAAAGCTAGAGGGAACTTTGAAGGAAAAGAAAAGTTTCAAGTTCATCCAAGGTTTCAGTAGTACCCCTGGCATTAAAGCAGTAAAATAAAGCAATTGCCAATTTCTACAGACATTATTAAACAAGCCCTTGTCAGTACACATACGTGACTCTTCTAAATGCTGTGTCTAAATCCCAGTACTTCCCAGGTCATAAAAGTTCTATGAAGCTTGGTATGGAGGTCAAAATGTAGGCCGAGAAATCTTACACGGCCTGATAAATAGAAAGGGGAAAAGAGCCTGCACACAAAACATTTGACACTTCTATCGTTGCATATTTTTCCGTGTTCACCCAGAGACAAAACATTCGTAAACGGAGCACCTGGACGAAACTATAGTGCTCAAAAGCCACCGAGGCCGGGGAGGGGGTGGGTTCAAGGCTACACTGAGCCGCTGCGAGGAAGGACCTTTGGCACATGAAGTCAAGGTAAAATATCTACTATCACTTTTGCAAAGTCCCGTATCCAGAGCCCTTTCCAGTGAAAAATCACTGGTTTGCAATAAAATGTGTATAAAAACAAATGAAGCATAGACAAAACTACAGTAATATTGTGCGGTTAGTTTGTACAGGGAGATAAAGTTGGAGAAGGAATATTGTTAGACCCTGTAATAACGCTGTACATCTCAAACGCGCTCCTTTAGGCAGTCGTCGAGAGAGGACAGCTGAGAGAATACTTGAAACTGAATTTCAGGATATTTTGTGTGTTTTTTCATGACTTTCTATCAATTTAAAGACGATAATGGACATAATAAAAGAGTGCGTTCAGTTTGTATAGTACCGAATGTAACATCTATTGTAATCGAAGCAAACAGGCATTCAAAGTTCGGGCAAACAAAAGTTGAAAACATGCTAAGTGGTAAAGTTTGAAACACAAAAAAACCCCGCAGAGACACACCAGTGAGAGTGCCGCTGTTTTCCCACTCCTTAAATAATACTTTACAGTCCAATATACAGACTACCAAAGCCCATGGTCTACAGACACCACTCCCGCAGTCCGCCTGGTAGGAAGGAACCAAGGCGTCACCGGACCCAAATGACAAAACAAATACAAAGTTCATTGAGCACTGTCGGTCTTTTTTGCACTAAGCCCCGCTCCCGCAGACCCAGTGTCAGTGTCGGACCTTTCCACAAAAATCTTAAAATCGCAGGTTGGTCAGCTATTGCGTCGTGGTTATAGATAGTGCGTGCATATGTTAAATTATGTAAATATATCCCCAAAAGAGTATAGCGCATTATTAACGGCCATATTAACGGCCATATTAACGCATTCAATAATAAAAGTGAAAAACATTTACATCTTCTTAGTACAGACGGTGCTAGTTTTTATTTTGTGAATGTTGTAAGAAAAAACAAAGGAGCCAAAACCAGCTGAATTTAATCTATCAAACGGGCAAACTAAATAACCAAACTCATTCTGCTCTATGATTGGATAATAGTATCGTAAAACATAAATATTATCATTTTTTTCACTTTAACCTTGTGTTCAGAAAAGGCCAAATATGGTTTGTATGTGACCTATTATCTGGAGGCATACACACAAGATATAAAATTAATAACAAAATGACATGCAACATGTTTTAGTTCCGTTACGCTAGAGCCCTCCAGTGTCTTGTGGGCAGAATTGATTGAGTTAATTTTGGTTTTTTGAGATAAATCTTCCCAACAAACTAGCCGGCCTTCCAAATACAGAGTTCTCTTGGGGATATAGTCACACCGATCAAAGTAGATCTCTATACACCAGTTTCTGCTCACACACACATTTTGAGAGATTAGATTTATTTGTGAAAAAGTCCGATCCCGTGACGCGACACTGGGACATGCTAAAAGCTCCGGGGGCGTGGCAAAGCTCTACTTCTTCTGCTTCTTGAAGATTTTGAAGGTGTGTTTCTTGCGACTGGCGGTAGAATCCGTGTCGTCTCCCGTAGAGCAGCTGTCCTCCTCCACGGGGCTCTTCTTGGACGATAGCTGGGGGATGCGGGTGACGCTCTTGGGCACCATCGAGCCCGCTTGCCCCATGGGGGACGGGGTGTCGGGTTCGGTGGAGTTAGGGCTGAGGGAGCGGGACGATTCGGACATGAACGTGTGGATGTCGGCGACGTTGCTGGAGCTCTCGTCTCCGTAGATCTTCTTCATGAGGATGGGACTGTCTGCCAGCGCCTCCGCTCCCATGTCCGTGATGCGGGCGCCTCCGTTGGGGGTGAGGCCGTGCAGAGAGACCGTGTCGTCGGCGTGGCGGGACAGGCCGTACAGCAGGGAGGTGGGCTTCATCATGTGGCCTTTGGAGCTGTAGGCCGCCAGCCGGTCTCCGACTTGGGACAGGGACAAGGAGGAGTCCGAGTCCGAGCGGTTCAGGTCCCTGTGCCCAGAAACACTGGTTATAGTTGTTTTTCTCGATGACATGAGAAACTTGTTAATGACCCAGCACAACACTGCATGAAAGAAGCCCGACAGACAGACAGTACTACAAGAGTGCATCTCCATCAGTGTTTCCCAACCAGGGGTATCTGGACAGATGGGGGTATGCAATGGTATTACGGGGGTACTTTACATTTTCAAAACATGCTAACTTTGATAGAGGTTAATGTAAAACTGCCATGTACTATACATGGCAGTTTTATATCATTTTAGCCAGAAAGCAGTTAATAATAATAATTACTACAGCAGTGTGCATCCGTATTTTTGACCCAGTTTTGGTTCAGTCCAAGCATTTCAGCTGTTCAAAAAAAATGATAATAAAATCACTCATTTGGTGAAATTACCTACATCCTGTAAACCAATAAAATAATACAATGTTTGGATACAAAACACGACTTGTAAACAAACTTTCTACAAAGAAAATAATGGAGACTTCGGTAAAAGTCTCCATTAACTTAAAAACGACCGAAATGAGCGAACACCAGTGGGGAACGCAAAAGATTTGTTGCCCATCCTAACGACAGGGGTACTCGCACCTGCTCTACGCTGGTGACAGGCACAGGGTAAAAAGGTTTGGAACCACTGATCGAGATTAAAACTAATTCTTTTTTTCTGCAATCTCATATCAATTACACGTTTTTAGTCTGACGATCAATCAGTCGACACACAAAGGGGGCAATAGGTTAAGCCATGTTTGTGACATAAAAAAGCTCTTTGTATAAACAGGATGGATAAACTAAATCTTCTACCGTCACCATCTCCTGAATCCACATGAATAAAAATAAATCAATTCTGATTCATAGACTAAACATTGACAGACTTTACGAGTGGCGTCCCTTCAGTGAGACTGCATCACAACACGCTCCAAACTGTTAGTTTAGCAGTTAGTGCAACTCTCACGTGACGCACAGCAAAAAGCAGCGTTTGCGGCACAATAAACTAATTTTACAATCAAAATCATAATACTTTTTATGATATAGTTCTGATAAAGCTCAACATTTTTGCTAAAATGCTAAATGCTTTTCCCATTTCTGTCATTTTATTTACTATCAATGGTAAAATTAGTATTTCATTTTGATACTAGTGTATGTATGATTTACTTTTGACAACACTAATAAATATGCAGGAAATAGCCACATTTAGCACACAACTATAATTTCAATCATTTAAATGTTTAGATCCAAAAGATCAATGAACATGTTTTTTTTATACATTGGACCAAAACAGAGCTCAAGTGACACCTCTTGGGAACATCATCATATAAATGACTAGTTATTATAAAATTAGAGTTATAAAACCTCTTCTCAGAATGTTAAAAGGAGCATTATTTTTAACCAGGCTATTTACGTTTTTATTTCATGTTTTAGAATAATATCATCAGTAGAAAATATATGGATACAAAATATGGGTTATTAATTCCATTAATATATATCCCCATTGTACTTTTTCAAATTCCAAAAATTGTGTTTGTAAAGGCCGGAATTTCACTTTGGAAATGAATGGCCAAATGTATTGCTTTCAGAAAGGCAGGAAACTACTGAGACTTTGTAGACAATAGCATCACACGACTGATACAGGGGCTTACAGACAGAAGGGGTAAAACTCCTGATAATAGTGTGGATGGATCTATACACAACTCCAGATCTGTTTTTGTTTTTAACCTTATTACATGCTTAAAAGCTCAAAAGAGTTCATTTTGCATAATATGTTTAAATTCCAAATTATATTCCAAACAAGAGACGGGAGGGAGATTTTGCCTCATCCAGAAGAACATATTATAAGCGTTTCAATCTTTTTCTTTAATAGCTCATGAAACAGCAGCTGGTTTTGTTAGTGCGTCTCATGCACATTAAGCCGTGCACGGATGGATACCCCAGGCTGCCGCTGCACGCCGACAGCAGATTTGCCTCCGACACGGACACGTCGGGAATGGGCTCCAGTGGCTGAAAAGACGAGGAGTGGAAGACGGCGCTGGGCAGGCAGGAGGCCGAGCAGGACAGAGGGGACAGAGGGGACGAGGGGTGGCTGAAGCCCGAGAAGGGGATGGAGGGGTGAGACACGGCGGAGGACAGACAGGTGAAAGAGTCCAGCTGGCCAAAGGACTGACTGCGAGCCTGCCTCAGCACAGCCCTGGGCCTGGCGTACGTCCCCTCCCCTTGTGGCCCCTGAGAACCCTCTACAAACCTCTGGGAGCCCATGGCCAGCTGCGAGTCCATGTGGCGTTGGCGCAGGGACATCATACTGGGAGCTGTGGGCAGAGACAATGTTATTTGAAAACTTGTTGGTTGATGTGGTGTCGTGAGGCGAGGGAAGAAGAGGAGGAGAGGAGAGGAGAGGTGGTCAGGTGCTGGAGTCGTGTTGTGATTATTAGTTACATACAAAAAATAAATAACAATTTCCAGAAAAATGTTGCGGAGCACAAAGAAGTGCGCTGAAAAAGATTTCACACTGCAAAAACATTGGAAAGAAATATGTATATCTTGATTTCAGTATAATTGAACCGTCTTAACATTGGATTAGGATTGGCAAATGATCAAGCAGATTTAGTGTCATTTCAAGCATAGTAGCAATTTTCAAATTTTAAGACAAGTGGAATAGGGAAAATGCTTAATTTAAAGCTGGTGTACAGATTTTGTTTTTCTTACCATGAAAAAGTAAAATTTTGAGACTTATTAGAAGAGACCCGGGACTCACTATACGACTATATATGGACTGAGAGCTGATTGGTTGAGAGTGATCTTCTCTTTTTCACTTTTCTGCCTAAAAAGCTGATCCAAAGATGTGACAGTGATTTGAAAGTTGTGTACCCCAGCTTTAATTTCAGTAGATCAAAATCCAAAGCTTGAAATCAAGATCAAATCATAAACCACTCCTTTTTTGCAGTGCAGTCATAAAGGCTATGGAAATGAACAACAGCAAAGTGCTTTGAGTTACCAACACCTGTCTCCAGACTTTTCCCAAGTCACAAATGGAAGGAACACGAAACACGATGAAAGAAATCCTTTGTACAACACACAGACGACACGGACAGAGGTGCAGGAGAGCGGTGGGCCACTGAGGATGATATGAAATGAAACTACTATGAACACTGCTCTGTTCCTTGAGTCGTGTTCAGTTAGCTACAGCTGCTCTGAGAGGGGACATCTCAGGCAGAAGGCGGAGGGGAGAGAGGCGATGGCATGAAGAAATGTCCAACCGGAGTGTTTCCTTCGCAGGCGCGTGTCGGGGGCGATGGACCACAGCTCGCTGGCTCTCTGCTCCGGCCGTGCATCTGCAGTCAGGCCACACAATCATGAAGGGGCGAATGGAGACAGTCACAGCAAGGGAGGAGGCAGCGAGGCTCTTCTCACGATTAGTTTGGAACACAACTATATACGCTGTTCTAACGGTCTGTCCTAATATCTCTGCTTACAGTTGTGCTGGAAAGTGTACACGCCAGAGATGGCATCGTTTGGGAGATGAATGACGACACATCATTGTTAGTGGTTGTGTGAAGCCATTGGTCTATATATAAAAATCATATGCGAGTTTCTCTGGGAGAACTCAAATATGCAGTTCATGCAAGGTAGTCCAGGAATGTACCAGAACTGGAGGCTTTTTGCTAAGAAGAACAGGCAGCTTTACCATCAGAGAGATACAGAACTCCAAGAAACCAGAAAACATGTTTGTTTGACAATAGATTGCTTCACATGGCGACAAACGTGTTAAAAGATTAAATTGATTGCATTTTTTGGGGGAATATTTTGAAAGGATGTTTGTAATGTTTAAAATCAATGTTTATACCTTGGGTTGTGTAACGTTCCGTACACACCACATGTGTCTTTTGGAGCAGAATGCTTTGCCAAAAGACACGAGAGTACAGAGCCACTTGTATTTTGGGCTGACAAGTCGCACAAGATGCGACTTTCAGTCAAAATGATAATGGACTAGATCAGCACCACAAGCTGCGCCTGCGGTGTGTAGGGGACGTGAACTATCGAGCACAACTGTAAGTGCAATAATGTTGTTGGTTGACAAAATACAGTCAGTGGTTGTTTACAACCACTGTCTCTGCCACGAAGCCTTAGACCAATGACAGCCACTCAGTCACACCTATTCACAAAGTCGAGGCGCTTGCAGAGTCTTGCACAAGGTTGCCACAGTAAATATGGATTAGTGCTGAGGTTCAACCATCTAGTTCCAAAAACCTGGTTCTTTCAAAAGACATGTTATTAGTGGAAGACATGTTATAGCAGCTTCAGAACGACAGTTTAAACATGTCTAGCGGCTAAAACATGTCAACAAAGTAATTGGATGTACTATAGTCTTAAATTAGTATAGCTATTGTTCACTTATCTTGTTCTGTGTGCTTTTTCCTACTGTTCTATAACTTGTGATGCAACACTGAAATGTCCCTACTGTGGGACAAATAAAGGATCTCTTCATCTTAAAAAAGAGAAGAGAAGCACTTAATGTGATGACAAATCAATGATCTGAGCATTTATGAAAGAAAACGAGAGGCTAGTCTGTACCTGATGAAGTGCGTGTGGCTAATGGCTGTTTAAACTGTTTTAAATATAACTTTGATTTGGGTACCGTCGAGGAAATTCAATATTTCACGGTTGATTTAAGAGCTAATGTGCCCATTTGTCATGGTGCAGATGCGTTTGGAATATTTCTGCATAAGTGAAAAGACCTGGAAGAAGCACAGAAAGGAAAAGCAGACTCTACCCAGAGCTGGTTATAAGCCCATCTGCTCACCAAGCTGCCAAGCAATCTCCAGCTGTAACTTTGACTCTAGACTCTAGAGTAAGAGTGTCTTAATGTTAGGATTGAATGCCTTCTTGTTGCCATTTCACACTTCTGATTCTTGTGACCAAAGCTTCAAACTCCTGATTATGTAAAATGTAGAGTTGTAATTAATGATTATTTTTGAGAAATTAATTAGTTTCTTAAATCTATTGAATATGCATTTTTAATAAGAAATCTAAAGCGATGCCACTCAAGAACATCTCCATGGAGACCAAAATGTAACAGAACTGGTTGTTTGATCAGAAATACTAATAACAATTCCATGTCAATCTGTAGTCATTCTTGCTCTGACTGAAACATAAAACATTTTCTCGTCTTGTTTTGTCCAGATATGATTGAAAAACTGAGTAAATTAGTTTGAAACTCTTTCAATAGACATTTAGTCACTATTAATTTATCTTATTAACATGTTATTCCCCAATTGAAATGTTTGTAAAAGCACTACAAATGGCATCACACGCAGTTTGAATTAAGAAATATATATTTCTGTTTTGATTTGAAAAAAGGTGGTCACAGTATACTTTCCAATTTGTATTCCAATTCATGTAAACACTTGAAAACCAACAAAGATCATGACATGAACGTAAAGTAGGTGAAAACAGGACAGTTTACATATGGAACAAGGACAGATGTAAAACAAGACTCGTGGCAGATACAATCCTTGGCTCAGCCTGAGGACAATCTGGATGTGTAGAGTTTATGTGTGCTGGCTTTTGCTTTGCCCTGGATGGCCCTTGGAATGCCTAGAGCTCCGCTTACTGCCCCCAGACAGGCTCCCAGACTCAGATGACGTCTTACATGACAGAGTTCCAGGCATGATGTCCTCCTCCAGCTCGTCCATGTCGTCTGTCATGATGAAGTGCTGGGGGGTGGCTCTTCCACCCATGAAGCTGGGGTCCAGGTTGAGGACTGAGGCCAGAGTGGGCAGCCCGGGGTTGTTGACGATGGTGAAGCCGGTGAGGATCTCGATCTGCTGCCACCGGTGCAGTCTCTCCCTCAGGGCGGCCGTCACCTCGCCCAGAGCCTGCCTATGACAACACAAAAGATTTCTGTGAGCCGCGGGACAACTGAAACAAACACAGAGCTCTGGCCCTTCTTACAATGGTCTCTTCTTTTCATTTGATTACGGTAAAGTTATGTATAATATTAAGCTGTCCTGGGACAGACTGAAAGAAGCGAGGCAACCAGTACGTGCCATCAGCCCCTCTGACCACCACCAATCATTAACGCACACACCCATTGCTTAGACTCATTCTAAGCAATGTGAGTCGAGTCTCTTGTAACAAAGACAGTTGGGCACTTTACAGCCACAGCCGCCCCACCTTGGCACCTGGTGTTCCCAGAGGTCTCCCATCACAGGATCTGGGTTTCACATTAATAGATAGATTACTCTATCACTCATGTATCATTCTTTAAATTATATATACAATAGGTACTCTAGGTACCAAGGTCCAATCAGGGCTCGCAAAAGGTTGTGTTCAAAGTCAAAAACTCCATTTCAGGTGGGGGGTGGGGGGGATGTGCTTTGGTTTTTACAAATGTTTACTTAGCGTGAAAATGAGTTTTCATAGATATTTTGCACCAAAAATGCAAAAAATATATGCTACACACCATTGTGGCATATGCGGAAAACTACATCAATCTGACAAACAGCAACGAAGTTAAGCGTGTAACCAAAACACAGATGCTCCTTGAATAATAGATAGACGGGATGTTTTTCTTTTCTGTTAGTTACTACAACAACAACAAACTATAGTTGATATGTTCAAAAAATCTTCAAAACAATAACATTATTCCAAATGCCCAACCTCCTCAAATACATATAGAGCAGTGTCTTACTTTGCTGACAGAATCTTGTGGTCCACGTCATCGAGAGACGAGCTGTGAGCCACGTGGAAAGTTCCAAAGAGAGTGTTCCTCTTTTTCTTGATCTTCTCGGCCTGTCAATCAACACAGACACTCGGTATGAGCTAAACCTTCTAGCAGCCGGTGCTGTACAAAGTTCGAGCAGTGATGGAACAGAACATACCCCCTCTTTGGCCACTAGGAGCTGCCGTTCTGCGCTCTGCTTCTTGATATTGTAGTACTGCACTTCCACCTCATGTGTGAGCTGCAGCCACTTCTGAAGGGGCTCAGGGGGGGACCAGCCGCTCCGCGACTCCAGCTCCTTCTCAGCATTTTTCAGAGCCATGCGCACCTACGGGACATACCAGCCGTCAGAACACATCACACACAAAGTCTTCCCTTAGTGAGCTAAAAAACTTTTAGATGGAATAAAAAGTCATTCAAATGAGTCTATAATGTTTTAGGATATTTGGAATACCTTAGAGAAAGATTTGAAGCAGGGGTGTAAAACTCACATAAAACAAAACAAAATAGGTGCTGGTTGGGGCCCGAAAGTATGAAAGTTGTTTTGTTCTCAGTAAATGGTTTATTCATAGCTCATCTTTTGCATCACTTCGGCATTTCTATATTGGCTTTTTGCAATTTTGGCAAATGGATAACTGTTGAACATGAGTTTGTATTGAATGTCTGAAATGAACTAAAGTAAAGAAGCATTCTTACAGGCCAATCATATATTTTTCATTTAAATAATGAATCGGCTTCATTGGCTTTAAAAAGGAGAACAAACTATACCTTTACCATCAATGTTAATAATAATTGAAAAAGGAACAATGAAAAAATAATGTAAAAAGTAAAATTGTAAAGTACTTTGTGTAAACATTTCAGTTTATCTTGTTTTTACCCAAGTTTGTTTTATTCCCTGGGATAAAAGCAGGTGACACAAAGTAGTGTGATTTCAGTTATCGCACTTGATACTCCGCAGCTGATAACAGAATTCTAACTTTGCATATCTTCAAAACAAAACGTTCTGTATGGTTTTGTATCAGAGGCCGATGACGTAGCTCTCACTGTAAGTACAGTGCTGTCCTGCCAACAATAACAGATGAGTTGTACTCTGCAGTGGCCCGACCTGCTCCAGCTCCTCCTCCGCGTACTTCTGCCGGCTCAGCTCGTTCACCGTGCCCTCGCGCAGGTCTTTGAGGCGCTGTGCTTCTTGCTTGGCCGTTTTTATCTCATTCCTCAGCTTCTGCTCCAGGTTCACCTTCTCCACCTCCACAGTGCGGTGCTCCTCCTGCGCAATCTGCAGCCTGGAGGAAGACGAGAAGGAGACGCACGAAGCAGATGAAGATGATGGGAGAACTGGAACTCATTGGTCGTGAGATGTATTGTGAAGAATTTTAGTGCTGGCAATTAACAAAATGCAAGCAATGCAGTTAAGGGTATAAAGATAAGAAAAAAAAGTTGAATTTGGGATAATGTCTCTTCATTAAGGAATATAATTGAGAACTATTGTTGAGCAGAAGCATCATTTGTCATAATTTATTTCTAACAGGCAAACATTGTTTTACGCTGTATTTTATGTGTGTGCAAAGCACTTTGTGACGGTCATGTCTATTTTTAAAAGGTGCTATATAAATAAACTTGACCTTGACCATGAACTGTGCACAATGCAAAACTACTTTATTAAGTTAAAATATAAGTTTTTCCAATTAGATCTTTTTTACAAGAAAAAAATACATATACACTGTCTTTCATGTGTTTAAATTATGTATAGAGAGATTATTTATTGTCAAGAACATTTTAGAGAAAACCACAGCAGCTGCAGTTATAAAAATGCAGTATGATGTAATATCTCGAAATGATACAGGGTGTCTAAAATCACAATGTTGGTCAGAAATTTTGCATTATTTATATTTTGCACAAAACATTCCTAATATTGTATTTGTCCATTGTAAACATAAACACAAGAATGACCAAACCTTATCCTCTAAAACATCAGTCTGACCAGTCACTCACCAAAACGCATACGGACTTAGTCATGATGAATGACTGCAATTCAACTCTAATTTATGCTAAAATATTACCGTGCAAAACATTGTTCTGGTTGGATGCAACCTGCCTAAACAAATTAAAGTCTGTTGTGGAAGAGAAATTACACGACACCTCTGGGTTAAAGTCGTCCCTCTGGAAAACCAATTAAATCTTTGCTTCATTACCGGTTTTCTGCTTAATGAAAACAGAGAACATTAACTAAATATAGAAATGAATATGTAAATGCCCCGGGGCAGACTGAGAAGACATGTGGATACCGTTCCCAATGTAGTTGTTTTCGAATATAGAACATCAATTATATCTAGCTGCCTTAAAGCTGTTGTAACCAACTTTCAAACCACAAAACAGTGGAACTATAGTATGCAATAAAATCCATCAACTCAAAACTCTGTCCATATCCGTGTATTTTTGGCACCGCTAGAGAGAACGGATTATTATTATTATTATTTATAATGACTCACATGGCTCTTCCTGTGTATTATAATAAGATGAAGTCAGCATGTTGAGGTCTAATTTGTTTACATCATTTTACTTTTACAATACTTAATGCTAGGATAAACTTGTATTACTTATGAAAAAAGAAAGTTGGGTACCCCAGCTTTAATCCCCATCTTGGCCGATAGACACAGCCACAATGGGAGGAAAAAAGATAATTCTCTCACTCTCTCACATTTCAAGAATTTCTAATATGCATCTTTCCCCAGTTACTCCGTGAATCAAATTAGTTCCGTCTTGGTTCGTTGTGGGACCGGAAACGATGGATGACGCCAAGAAAACAGTGCGGTTCAGCTGCTGGGTAACTTTGTAATGTGTGAGTGCGCGCGGAGAGGAATGGGCAGCTGTCGGCGTGGAATTTCCCAGCCGCAGAAACACAGAAGATGTCAACAGGGATATTTTTACTTTAGCCTATTAAACCATCTCCAAGCCACTGTCACACGGGCGCTCTGCAAACATTACATAATTAACCACTCCAGCTCGCGAGTCGCCACTGGCTGATGCTAAAAGCTGCGGGGAAAAGTACTGCAGTGAGAGAGAGAGAGCTGGAGATACAAAAAATACACGTTTGATTGGATGCATGGTGTTCCTGAAACTAATGCAGAGTTAAAATGCCTCAAAATAGGCACTACATTAATGCAACTTAATATATTTTTGTATAATTTAATATTTATTTTATGGCTCAACAACAGCCGATATAGGAGACAAGTGTGTGATTAAGAAAGGGCTGCAGCTAACGATTATTTGGATAATCGATGACTAGTGATTTTCCCGTTTTTAGCATATAATATATATATAATTTTCATCCAAATTTAACACAACTGGAGGATATTCTAATAGATTATATAAACCACGTCTTAATAAAATTGAGACATTAATGCATTTGTTTTATTTTGGAAATTACAGTTTTGTTTGAGTCATAAAAATCCTGATCGCACATGTGTTGGAGTCTGTATAAAGAGCAGTAAATTAATTGGTTACTAAAATAGTAAATTGTGTGAATTAAATATTACTTGTGACTTTTTAATTAACTGCTTCTGAAATTGAATACTTTTTTATTATACAGATTACGGTTTTGTATAATAGATCATTTCATTTCTAGCTTTGACATTAATCACATTGTCGGTATAATCTGGGACTAGTTAGTGTGCTATACAAAAAAAAACCCACCAATATCCAATCTGAACCTGACATGCATCCAATTTCCAGTGATTTTTAAAAACATGTTCAAATGTATTGTCTGCAGATGAAAACATTTTATTTATGTATTATAGTTTTTTTTTCTCCTTGTGATCAAGCAACTTCTCAGGTTTTCTACTGCTTCCCATTCATCACAAGGCAACAACACTCTCGTGCCAGTAGAGGGCAGCAGTCCCCAGCCTGAGCAGCACGGCCATTCTTAAAGACCGCAGGAGCGAAAGGTGATCCAGAGAGCCCACAGTGGAAAAAGTATCTGTGTGGGCTCCTGATAATGCGCTGGACCCTGACCTCTGCTATTCTCTCACATGGATTTGGAAGCACTGGCACCGACACAAGCAACAACTGCCACAGGAACACGGCTTCAGTCTATATTATTGCACTTGATGATGGCAACAAAGCCCAGGTGTGTTAAACTCAGGAAGTGCCCAAAACACTATGACCTTGTTTCAGCGCTCCAGCCAGTCTGTCTGCGCACCGAGTCAAAACACTGGTGGTTGAATTGACGGTGGGGCAAGTGTAGCAGGAGCTCGGGGCAAATGTGACACAGGAGAAAAGCCTCCTCCCTCTGTGCTACTCGACACCCGTCCTGGGCCTGTTCTGAGGTATGGAAAGAGCGCAGCTGGCAGCAGGGATCAGAGAGCAGAGAGCGGACAGACCTAACTTAGCTTTACCACTGGTGTGACGGGCACACGGGGACAGACTGGGGCGGTGAATAAACTTCCATACTAGTGCACTAATGTGATACCGGTATCGGATATTGGTGCCAATATGGATATAGCATTGGTTTAAAGATATAAATTAGGCCTTTCCGTTGATGTATTAATTCTATTTTAACTGGTATTAATCCAGAATAAAACCACAAGATAAAATCATTTGGACACATTTTGTAACAATTTAACAGTGATTTTAGGTTGTTTTTTCTCCAAGCTTTTCTCTGGTGTCGTTTCATATCTGGTATCGGCCGATTTTGAAAGCCACAGTGACAAGATTGGCATCAGACACAAAAGAATGGATTGTTTCATTGAAATTAGGTAATCGCTTCATAAATATGCTTAAAAAGTTGTTAATTTTACTATGAAAATGTTTTGACTTTAACATACAAGATTGCAATGTTGTCAGAGATTTCATTATTGGATTTTTTTCTAAAATCGTACCACACTGGGTTTGTCCAGTCTGGGCTTACAGTGGAGTCCATGAGTTCATATGTATTTCTTGTTGTTACTCTGCCTTTATTTACAGTTGGGTTCAACAATTTTGGCTGAATATAAAAATGCAATATTCATGGAAACCATTGTGATTGTGATTAATGTCTAATAAGATACACTGTACCATGGGCGACAGTGGCTCAGTTGGTAGAGCATTGGCCTTTGAGCCTGAAGGTCGTGGGTTTGAGCCCACCATAAGACCTACTTCACGACTCCCACTGATGTCTGCTGTCCTGTGTCCTTGGGCAAGACACTTAACCTCACTTTGCCAAAGCCCCACTGAAAGATCTCAGCTCCTGTGGACTCACCACCTGCAGGAGGATCAGTGAGGGGCTGCTGCTCTGTGTACTGGGTGCAGCTCTGACTGCCACCCCCCTGACCCAGAAATGGATTAAGGGGAAGAAAATGGATGGATAGATGGAAGATACAACCCTCCACCAAATCTGAGCATACACACTCCACAAATGGCTTTTGATCTTTAACATAATCTCTATACTTTTTTTTGTCATTGTTCATTTATCTTGTGTTGTGTGCTCCTGACTCCTATTGTTTGGATGCAAGATGTTGTAATGCAACACTGAAATGTCCCCACTGTGGGACGAATAAAGGATCTCCTCATCTAATTGGGTGAAGTCTGTGTTTCCCAAAAGCTCTTTCCTTCCTGGAGTCTGGTCGGTGCAGTTGGAAATAATTTAGTGCTTTTCATGGCAGACATACATCTAGTGAACGAGTTAATGGACCGAGAAATGTCCTTTATTTTGGGGCTTTTGGCAACGCTGTGTTGCTACTCTGACGACCAACTGTTCAACAATGTACAAACTGTAAGCACCCGCTCTTATCCTTTCAGAGACATGTTTCAGTTTTCATTAAAGGTTTCCATATACTATAAAGTTGTATTTCAGAGTTTGCAACAAGAACATACAGAAGACTAGGAAGACATGGCGTGATGTTGAGCTGCTCTCGACGTGAAAGGTGAAGTGAGGCAAATCCTTTAAAGGAGAGCAGAGACGGCACATTCCACACATTCCCCGGTATTTCTCTGCTTCACTTGTGTAACTGATTACCTGGCTTTTTTTAGATGCATGTTTTAAATTCAGCTGATGTCTTGTGGTCTACCGTTTCATGGTGTACTTGAGAGGGTTGATAACACAGAAATATGCAAAAGTACATGGCTGGTATGGTTTTACTATTATTATTATTGATTCAGATTTAAATTCATTTTATTTGACACTAATGTTTTTTCAAAGCAAACGACTTAAACAATATAATTTATTAAATAAGTAGACATTGGCCCCAATTGTAGCACAACAGTACTGTAGGAATTCTTTTGAAAAGCATTTCAATGTTTATTTCAATATGATGGATATTCTCTCCGTAAGCAGGTTCTACACATCGTCCAATTAAGTTCTTCTCTCTGAGCATGTCGTAATTTTCACAATTGAAAAATGATCCTGATTCTCATGTTTCTTACTCAAGCTGCCGTGCACTCTCTTGACCACTGACAACTGATACTGTTTGTCAACACAGATGGGACATATGTCCTCTGTATCATGCACAGTGATGTTCCACAGAAATGTCTGAACCTACAGAGAGTAGGTTATATTTGTGTCAGGGAGACTCACTTCTGCTGCATGTCATGCAGGCTCTGTTCAGCCCGCTGAAGACCCTCCAGGTCCTTCATCATCTTCTTCATGTGGTCTTTGGAGTAGCGGTTTTGGATGTAGGCAAACCAGCAACCCCCCATTCCGATGACTATGGACACCACCAGCATGAAGTCCTTCAGGTGGTTATGTCTGTTCACTGCAATCACACATGACCCAAGTATTTATTCTATCATTTTGGATTGCTCCTCGAGATGATTCATCTATTTTTGAGGGGGTCCTTAATGTGGTGTGTTACTGAGAAAGTCTGACATATATTTGACTGAGATCCCAGAGAGAGTAAATCAGAGATGCTGGGTAAACTGGGTAAAGCGGATAAATACATTTCTTTGATTATTGACTGCTTCTTATTGTCCTTAGTTCAAGAATTAAAACTGACTTTATTTTAATTATAATTATTTTAATTATAACATGCAACAGTGAAGACAGAGAGCAGCAGGAGTCTGGAGTCGCCGAGTGTTTTTGAGAGGCTGTCACATGCAGACACTCATGACATCACAGGGAGTCGCCTTTATGAAACACACTCACAATGAAACATGCCACACACAGACGCAGTCATAAAGGCAATGTTCAAAGACATATCATCTGGTGACATCACTTAAGATGTAAATGGACTGTTAGACACTCACTGTTTTTTAAATAAATATGACACTGATATGCCAAGATGGAATTTCCCTCAAAAGGAATGGGTAGAGTCAAATAAATATATGTGTAATATCATGTGTAAGTGTAGTGGGAGCGTGGTACAGAAACCAGAGCCAATGGCAGACACCAGGAGACATACTTAAAGGGGCTCCGAACAGCACTGTGTCCAGGGCCTTGAGTTGGAGCTTCTGCACATGGCTTCGGTCCAGGATCTTCAGCACGGACAATGTCAAGGTGGTGTTCTTCACTGCAAGCCTTTGGGGTCAATGTAAGAAAAGTCACTCATGATGGATGTAGATCATGACCTGAGTAATAACACAGGCATTTCTGCAGCATTTCAAAACAGATGCACTAAAAAGCCCATACTCAGTGTATGGTACTGCCAACAACAAGGACAGCAGCATAGACTAACTGAATATAGCAAAGATTAAACAACTCCTGTTCATTATTCATTTATGACTGAAAACAAAATAGAAATACAGATGGAAGTTCCTGAATCCTCAGATCATACAGCTCTGGTGGAAAACAGTAGCAGAGGTGACTTTGGGTGACTGTAATAACCTAAACTACAGTAAAAAAAACAGTTGTTTTTTCACCTCACCCAAATGAGAACAATTATTAATAACATGTAATTTTTTTAAGCTGGGTCTTGCTTAGAGAATCAAACCATAGTTACACCCCTATGATAAAGCTTTGGACATAGAGACCACCAGCCAAAGGAGGGATATGACATAGGAGAGTTAAAGGGAGGGTATGTAGAATACACAATGTACTTTAGTGGTGGGGAAAGAAAATTCTTTTCAGTATTGTAATATTTGGCGCACGCAACTAAATTGGTACAGTAGAGAAAAGTATTGCAATATTCAATTAAATAATCATCAGTTTCATCTCTTTTGGGTTTTCTGGTCATTTACATTTGCGTATAACATCCACAAGGTGGCGCTTGTTGCAGTGCTTTGTTTTTGTGCATTCATTCAAATGAAAATTGTTTCCTCATAACTGATTCTACATGACATAATATGACAATACATAATTATTAATTGTGCCTTGTCTTGTAATAAGTTCTCCTGAATGTTCAAGGATAATAAGAAATATTTGCACTTCAGTTCATGTACAAACCTAAATAAATGTGACATTTGAGAGGAGCAGTCTTATTTTCCAATTTTTTTGTGAAGACTTTAAATAATATGAGGGACATATATTGACAAATACTGCAGAATTGGAGCGCAATACATGCTGCATCACAGTGAGTTTAGAACCGCAAAAATATTGAATTGTGGCCCAAATAATGCAACACAATCAAATCAACGCATTTTTGCCAATTCCCACCCCTAATGTACATGTTATGTTCTATCATAGTTAAAGCCAGCTACATACCCTGCCTTCAAGCATTTTTGCTAATAGGCAAATCTAGAAGTTCAATTCCATGCACCGAACCATGAATGTTGTCAATCGTCCCCTTCGTACTAATAAGCAACACTTGGGACAAAGCTTCACTTCCACATGCATCACCTGTAGCTGTTTCAGGACTTCGTCGGATCACTTAGATATAAAGTGCCCGCTGCAGACTAGGGACATCCTACAAGAACAGCAGTTTGAGGAGCTCTTCTCATGACCGCATTGTTACCATTGGCTGACACACACAAACATATTGTTATGCCTGAAGGTGTATTGCGTGTGTTGCCGGAAGTGTTTATATTGTAGAAAAGCACAAGGAAACATAAAAGTCAATAAGAATCATGACTGACCTTGGCATGGCACTTCCACTGAAGTTCATCTTGCGGATGACCTCCACATACTGAGGAAGCTCTACGTAGGAGATGAGCCATTTCACCACCTCATCCACAGTCCAGTTATACACTGCCAGGACAATGTGTACACAACACAAAGATTAGAAGTGCTTTGTGGACTTTGAAAACAACCATTACACAGTTGTAACACTGAAGTGTTGCTGGAGGAATATGATACTTTTCAAAAGGCCTGAGGGTTATATTACGACACGCTACTGGCGAATGTACTCCACCCAACTGGTGGGAAAAAAACACAGATTCAGCATTACATACAGACACTCCGGACTATTCTGCCCAAATGTGACAGTATTACAGACGGACACAACTGAAATGCTAATAACACCACAACCCTTAGGAGGCTTCGAGAACAAAGCAATTTTACAATTGTAAGAAGGTCAAAAGGTGTTTGTGGTATGTGATACCTCCTTTTGCTCATACTGACACTCCCCTCCTGCTATTGATCAGGACCAGTCACTCTGAATGACAGTTGGATTTAATACAAGTGTGAACTTGATGGGCTTCTCCTTCAGCACACAAAGCTCCTTTATATGAACTATGGACACATTATGTAACAATCCTTATTTACATAGTGCTTTCATTTATGTATAGTCACAAAGTGCTTTGGTTCTTTTTTACATGTCATTATTCATTCACCTCAAACATGGTGGTGATAAACGGCCCCTGTGACCACCAATTATTCAGGCACACACCAGATTAATTTTCAACAGGGTCAAGTGTCTTGCCAAGGATACAAAGAAAGTTTGGCACTTTACAGTCTTCCATCACAGTACTAACCAGGCCATGTCCTGCTTAGGTTCAGAGCTCTGACGGGATCTGGCTTTCACATGCAGGTGGCACACAACAACAAAAACAGTGGCTAATGCAAAACCCTTCTAAACAGAGGCACAAATATTTGTACACAAAAAAGGTATATATATTTTTTTTATAAATCATCGTCGAGATTCTTAAAAGAAAAGAGATATATTCACTTTTGACAACACTTGCTCAACAATCCTTAATTGGACTGAAGTTCTATTACTGTGTATGATGTGATTACAGCTTTGCAAGCATAACATTATGCAATGACTTAATAATACATCTTTCAAGTGCACCTGTGCTGAACTGAAATAGCCTCGTGAACCACTGCTGCTGTATCTGCAATGCAGCCTGTGTCACTACAGCAGACAGAGAGGAAGAGCTGCACAGGAGAGGGCCAAGGACAGAAGCACAGATGTCTGATAACACAACCGCACTTCTGATTGTCTCGTATCTGAAGTGTCCGGTGAGTGCGAACAAAGTGAAGACAAGTGGGGACACGGTAGTGCAGCAAGAGGCAGGCTTCTGGGTCTATCTCCTCCTTATCGTCCCGTGGATAAGACCTGAGTGGACTAATTCAGTGATGAAAGGGCGATAGGAGCGAGTGCCGGGGTACCTTCAGATCCCTTCCATGCATTCCACAGGTCCTCCACGCTGATGAACTGATCGTCCCCGTGAAATGTGTTGTGTTTGGCCTTTGGGTCATGGTAGTTTAGGTCTTCTCTGAGGAACTGGAAGATAAGAGAAAACAAGAGTGAGAGAAGCTCAAGGTAGCTAGAAACAAACACAAATGAAAGCATATAATCATCATGCAGTCTCTGCAAGCATAGTTGACTTATCTAAGGATTAGAAGGGGTACAAATGTGCGCTGCGTAATCATATCACACATGGGATGACTACAAAGGGCTCGACATGACAGTAACTCACTCCGTCTGTCTCCGCCACGTCCACGTTCCCATTGGCATCGTCGTCCATCTGCTTGTGGATGCTCCGGATGGCCTCAAAACTCACAAGGGCGTTCCCGTCTCTGCATAGCGGCTTGTCAATGCGACACAACTCTGAGAAAAAAACAAATTCAATAAGAGTTTGGAAACAGAAATTTTGGAAATGTATGAACATTTATTAACATTGATGGACATTGGACCAATGGCCTATGTGATCGTTACGGCAAATCAACGACATTGTAAAGTCCTCCGAGACGACTGCTGTTGTGATTTAGGGCAATACCAAAATAAATGAAATTGGATAAAGGTTTTGATCATTCTTATGATCATGTTTTGAAACAAGTTATTATTTTAACAGGAAAGGGAAGAACTTTTCCCTACATGACAATAATTATATCGATCACTTAAGGCTGGGCGATAAAACGATAACAATATATATCGCGACAGACGTGTGTGTTCGATATCAATAGAAAACAGGGTCGATGGAATGTTAGATAGTTCAATTTCACTCTGTTGAAAAAACAGGAAGAAAACCCAGGAAGTAAAGCCGAGTCAGAAACATGTGGCATTAAAGGGGATGTAGGCAGAGGCTTCTCGACCTATCACAGCCGAGCATGAACCGCAAAACATTCTGGGAAATGCAAAAACAACAACTGCACCATGTGTAGCGTCCATGGATCTATAGATCGTTTTTCAATGCCATGTCAATAGTTATGCACGTCCGTGCGAGTAATAGCATGTGCGGCGGGAGAGGCAGTGGAAACAGAGACCCGATGCATTCGCCGAAAGCAAGAGATTAACTTTTTCTCGCAAAGCACGTGCGGCTATCAGAGAGCGGCCGCAGAGAGCCGTCACCCGGGCACAAGACACTCAAAAAGAGCCAAAACAGGAGCTAAACCAGGACTAAACCAGGATTAAACCAGGACTAACAATGGGGGAGACTGCTTGTGAACATATGCCTCTAGCCTCATTCCCCTGTGACTGTAAACAAGGCTTCTAACGTGTGTTAGCCGACACGACAAATGTATTTATTTCGGTTTACAAAAAAAAAAAATTCAATCTATATTGTTATCACCCGATATGAAATACTTATATTGTGATCCAGTTTTCAGCCATATCACCCAGCCCTACGATCACTCTAATCAGGCTCCAACTCAAGATGCGACAGTATGAAATATATCATAATCATGGCCAGAAAGTCCTCATCATTATGGTGTATTGTGGAGTTGTACGTTTCACAAAAAGAACAGAAGTGGTTGTGTTGCTCTCTACTTCTGTCCTTCTCAGCTACGCACTTTTGTGAGGATGACGCACTCTGTACAAAAAAGTGAAAAGATACTGTATTATTAGAGCTGTAATAAGAAAAAACGCATAAAAACTGATCATGGAAATAGTTGTCAACTAATTCAATCATCGATTAATTGTTTGTTGAACGCCACGATACAACATTCCTTGATTAATCCAAAAATAATATATTTTTAGAAGGGCTGTCAAAATTGTCTTGTGTTTAATGTTTGTGTTTATTTATTTATTTCTGTTTTTCTGTATTACATTTGTTATGTTTTGTGTTATATTGTTGGTTTGTGTAACTAAGTGTTGTACATTGTTTTTATTTGTTTTATGTTTGGTCCCCCTTGCAAACGAGATGTTTCATCTCAAGGGGTTTTCCAACAATAAATTGAAATTGAAATGGAAAATTAACGCGCATGACTCGCCCATGCATCCCATAATAAACACTCAGAAGTGCCGCTCACAGGCTTCTCATTTAAAAAAAAATCTCCTACACTCCTCTACTCTCCTCCCACGAGCCATGTAGTTTTAGTTGCGATCTGATAGGCATTAGTTACTTCTTATAAGCTGTACAACGATCACTGATGAAACGTACAAAAGCAACGCACTGCTATAACTGAAAGATTGATTGAGTCTTGATTTCTCCTTTGATAATTTTTTCTCTGTAGTTCCCTCTTCTCTTCCTCACTGTTGCGTCGTTGGGCTGCTTGGCTGTGTCTGCAGTTAAAGCCAGAGGAGTTATACCCACTTTCTGCTAACATGCTCCGGCGTTTACATGCACTGTAGACGCTAGAGGATGCAGCCTGTTCGTAACAGCGCTGCCACCCGTTGGAGGAGAACCACAGTCATGCAAAGTTTCAACTCAGCACTTTTTATGGCCTGAATTCATACACAAGCTGAATCCATTTTCTACATTTTTCAATTAATTAAAGTTTTAATACAACTTGTATGTAGTAATAAACATTTTTATGAACTCATTAGAAAATAAATCAGGTATAGTTCCTAGCCGAGTGGGTTTCTACAGACTGTACAGTTTTCTGCTACTGAACAAGAGGCCCTCTTTTTGATACAGAAAGAGAGAATGTTAATAATGTTAATGCCATTTTATGTGGATTTATTGTTCTTTTAATAAACAAATACAGTACATACATATGTACTATTGTCATTTATTCCATTCAAACAACCATTTACAGAAAAATATGGCATAATTTTGCCAATAGTTTGAAATGCAATTTAATTACGGTTAATTAATTTTTAAGCTGCAGGTGGGTGGAGAGGTCCTTCCTCAAGTGGAGGAGTTCAAGTATCTCGGGGTCTTGTTCACGAGTGAGGGGAGGATGGAGCGTGAGATTGACAGGCGGATCGGTGCAGCGTGCGCAGTGATGCGGTCGCTGTATCGGACCGTTGTGGTAAAGAGGGAGCTGAGCCGAAAGGCGAAGCTCTCGATTTACCGGTCAATCTTCGTTCCCTCCCTCACCTATGGTCATGAGCTGTGGGTAATGACCGAAAGAACGAGATCGCGGATACAAGCGGTCGAAATGAGCTTCCTCCGCAGAGTGGCTGGGCGCTCCCTTAGAGATAGGGTGAGGAGCTCGGTCACACGGGAGGAGCTCGGTCACACGGGAGGAGCTCGGAGTAGAGCCGCTGCTTCTCCACGTCGAGAGGAACCAGTTGAGGTGGCTCGGGCATCTGTTCAGGATGCCTCCTGGACGCCTTCCTGGGGAGGTGTTCCGGGCACGTCCCACCGGGAGGAGGCCCCGGGGAAGACCCAGGACACGCTGGAGAGACTATGTCTCTCAGCTGGCCTGGGAACGCCTTGGGGTCCCCCCGGACGAGCTGAAGGAGGTGTGTGTGGGTAGGGAAGTCTGGGCGTCTCTGCTTAGACTGCTGCCCCCGTGACCCGGCAACGGATAAAACGGAAGAAAATGGATGGATGGATGGAATATTTTTAAGCTGTAATTAACTCGAAAAAGTAACAATACTGGTGAATGTATGTATCTTCCATTTGTTGAAGCTTGTTGAAAAATCTCACCTGATTGAAAAATATTCCAATATGTTTTAATGTCTACGTATTGGCAGACAAGAGGTCTTACATGGTCAATCATTCTGAGACACATAACCCAGATCAAAGCAAATTCATTAGTTGATAATCTCATTAAACTACTTCATTTGTTTAGGACTCACTCAGCCTCACAAAATGAATATGCCAATTTCCCGTCTATACCTTGAGGAAAGAGGAAAGGCGACTCACACAGATAAAGACCCGCCACTTCCTGAAAGACTGAAACATTGTCGTGCTGTTACATAATCTTCTCCATACAAAGACATTTTCTGTGTGTTACTGGAGCAAACAACGACCTGAACTATGTTGGTCCATTAGACAACTGTAGCTCAACAATTAGACATATTTTTATATCTAATAGCAATTGCTCAGGCAAACATTGCAATTTAAGATTAAGAGATTTGGAACCTGGAGCCCAGGTTCCATCCCCAGGCCTGACCATGGCTTTCTGTGTGGAGATCCCCGTGTCTCAAAGGTTTTTCTCCATCCACCAAAACATGCTCAAAGGTTCGGAAAAGAGGTGGTTTTCAACTTTTTTGGGACCTTCAATGTTGCACCAATATTTAAGAATCCTTCCCCAGATCTGGTTTCCAAAAAATTGTGACTGAAAGTCACTGTCAGTGATGGGACCTTAATAAGAGGTATGTCCCTTTCCAAATCAGGTTAAACAAGAAGATTGTTGCACAAAAGGGCTCCAGTCCAGTTGGAGAAAAATCTCCATAACAGTCAGAAGGTTGCATATGAAAAGAGTTTTGCGTGTTTAAAAAAAAAAAAAAGAATGTGTGAATAATTTGTGTTTATTTCGAAGAATATGGCAAAGAAAAAAAAGAATTTAATACATGTGGGAATAAGGCTGTCATTGAAAAATATAGTAACAGTGAAAGAAAAATTAAAATAAATGATATTAAGGATAATACAACAATAATAATCCATAGGTTTATTTATAAGTCCCCTTGAACTTTTCAACATTTCGCCACATTTCAGGCTTCAAACATAAAGATATAAAATTATTATTTTGTGTCATGAATCAACAACAAGTGGGACACAATCGTGAAGTGGAACAAAATTTATTGGATAATTTAAACTTTTTTAACAAATAAACTGAAAAGTGGGGCGTGCAATATTATTCGGCCCCTTTACTTTCAGTGCAGCAAACTCACTCCAGAAGTTCAGTGAGGATCTTTGAATGATCCAATGTTGTCCTAAATGACTGATGATGATAAATAGAATGCACCTGTGTGTAATCAAGTCTCCGTATAAATGCACCTGCTCTTTGATAGTCTCAGGGTTCTGTTTAAAGCGCAAAGAGAACCATGAAGACAAAAGAACACACCAGGCAGGTCCGAGATACTGTTGTGGAGAAGTTTAAAGCTGGATTTGGATACAAAAAGATTTCCCAAGCTTTAAACATCTCAAGGAGCACTGTGCAAGCAATTATATTGAAATGGAAGGAGTATCAGACCACTGCAAATCTACCAAGACTCGGCCGTCCCTCCAAACTTTCACCTCAAACAAGGAGAAGACTGATCAGAGATGCAGCCAAGAGGCCCATGATCACTCTGGATGAATTGCAGATAACTACAGCTGAGGTGGGAGAGTCTGTCCATAGGACAACAATCAGTCGTGCACAGCTCATCACCCTGAACACACCATCCCCACTGTCAAACATGGTGGTGGCA